ACACACACACACACACACACACACACACACACACACACACACACACGCGAACTCCTGCTATAGACAGAAGGATTAACTGGTTGACCTTTTTAAGTTTCTTCCAGTCCCATGATACCTGCTCAGGGTCACAGGATACTGTAAAATGCTAAATAACATTTTCATAAAAAAAAGAAAGCTGTTTTACCTGGGCAGTAGTTAAAGCATTACACATGGAACAGATGGCTTCAGCATCTTCATCTGTTTTCTTCTTCACCTGCAAGAGCTGGGCAGCCTGAATCAGGGGCTCTAAAGTTTCTTTGGCCCCACTATTCATCAGATTCTTGTCACGGAGCCATTCTTCCAGTTGACTGACATTGTACCTGTGTGGAGAGAAGTTTGAGAAGGCATGTCTTATGGCTGTCATGAATAGCTGATCAAACTTTCAGCAACCTTGACAGAACTTTCAAACAGAATATGACAGGCAGTATTTCTGTTCCATTTTCTTTTATAATCACCTGTCCCTGAAAATAAAATCCTCATAAATAGCTTGTGCACTCTTGATTGTGATTGTAAAAAAATTAAGTGATTAGAAGATCTTAATGTATTTAACTGAAGATGGGGATTGAGCCATTCCATCAGAAAATAAGTGGAATGGAACAGTATAAAAAGCAAATGGAAACACAAAGTCTACATGTGACTCCTTGCTTTATGGAATAAAGGCATTCTGAAAAGCTAATTATAAACTAAATTTCTATAAAATGAATAATTTCCATACTCCTACCAGAACTCTTTTTTTTTGGTTTCCCATTGCAGTTTCAGAGACGTGTTTCTTTATTGCATAACAGCATAGCACAAAGTTTGAAGTGGGAAGGAGTAAAGGGAGTTTTGAGGTAAAATATCTCTTGTGGGCACTGATGTATCCAAAGCAGACACCTTGGACCTGAGCTTTCCCTCTCACTGCCCTGACCTTGGAGCTGTGTTCAGGAAGAATGTGGGATATAGGACACCACACCTAGCACAACAGGAAGGAGTCAGAAGCTTCGTAAAGAAGCAGAGCTAGCCAAGCACCTCAGGGTATCAGGAGGAAGCCAATGACGTTAACATTCAGGATTAATATTAAGAATGAACATGCAATTTGAATTTTGTGATTACCCACACAATAGGCACTATAATTTTGATTTAAATCATTCACATACTAGAAGGTATGTTCAGAAGGCACTTGATCAAGGCTAGAAGATGAAGCCTTTGTTCTGGCATTGAAGAGGCCTCTCTATATAACATTTAATATGATACCATACACATAGAAAAATAAATTGTTAGATAAGTAATCTGAATTGAGATGGTGCTGCACATATTAGTGGTTTTGTTTTTGCTTTTGAGCATGGAGGAATATTATATAAGTATTCACATGTAAAAGAACATGAACTTTCCCCCAGTAAATATTTAATAACATATTAGTCTAAATCTAGAAGTCTTCAATATCATACTCCGATGTTCCATACTGGTATGGAAACTCCCTACAATGTTACAGATAGTAGCTCATCCATGACTGCCCATCCTGAGTGACTTGTCCAAATCCTCCCATACTCCACCACAGAGGGTTCATTTAAGGTGTTGGAAGTCTTCCTTGTCTTCACCTGCTATTGCAAAGAATTGCAAAGAAAATATGTGGGCTATCACTTGGTTATTCTGTGCTCTCACCATTGACTAGCTCACATTTTTCTTCTTGAAAATATATAATGTTAAAATTTGGCAACAGAACTTTCAATATCTTACCTGGTTTAAAAAAAAAGCCACACTCCTGTCTTTTAACATTCCCTACTCCCACAAAGTGTGCTCATTTACTAATGGAGCAAATCTTTCTACCAAGGAGACTAGCAAAGTACAGTTGAATGCTAATAATCAATGAGATTTTGTGAAATCAAAGAATGAGTAAAAAATACAGGTTAGGTGACTAGGAATGTAAAGAGGCTTAATGTCCATTCCTTCCTTGCTTTCTGGCCTCTTTGCACTAAATTTAAGGTTTTCTTCTGAAACATTATAACATATTAGTTTGAAGTTCTGAATATGTTAGTAGTTCTCTACTGATCAAGGCAGGTCAATGAAATGTCCAAGAGAATGTACCCCCCAGTTTTCTGGGTGTTGGATTTCAGGGGAGACAAGGCCTGGCATTTGCTTACCTGATCTGCATGCCTTTGCTCCAAGAGCACATATCCTTTCGTAGCAGAAGGTTATTCAAAGTAATGGCACCCACAATGTAAAACATCTGCTTGACCACTTGCTTGATCAATTCTGGATCCATTCCATGCTGACACATGACTGAATGGAAGGAGTTAAGCTGCCGAAGGATGGAGTCCAATGTATAAGTGCCTTCATCTGCAATACTGGAGGTCCTCTTCCGTAGCCCGGTGGGCTTCACTCCTGACACTCCTTGGATGGTTTCATGCTCCAGCATGCCAGAAACTGATTTGGGATAAGCACAGAGTCACAACAGCTGGAAAGGTATGGACTGCAAGGTTTAAGTGTTAAAATAAAAGACAAGTAAAGAAACTTGCTTATGCTATGCAAAAAAAAAAATCTAATTAAGATGTTACATGTAAAGTGTTACATGTAGGAAAAAGTGCTCCACACACTGGGGCTTCTAGATTGGAACACTAAATAAAGTAACAACAAGAAGAATCATCATAGTAATAACTAGTAGTTATATAGCACTTTAGAGTCTGGGAAGTGCTCTACAAATATTATTTCATTTGATCCTCACAACAACCCTGGGAGGGGGGTGTTATTATTATCCTGATTTTACAAATGAGGAAACTGAAGCAGACAGAGGTTGCCCAGGGTCTCACAGCTAGTGAATGTCAAGAAAGATCTTTTCTGACTAAAGGTCCAGCACTCTATCCACTGCACCTTAGGAAGATGACCCCTAAGGTACATTCCAACTCTAGGATTATCTAATTCTCCTGCTATTCTAATTTTTCTAATGAATTTTCTCTGCAAGTTGCAATCTCTGCTTCTTTTTCCAATTTTCTGTCCATTTGTATAATATGTGGATCTTTCCCTCTCCTGAACCTTAGTCTTGTTCATTTCCCTTCAGTTAACACTGGTGTCTGCAAATTACTCTTAGGAATTTATCAATGCTAAATTCTTTTAGAAAGTAATTATCTGGTTGATGCAAGTTGCCATTTTGGTGGAAAATGATTTGTCTGCTTTTCTGACTACTTCGTCTTTACTTTGGAAATATTTTGTATTTATCAGTGTTTTGCTTGTTTCCTCATAGTAGGAGTTTTGAAGACAAGGCCTGTTTTCATTTCTATCTTTGTATTTCTAGTAGCACATAGTAGGCACTTCATAAATGATTACAAATAGAATCTGACCTAAAATTTTCCCCATGTAATACAGTGTATATTTTTATGCAATGTGAGTGATAAATTTACAAAGACAAGCCTACGAGAACAGGAGCTGTTGAGCATAATCTGCTAGGACATTTTACTGCCAAAGCTAAAAGATCCACATTTCAAGACAATGTAATTGCCAGGGATGTTATGAGGACCAAATCATTGAGCATAGTGCTTTGTGCATAGTAAGTGTAATAGAATGCTATTATAATTATTATAATCTCAAAACACAAATAAAAGAAGTGGAGGCACAGAATTTTAAAAGAGAAGAGTTTTGTTACTGTTACTCCTTTCGGTACAAAAATTCCCTTGAAGTCTGAAAATCTTGATGGTTTAGTCTAAGAAACTTTTTTTAGAAAGGGTTAGCTAAGTGGATATCTGGTGTATTATTATTCTAAAAAAAAGTTAATTTTATCTGCTTCATCAAAGCAAACAAATTTAGTAAAAGTTTATTTTAATTACATAGGCATAGAGACTTTAACTTCAGCCTCATATCCCATGGTTCTTCTGGTAGGTATGAAAGAAGACAGTTTATTAAAAACAATCTACTCTCAATTCACAGAATCTCAGACTTGTAGGGCCCTTTCTAGGATATCTAGCCCAAATGTGGCCTTTTAGAAATTTAAGTGCCTGTGACAACTTGACAAAGTATCATTTCTATGAAGTGTTTCTTAGTCTTAGTATGAAGTCTTAAGGGGGAATGAATTCAAACTACTTTGAAAGGATAGGGACTGTGTACTACAGTGAGTATTTGCTGCTATTTTCCTTACCCATACCCCTTTCTTAACTTTCTAGCCATCTCTCTATAAACACTTCCATTTCAGTTATTAATGAAGAGCCAGTATGAAAGGTGGAAAGAATATTAGACTTGGAATCAGGTGAGGTCTAGATTGAATTCTGACTTCAGACACTTGCTAACCCAACATCTCTGACACTCACTGCTCCCATATGAAAAGTGGAGATGATGATACTTTGTTGTTGTTGAGTTGTTCAATAATGTTCATCTCTTCACGACCCCACAGGGGATTTTCTTGACAAAGATAATGGACTGCTTTGTCATTTCCTTCTCCAATGGATTAAGGCAAACAGAGGTTAAGTGACTTGCCCCGGTCACACAGTAGTAAGTATCTGAGTTGGATGTGAACTCAGGTCTCCAGGCCCAGTGCTCTATCCACTGATCCTACTTACACTATTTCATAGAGTTGTTGTGAGAAAAGTGGTTTTTAAGCGAGAAAGTGCTATATGAGCATTACTACTAATAATATTTTTGTGTTAAATCTAACAATTTGTGGCAACAGGGGCCCTACTGGATTGCATTTCAGGGAAGAAGTTCTCTGAAATCTTTGATGAAAGCTTAACTTTGCAAATAATGGTGCCAGTTTATCTTGAGCAGGTGAGATGGTAAATTCTCAGTAAAAAAAAAAAAGACTACAAGTTGTTATCACTGTATACTTGCTTTCATATTCAAACCAAAAGATAAACTTCTTACCTACCCTCAAACAAAAATGTTGATCAAGTTAAAGAATTTCAGTGAAAAGGTGTGCAGCTTTGGTTTTTGAGGGGAAGTTAAAACTTTAAAGATTAAAAGAGACTCATGAAATGTGAATAGAAACTTCAATGCAACAGCCTTCTTTGAATTTTTCCTTATTACACAGCTGAAAGCCCAATTTAACTTCGGGAAAATGTCAATGATGCAAATAAAATTTAATGCTTGTTACATTATTTGTGCATGACTTGTCTTTTCAAAAATTTCATCTACACTTAAGAAAATTGCCAAGGCTCTAATTGGACATTATTTTATAATTCCCAACCACTCTAATGAAAGAAAACAAATGCATATAAAAGAAAATACTGCAGTGGTGGGTCTTTTCACATGCTATGGTGATGTCAGAATGAGAAGCACAAATGGTCAAATAAAAAAAGAAGCAGGGAACTAGGGAGCAGTCTTGATGAAGAGTTTGCTTGGTATAACTAATTCAAAATCTTTTCCCTTCTGTCTTTAATGCCTACCCACTAATTGGATTCTTTTCAATTCCTTAGCTTGCACCTGCAGTCAAAACTTGAAATTGTTTTGAGGTCAAAAGCAAACTTTTTGATTGGTAATAAAGTCATTTTTGTATAAATGGAAAAGAGAAGAGCTGGCTGAGCTAAACTTTCTCTTGCCTCTACCTTGGACTAAGTTCTGTCTTTTCAAAGTTCAGAGAGGTCCTTTGGGAGGACTTTTATGCTCCCCATAAGCCTTTATGCCGACAGTAGGTTAATTGCTGGGCTATTCTGGAAAATGGGGGTGGCAAACAGAATTAAGACTGAAGAAAGGAAATGGGAAAAGTATTGGGGAAAACTTGCTCAAGTGATACAGGAGAAGGTCGACATGGAGACTAGAAATAGCATCCGTAGTATGCTGAGGATATACCTATGTTTTGTTGTTGTTTGATTGTTTCAGTCAGATCTGACTCTTGACCCTATTTGGGATTTTCTTGCCAAATATCCTGGAATGGTTTGCCATTTCCTTCTCCAGCTCATTTCACAGATGAGGAACTGCAGCAAATAGGGTTAAGTAACTTGCCCAGGGTCACACAGCTACTAAGTGTCTGAGGCCAGATTTGAATTCAGGAAGATGAGTCTTCCCAACTTCACATTAGAGTAGAGTTGTACATTATTTTTAGTAACTTACAATTTTTACTGCCTGATGTTTCTACTTGGTTTCTACTTTCCCTCAGGTTCTTACCACACACCTTCACCTATCCAAAGGCACATACATACCCATCCACATGTAAAAGGACATCAGGATACACATGTAGAGATAAATGAATATATTGAACAGGAGCGCGCATAGGTGGGAATGTCAAGAATCACATATTCACACACACAGAGGCATGTGTAGTACGTGGATATACATGCATACACGTACATAAACACCCTCTCTTGCTCTGCAGATGGGAACCCTCGCAGGCAGCAACAGCAAGAAGATTGCTCAGTCACCATACTCACACTGCTCTGGCTCCTTACAAACCTATTACAAGTCGCACAGCCCTCAATCATTTCAAAGGGTCTCCAGTGTTTAAAGTGATGCTGCCAGTGGCCGGGGCAAGTGAGGGAGAACAGTGGCTCTAGTATCAAATCTCAGCCTCATAACTCTGCTTCAAGGATATTTTAAATCCTATAGCTCTCAGCCCACCACTAGGGCAAGGTAAAGGAGTGCTGTCTCCTGGTGTTCTAAACTTGTGGAAGGTCATCAAGGCTGGAGACCAAGCTGTCATCCCTGCCTCCTCACTCTCTCTCACCATCCATATACAAACTGTTGATACATCCCATCATCTCTGCACTCATACATCTCTTGCATAGTCTCCCTCTCTCTTCTGACACTGCCACCTGCCCGCTGGTGCCGGCCTCATCACCTATGCCTAGACTACTGTAACAGCCTACTCGGGATGCTGGTGGGCCTGATGGCCTCATTTCGGTCCAGCCTCCATAGTGCTGCCTATGGGACTTTCTATAAATGCAGATTATAAGATCCTAGATTTAGAGTAGAAAGGGCCTCTAAAGAGGCCATCAAGTTCAACTCCTTTATCTTTTAAGTAAGGAAACTAAAACTCAGCGAAATTAAGTGACTTGACCAGAGTCAAACTGCTACTAAATAATAGGCAAGATCTGAACCTGAAACTTCCTGATTCCAAGTCCAGCACAATTTGACCATGCCACTCCCTTATTCCAATTTCAGAGGCTACTGAATATTTCCCTGTTATCTCTAGGATCGAGTTTAAATTCCTCTGTTGAGCTTTTTTTTTTTTAAAGTTGTAAAAAGGTTAACTGACCTGCCCAGGGTCACGTAACTAGTAAGTGTCTGGAGCTAGATTTGAACTCAGAAAGATGAGTCTGCCTAACTTCAGGCCCAGAGCTCTATCCTGTGCGACACCTAGCTGCCCCTTCTGTTTAGCTTTAAAAGCTCTTCACAACCTACTTTCAACCTCTCCAGCCACATGCTATGTTCTTCTCCCTCCTACAACCTCAAACCTAATCATACTGGCCTGCTCTCTGTCCCTCACAGACAGCAGTCTATCTCTCATCTCAGTAATTTTGCATGGCTGTCCCATGTGCCTGGAATAGGCTGCCTTTCCAATAAAAGTCTCACTCTTCCTTCAAGATGCAACTCAAGCACTACATTACATAGGAAACCTTTCTTGACTCCCCTAGCTGCTAAAGCTCCCTCTCTCAATCTACTTTGTATTTAATATAACATAACATAACATAGATAATGTTAATTTGTGGTTTTCTAAGTCCACGTGCAGCTGCAAGGATTCATTTCTACTTAAGTTTGACACCAATGATTTAGTTACCCAATAATTTTCTGATTGAATTCATGGCCAGAAATGCTTGTCAGAGATAACAAGTGGAGTGAAATTCAATTACAAAAACCTTTACTTAATCCATGAATAGAGTCTAATAACTAAATTTCCAGAGAGATCATCTTTTGCAGAGACTTTGGGCGAATACTCAGGTTGCCAAGGGCTGACACATTTTATTTTAATGACAGGAAGAGGCTAGTTGTCTTAGGAGGTGATCTGCTATTATGTAAAGATATCCGGGGTGGGGGTCATTCCGCACTACTTATGTACTTTTGAGTGCTACAACAGATGGAGCCTGCTTTCAACACAGCATCCTCACAAAACAGTATCGTGCTAATGATATTCTTAGTCATAATAATGTTTCGTTGCCTTTGTAGTCTTACCAATCATTGGCTGAAGGATGTTCTCCAATACTCGAACAAGCTGCTGGTAGATCTGAATCGCCAAGTCGCTCAGCACCTGCCGGTACTCAGCCAGGTCAAAGTTGGTGAGGCAGTGTTCATTCTGGCGAGGTGTATTGTGCTTCATAAATCCCTAAATTGTAAGGCAAGATTGATTTCCAAGAAACATAATGCAATTTTTCTCTTCCCAATTTTAGCATAATTCTCCAATTCCCCTTTCCTTGATAAAAGGAATTCATTCCTCCCTCTTCCATTTCTGTGGCTGCCACCGTGGTCCAAGGCCTTCCCATACACACCCGGATGACTGCAACAGCATTTTAGTTAGTCTCCCTGTACTGGGGCCATTCCTACTTCAATCCCTCTTGCTTGTGGTAGTTAGAATCATCTCTCTCAAAAACTGTCTTCAGTATGTCCCTTTTCTGCTTCTTACTGCCTACTGGATGAAATTTAAATTTGATAGCCTGTCAGCCAGGGCTCTTTGTCACCTTTTCCCATTTAGCAAAATAAATAAATAATTGAAAATTGAAAATTAAGGAGTAGTGTAGAGATGTGTGGAAAATCCCAAGACTTAGCATACACTTGGGCTTTTTAATTAAAATGTCAGCTTCACTACTCTACACTAGAATATCAAAGGCCCTGAGCACTAATCTCTACAAACTAAAAGTAACAGGACCAAAAGGACACTACTATTGTCAGACAAACTGGGATGAACTTTATGATGATCTGTTATTAAGGTTTTTTCTTTTATCAGACATAATTACATCCATAGTGGGCAAATTGATATGCATGTGACTGTGACACAGAAAAAGCCTCCTTAAACAAAAATAGGTGTTTTGACAGTATTTGTTTAAATGGGATTCTAGACACAGAGAGGCTGGCAAATGTTTAACAATAGGCTCTCCGGGGGAAAATGTATGCAAGAAATGCTTTTAGACTTAATCTGCAATATTAACATTTTCTTCATTACATAATAATAACCTGATTTGTCACATTTGCAAATTTCCAAGGTGTAGATGCTTACACTGAAAAACTGACTTGAGCAAACCCTGGGCAGCTCCCACTTTTTTCTAAGTTGTGTTTTGCTTCTCTGTTCACTTCATTCTACTAGTGATCTATATTTCATTTCTTCTCACCTTTATTCACTTAATGATTTCAATGGGGTGTCCAAATAGATGAAGAGACAACATATTTGTATTCTGAATTTTGCTTTACCATAATCCCCTTTATGGCAGTTCTCCAGGAATACATTGTATTTAAAATCACAGAGCCCTTGTTCATCTGTCACATTTGCTTTTGTAGACTTTGGTCCAACCTTCTTCAGAAGCCTACAAGCTTTTTCAAGAGCAGGATGGGTCTACTAGATTTTAGACATGCTCCTCCCACTCCAAAAAATGGATTAGCTCGTCTAAACTTTGAATCTTTGCTAACTGATTAGTACAAGGTGCTACACACCATAGGCTCCTAAGAAACAAAGGCTGAATTTGAATATTCTCTGATTTGGGCTCTCCTACAGATTCTAGTATGTACATACAATATTCTGAATCTACTTGCCCATATAAGGGGGCAAGTTCCAAGCTTTAAAAAGTCTGCCCTATACTTCCTTGAAGGCTGAGACAATTTTTGTGTCTCCAGTACCTTGGAAATAGTAGGTATTAATATTTGTTGAATTGAATTCTCTTGAGAAAAACCAAATAAGCGTGAATACACCTAAGTACAAATAGGCCCAACACAAATACTGCATCAAATCAATAGCCAAAAAGGTGTTCTTATCTTTGGTCATCCTAAAAACTGTTCCATTGTCTTTATTCAGATTTCAGTTGTGTGATGGGAAGTTCATTTCATCTGCTATGCTGCCTCCATTTGTTTGTTTTTGTTTGTTTGTTTTTGCTAAGCAATGGGATTAAATGACTTGCCCAGGATCACACAGCTAGTAAGTGTTATGTGTCAGAGGCCAGATTTGAACTCAGGTCCTCCTGACTCCAGGGCCAGTGCTCTATCCACTGTACCACCTCGCTGTCCCTATGCTGCCTCTGAATATAAACCCTGGGAGTGGTTATACAAGGGCTTACTGTAAATGTACAATGAATATTAAACAATATTCTCTGATGCTCCAAACCATGTTGATTCTGGCCTTCTAAAAGTGAACAGGTAAAACACTTAATTTATTATTTTTTTTTATAAACATCAGGGAAAGGTATTCTCACCTCTTCTCCACTGTATTGCTTCAAACAGTGCAAAAATCGGCATGTGTTTGATAGCCAGAAGGAAACAGTTTCAAAATCGTCACCTCTTTTCTGAAATAGAGAAAAAAAAATAATTCTAAGTCTGGTTTTTCCTTGGGAAAGTGGTGATTTGAAAGAACTGAAAGAGATCCTAGAATTTACTTTCTGTAAGTCACTATATAGGTAATTATAGTATTCCTTTTGCAGATGGAAATATATGTTGCTCTTTTGCTATATCAATATATCAACATCTATATTGCTATATCAATAACCATATCAATAGCTTCCAATAACAGATTTCTTTGCAAGTTTCATGGGGAGCTTGTTATTTATCTTGGTCTCCATTTTTTCCTCTCATTAGGCAAGCTCTCCTTAACACTCAAGTGGCTGAAATTTAGCTTCTTTTTTTTTTTTTAAATCAGGAAAAAAAATTGTTAAAAAAAAAAAAGGCAATCCCTTACTTACATCCCTTACATATACATAACCAGGTGGCCTGATGGTCAGACCCTTTCCACAACCAAAAGTTCCCTCCCTAGGGACCTATCACTGACAAGATGGGAGGGAAGACGATAAATAGGAAAGGAGAGAAATCTAGAACTGTCACTTATCCCTCCCCTCACAACAGTGCTACTCTCTATGGTCCCAGAACTCATTTCATTTTGGTAGTATCCTTAGTCTCTAGTCTGTTTTGATACCCCTACATCCCTCATGGGTACCATTCTATGTTTCAACTAAAAGTCCCCACATTCTGTCCCAGCTCCTGTGCCTAAATGGCCAAGTTAACCTCTGATTTGCCTCTAAATATAAATGAAACTTCAAGCTTTGGGGAACCAAGTACCCCATTAACACTTTCCTTACAGGACCTGATAGAATAAAGAAAAAGAAGGCAGAATGAAAGAATGAGTGAATGAAGGTGTAAAAGTAGCAATCCCCACTTGGAAGAGCCAACTTCTAGAAAGGCATGATGATATGTAATGGAAATAGCATATTCCTCTTTTTGGATCATGTGAAGACTTTCTTCCTATATATTTTAGAAATAAGATCTTTATCAGAGAAACTTGCTGCAAAGACTTTAGACTTTCCTCCATTTACCTACTTATCTTATAATCATAGCTATGTTGGTTTTCCTTGAAAAAATTTAAAAAATTTTATGTAATCAAAATTGTCAATTTTACCTCCTGTGGATCTCTCTATCTTGTTTAGTCATGAACCCTTCACTTATCCATAGTTCTGACAAGTATTTTTCCATATTCCTCTAATTTATTTATTTCCCTTAAGATTCTTGACCTTTTTCCCCCCTTCATATGAATGTTTTATTATTTTTCCAAGTTGTATGGGGTAACCTTTTTGTAGTTTGGTATGGTACTAAGTAAATTTGTCTAGGTCAGGGGTTTTTAACCCTTTTTGGCAGTCTGGTGAAGCCTGCGAACACCACTCTTGGAATGTTTTTAAATTCATAAAATAAAATGCATAGGATTACAAAGAAAACCAATTATATTGGAATAGTTATCAAAATTATTTGAAAAAACAAGTTTATGGATTTCAAGTTAAGGACCCTTAGTCTATTGCCATTTCTATTATATTGGCACAATCTAACCATTTAGGGCTATATTTCTGCAAAGACCATTTTATCATAGTATTCATTTAATTCCTGTGTGAGTCTTGCTTTGTGGACTTCTAAATATTTTAAATATTCTATAGTTAATAGGAATGAAATTTCTCTTTCCATCTCCTCCTATCGAGTTTTGATGGTAATATATATGAAGTCTGTTAAGTTATGTGTTTTTATTTTTACACTGATATTTCAGTTATTGTTTCAACTAACTTTTTAGTTGAATCTCTAGGATTCTCTAAGTAGATCATCATATCATCTGCAAAAGGTGATCCTTTCATTTGTTCTTTGCCCATACTTATTCCCTTCATCTCTGTTTCTTGCTATCGCTAAGTAGTTAGATCAAATAATAGTGATAATAATGAACATCCTTGCCTTACTCCTGATCTTATAGAAAAGGACTTCTTTATTACATATAATGTTGAACTCTGGGTCTCAGACACTATAACCATATTAAGGAAAGGTTCATTTTTCCCTATTCCTTGAAAAATTTAAAAAAAAAAGAAATATGGGTGTTATAGTTTGTCAAAAGCTTTTTCTGTGCCTATTGTTATAATCATGTGATTGTTATTGTTTTTGTAATGAATATGATACATATCCACCCTGATCATCATGCATAATCTTTTAAATATTTTGCTGTAGCTTTTTTGAAAATATTTTATTCAATATTTTTGTGTCAATATTCACTAGGAATATTGGCCTATGGTTTTCTTTCTCTGATTTGATTCTCTCTGATTTAGGTATCAAGACTATATTTGGCCTATAGAAGATATACAGTAGGATGCCTTATTTTCCTATTTTACAATGTGTCAATTATTGGATCTAATTGTCTTTTGAATGTTTGATAGAATTCAATTGTAAATCCATCTAGTCTTGAGGTTAATTCCTTTGAGAGTTCATTAATGGATTTTCAATGTTTTTCTGAGATTAATTTAAATTCTACATTTCTTATATTAATCCAAGTATATTATATTTTTTGTAAATCATTCATTCCACTTATCAATTTTGTTGGTATATGATTGGCAAAATTACTTCCAATGAATTCCTTTGTTTCCTCTTCATTAGATAGGAATTCTTTTTCCTTTTTGGTACTGCCAATTTGTTTTTCTTCTCATTCCCTAATATCAATTTCCCTAATAGCTTATTAATTTTTAAACAGCTTCTAGATTTATCAACTCAATTTTTTATTGCTTTGTTACCTTCTTTGACTTTTCAGAATTTCTATTTTGTGTTTAGTTGGGGTTTTCTGATTTATAGCCTTTCTTTTTGTTCCTTCCTTCCTTCTTTGCATACTCAATTAATTGATGTGCTCTTTCTCTCTGTCAATGAAAGTATTTAGAGATATAAATTTTCCCCTTGGGGCTACTTTGACTGCTCACCAAAAGTTTTGCTATGTGGTTTCATTTTGTCATTATTTTTCTCTTTGATGAAATTATTTATTGATTCTATGATTAAATCTATGACCTAGCAATTCTTAAGGATTAAATTATTTAGTATCCATTTAAACTTAATTTCTGTCTTTAAAGGCCCTGGTATTGATTAGTACTTTCATTGCATTATGGTCATTAAGGATATATTTAATATTCTGCATTTGTTTATGAGGTTTTTATGCCCTATCAAATGGTCAATTTTTGTAACGGTGCCAAAAACAACTTTTAATTCCATAATTACACGGCATCTATAACACAACATTCTAAAATTCTATTCAGGTCCCTAATTTCTTTCTTGTTTAATTTTTTTTCAAAGGGTCACAGTTATAGTTTTCTGTCTATTTTTCTATGTTATTTGATTAACATTCCCTTTAAGTACTTAGATGCTATGTCACCAAGTGTATATACAAGGTGTCCCCAAATTCTGATTTTTTGGTATTGATACTACTCATTGTCTGTGCTGTCTTTGAGCATAATAAAGTTTCCATTTTTCCTTTTACTGTTTTCCCTATTCCTTTATCTGAGATCACAATTGCCACCATGCTTCTGTGATTTCATCACATGATTCTGTTCCAGTCTGTTATTTACCCACATATTATATTGTATGAATTTTTATGTTTCAGGTGTACTTTACTTTATTGAGTTCTGCTTTCTACTCCATTCTGCTATCTCCTTCCATTTTATGGGTGAGTTCATCCCCTTCACATTCAAGGTATATGATTGTTGTGTATTTCCCTCCATCATATTCTCCCATGTTTCCCCCCTTTCTGTCCATCTCATACTTACAAAGAAAGTAGTGAAAGAAATAGAATTTAACATTATCTATAACTAAAATGATCATCTTTCACTCAATTGCCCTTCTCTTTATATCATCCAGATCCTTATTATTGCTTCTTACATTTTCTTTCTTTCCTTTTAATACTCCCTTCACAATCCATCCTTTAAAGAGGAAATTCAGTTTGCTTGTGACCATTTCTTTCCAATTCTTTTCTCCCTCAACCCTTTTCTCTGTCCGTGCTCATTTTCCTAATGACCTTAATGTAATTCTATACCAAAATCTCTGTGTGCATGCATGTGGGCTCAATCCTCTTTTTATACTGTACTCTAGTTATGAGAAATAGTAAGTTATTCTTCTTTCTTCCTAATTTCTTTCCTAGTGTATTCCTTTATCCCTCCCTTTTCTTTCCTCTCTCAGGACTATAAAAAAAAAAAACAACACATTCACAATCTCCTTATTTGCCTTGTTTAATGTAGAGGCATCAGTATTCTGAAGGGACAGTATCTCTTCACTTCTTAAAACATAAGCCTGTCATCAAACTTTAGCCTCTTCCCGATATTTCTACTGACTCCTGTCTTTGCTTTTTTTTTTTTTTTTTAATTTTTAGGCAATTGGGGTTAAGTGACTTGCCCAGTGTCACACAGCTAGTAAGTATCAAGTGTTTTGTCTGAGGCCAGATTTGAACTCAGGTCCTCCTGATTCCAGGACCAGTGCTCTATCCACTGTGCCACTTAGCTGCCCCTCCTGTCTTTGCTTTTTAAAGTATCTACATAGCTGTGGTCTTACCAGGCATGCTTAGAAGACATTTTCCATTAGAGGTCCATTTTTCCCCTCTAGTATTAAACTCAGCCTTATATTCTTGATTGTAAGCTTTTATTTTCTGCTCTTTGGAATATCATGCTCAGATTTTCTCCTGACTGTAGTTCTTTGTCTTAAAAATTTCTTTCTGATTATTTGTACTTTTCTTTAACCTGGAAGCTGTAGATTTTGACCATGATATTCCTAGCCATTTTTCATTTATGATCTTTTGTTTTTAGGAGATGACTGGCAAATTTTTTCTATTTTCATTTTGCCCTTTGTTTCTAATAGATTAGTTGTTGTTGTTCAGTCATGTGTGACTCTTCATGACCCCATTTGTGGTTTTCTTGGCAAATATGCTAGAGTGATTTGCCATTCCCTTCTCCACCTCATTTTACTAAGGCCAGCAGGGATAAGTGATTTGCCTGGGGTCACACAGTTAATAAGTTTCTGAGGCTGGATTTGAACTAAGGTCCTTCTGACTCCAGGCCTGGCGTTCGTTCTATCCATGGTGTCACCTAGCTTCCCCTAATAGATCATGGCAATTTTCATTTATGATTTCTTGAAATACAGTATCTTAAGTTTTTTTTTTTGGTTTGGTTATGGTTTTCAGGGAGTCTGAGGATTCTCAATTTATCCTTTCTTGACATGTTTTCCAGATCCATTGTTTTTGACATTAGAAACCTAACAATATCTTCTATTTTTTTTCAATCTTTTGATTTCCTTCTAATACATATTACTGTCTCCTAGAGTCATTAACTTTTGTTTGTTCCACTCTAATTTTAAGAAAATCAGCTATTTGAGAAAGGGTTTCAACCTTCTGTTCTAAGCTACTTATCCCCCTTACAACTCCTTCCTCAAGAACTTTTATTTACAGATAATTTTATTTTTAATCTCTTGCTTAATTTCTTCCAATCATTCTTATTGACCTTGTGGTCCAGTATTTTCCCCCTTTCCTCTGATTGTACTCATTGTGGGAACACTGCTTTTTATGAGTTTATCTCTTGGGCATCTCTTGGTCCACAGTATTTCTTCACTGTTGGGTTTCTTCTTATTCATTCATACCTCCAGATTCAGTTCCTGGTTATGGGAATTTGTGCCATGGACAAACTCTACCCCCTGCAACACTGCTGGATGGTGTGGTTGGGCCCTGTTTGGGCTCCTACCTCCAGCTCCAACTCCTCTGGTATGCCTGTAATCACAGCACTATCAGGTTTTTGGTCCCTCCCAATCCCAGATTATATGGGGTGAGAACACTAGAGTCTTCAGGCCCCTGTAGGGTGTCTATAGTCAGAGCATGTGGCATTCAAGCTACCCAAAGCACCTTACATCAGAAATGTTGCAGGCTTTTGCTCCCCCTGCAGCTTCCTTGCCAGAATGCTGCCAATTTCCAATCCCCAGGCAGATTCCCCACCAAAGCAATGCAGGAATCAGGACCCTTGAAGGATACCCAGCCAAAGTGCTGGCAAGCTTTGGGTCTATTTACCTATGCTGCTGCCAATAATGCCTGCAGGCTTCTGGATGTTTGTTTTTGTGTAGTACTGCACTAGATGAAGGCACTCATTGCTTCTCCCTCCGACAAACACACCTTCGGATTTGTTGATCATCATTCAATGCACTGCCCTTTCTAAAGCTTTGCTGAACTATATGCAGGATTCCTCTACAACCTTTTATATCATCATTATAACTAGGAATTCTAAAACAGGTGATTTTGATGTTTCAATGTAGCTTCCCATATTGTTGATATGTACTATAAAGTGTTTCTCCTAAGTAGGTATTTCATGTCCTAGCGGAAATTTTGGTGAAAGAGGATAAAGGGAAAGAAAAATAATCATCCAGAAATTCCTTATTAGTCACTTAAAGTCTCTTATTTTAATTGTAGCATGTTATTCTCTATAGATTTATTCCATTAAATAACTTTCATTTGCATTCCAGATAGGATCTGGAAGCACAGATAACTCTCATTTATATAATGCTTTAAGGTGTTCCAAATGCTATCCTTATATATAACAAGCCTATGAGGAATGTAGTGCAATGATTATTATCCCCCATATTAAGATCAGGAAACTGAGGCACAGAGAAATTAAGCTGTTTGCCCCTGGTCACGGAGCTAACATCAGAGCCCAGATTCAAATATAGGTTTCCTAACTCCCAGGCCAGTGATTTTTCTACTATACCCCTTAAGCATATTACTGTAAAGCTAAAAACATGAAGCATCCAACCGATCTTACTGTTCAACTCAAACCTTGTTTTTAAAATAAACAAATGGATAAATGTCAAGGAAGAAATCTTTCCCATAATAAAAGTTATTATCTACCAGTTATGACTAAAAAAGTTTCACTAATGGGTAACTCATTTCTCACACTGAAGGAGGATTCATTTAAAAAACAGAAAACAACAGCAATGTAGATTTTATCATCTCTACCATTCATTCGATGGTAGTTTTCATAAATCAAAGAATGGACTGACCTTCAGTACTTTTTTAATGCTGTTAATTGTTGATGTCAGCAATGACCTCACTTTCTGATCATCGTTCAGGTAGTCAGCATGTCGGACACACATAAATAAAATGTAGGCTGGTAACCCAGGGATCAAGTTGACAGCTACCCCACGTGGTTTCAAGTCTAGAAGAAAAACAATTTTAAAAAATTTCACATAATGCTCAAAACCACACAAGGAAGGCTTTGTGGTGTGGCCTACATGGTTAGGCATCACATAAACATGAGTATTTTTTAGGGCAAAAAGATATCAGTAGAAAGGATCTGGTAAGGTATGAAGTTGCAGCTTCCAAAATAGTGCTGTTATTGAAGCAATTATTACAGTGCCATGAATCATGTCAGTCTGTAATACATGTTTCCTGTTGATGGTGACCACTTTGCTGGAATACTAGAACTTAAAAGGAAGGCCAAATGAAAAGTTAATGTAGAGTTGTGGCTTAAGGTATGACATTGAAACATATTCTTAATTCTTTCACTTCACAAGCTCACGGCTCTATGTATGACCCTTCATTCTTCTTCTGAGGATCTCATATTCTTCATAGCCCCACGCTCAATGTCCTTAGAGATTCTCCTATTCCCCACCCACCTTTAACTTCTGTGTTTCTTCTATTAACATCTTGTTTACTCCATTGTTTTCCTGTCATTGTGGAGTTTTCTCTCTTATAACATGACTCTAATCACATGTGGTAGTCAAAAGAAAAATGAACCAATGCTACTGATAAGCAGCAAAAAGTGAAATTTTGTGTTCAATCCTAATCATCATGTAATAACATCAACATGTAGGTGTTCGGACCTACGGAGGACATTTTCAAAAACTTTATGTTGGCCATTCCTTGAAGCTAGATATCTGTGTCGAAGGTACAGGGGTATTAATCCAGGTTGATCAAGTAAGCTGTTGTTTCATGTAAAATATACTTGCCCAGGATGAGATTCTTGACAAGTTTTTGCTCATCATCCTTCTTATATTCCAACATTCCCTGGAAATCCTTTTCCTTCCTGGGTATGTTCACTGGACGGATAGGTTCATCAATGATCTGCCCAGGAGATATGTTCTCCATCTGCCCCACTTTAGGAGTAAAATAAGAAAAATACATATATATTTCAATGTAGAACCATGAAACAGAAATAAAAGATGTCTATACTCAACAGCTCAAAACAGTACTTATCTCGTTCTTTTCTCATAAAACTAGAGAACCATAATCAAGTCATTCAAAAAAAATTGTAACGTCTAGAAAACAATTTTAATTCTAAATGTCTTCTTTTATAAAAGCCACCAAGGTTATCTGTAAAAAAAAAATTATTTTTCCCCAATTACATGTTAAAAAATGATTCTCAATATTTGTTTTTTTTTTTAAGTTTTGAGTTCCAAATTCTATCCCTCCCTCCCTGCCTTTTCCCACCCTGAGACAGCAAGCAATCTGATATAGGTTCTACATGTGATACAGGTTATATACATTATGTAAAACATTTCCATATTAGTCATTTTGTACAAAAAGATTAGATTTTTAAAATGAAAATGAAAATAGTATGCTTCGGTATGAACTTGTTTTTAAAAAAAATTTTGATAGCTATACTTCAATAAAATTGGTTTCCTTCATAATCTTATGTATTTCATTTTATGCATTTAAAAGCATTATTCTGAGAAGTCCACAGGCTTCACCAGACTATGAAAGGGGTCCATAACACACAAAAAAAATAAGAATTCTTCTTGTAAGAGGAAACCCCATTAGTTGAGTCCTTTATGAGTTATTCCTGATTTTTATTCAAATACCAGACATAAGACCCTTGAAAGAGCTTATAATATACCTTAAGATAAGTGAAGAGGGAAATATGGCTACGTTTTAGAGGGGACTGTGCTTGGTACTAAGACTAAAAAAACAAATCCCTCTTTTCTACCAGTTACTTTTACTGAAAGAAATCACCATTTACTTCAGTTTGAAGAGGAAATAGATCAGGCTGAGGAAGTCAAGGAAATACCTACACTCTGTGTAATCAAAAGAAAACCATTAAAAACTATTATTTTTGATGACACAAGAATATATCATCACTGATTTAGAGCCAGAGAAGAATTTTAAGTCTATCTATTGCAACTCATTTTATAGACAAGGAAACCCAGACCCAGAGAGATTAAGTGACTTGCCCAGGGTCACAAAAGATAGTTAGCAGAGCCAAAATTTGAACCTAGAGCCCTTAATTCCAAATAGAGTACTTTTTCCACCACATCATGATGATGGGAACTTATGTTCTAAAAAGCAATTTCATTTTCATTTGGTCAAATCTCTAAGGAGCAGCTAGGTGGAACAGTGGATAGAGCATCAGCCCTGGAGTCAGGAGGACCTGAGTTCAAATCAGCCTCAGACAAATAACACTCACTAGCTATGTGACTTTGGGCAAGTCATTTAACCCCTATTGACTCACCCAAAAACAAAAATCTCTAAAAACATTTTTTCTTTTGTTAAAAACACAATTCAGAAGGCACTATCTTTTCATATCCTAAGAATGACATTCACATGCAGATAAAATATGGAAGAAATTAGGTCAATAGTGTCATTGATTTATATAACCCTCTCAAATAAGTGAAATAAAATATCAATTATCTTTAGGAAGGTACAGGGTTTCAAGTACAGTTAATGAAGTACAACATTCCACTTGTGTTTAGGAAAATCTAAAGCAATCCTTCTTCCTGATAATGAACCATTTATGCCTGTGGATAAACTATTCAATCATAAAATTGGCCATGTCTCACTAATTAGGAGGACTGTATTTCAAATACGTGATTAGGAAGGAAAAAGTAACTATTTGTACAAAGGTGTTCATGGCTTTGTTGTATATAATACCAAAACTCAGGAAATCACCTAACTACCTAATGTTTAGAAAATGTATAAACAGCTCATAGTGTAGCAATACAATGGAGCAGTATGTCACCATGTAAAATGACAAATACAAATAGTTATATCCTAAGCACCTACTACCTTACATAAATGCTAGTTGGAGTAAATAGCATACAGTGAAAAGGTATAGTTATTTTAAAAATGTAAAAGGAAAAAAAGACCAAGCATACTACATACACAGACTATAACTGAAAAAAAATTCGATGTATATACGTAAGAGTATATTCATAAAGATCAGAAGGAATTTAAGTCCCTGATATTAGTAGCTGTATATTTAAATATATTTTTTATCATAAAACTAATGAAACAAAATATAAAGGGGATAAATCCACAAAGATTACCAGCATTTCTGTATATTACCAACAAAATACAGCAGGAAGAGAGAGAAATTCTATTTAAAATAACTACTGAAAAACATAAAGTAGAAAAATATTCCACTCCCTCATTTCTCTAATTAAAGACCTACATAACCCTTTCCAGTTCTCTGTCTTTGCCCCTGCCACTCCCACACACTTCAAGCAATGAAAGGGTGAACTTGAGGTTGAACTGAAACTGCTGTCATGCAGGAGAACTCCTTATAATGGAAAGATACTAAATCATTGTAAAGTTAAAAAACATCAAATTAGAAGTTAGAAGACCTAGATTTTACACAAGCATGGCCACTAATAATCCATATGGCATTGGACAAGTAACTTCACTTCATATTCCTTATCTGGTTTGATTAGGTATTCACTAATGTCCATTCCAGCCCTAAAATGCTATGATCTTATTTATATTATGATACAGAAAATATTTTTTAAAATCATAAACCCACTTCCAGATTCAAAAATGAAATAAAAATTTGAAATCTCTACAACTATGCTGTGTGTGTGTTTAAGGTGCAGTAGAAAGAAGACTTGGGATTAAAATTCTCCCTGCCACTTACTACCTGTGTGATGTTGAAAAGTTGCTACCCCTCTTTGGATCTCAGTATTTTTAACTATAAAATGAAGAGAATTGGCCATTACTCCATTGACAGACCCATTAGCTTTCATTTTTTGCCACCGCAAAGAGCAGCAATAAATATTTTTGTGCAGAAAGGACCTTTTCCACTTTCTTTGATCTCTTTGGAGTATAGGCCTAGCAATAGTATAGGTGGATCAAAGGGCACACACTGCTTAGAGACAGTTTGTGTAAAATACCAAATTGTTTTCCAGCATGTGAAATGTTGCATGTACTTTCAGGTGAGGTCACTGTATAATTAGTTATACTTAATTGTTTTATTTTGTTATAAGAAACTTCTCATGAAGAGGGACTAAATTATAGTCCAAGACCAAAATGCATCAGTAAAACTATAATGGTGGAATAGGAAAAAAAATGCAACTTTTTTCTTGTTACTATTTTTACAAGACCTATAGAAATGAGAGCAGGAGTTCTCTCTTCTGAGTTGCAACAGCAATTAAACAAAGTTGCACATGATACTGATGAAGCAAGTACAGAAATAAGCTGCTATGTTGCTCTCATTACTAAACATATTTCTGCCAAGTATTTGCAGGAAAGCAAGTTTTGTTTTCAAGCCAAGATATTTGACTAAAAAAAAAGTTTAAAATTTTTTTACTCTAAGAGCCATTGATAGAATCACTGCAAGACTTTCTTTTCTCCCCATCCTCAATGAACACATAATTGGGGGCAAAATATAAAGGGAGTTGGATTAAATAATTTCCAAGATCCCTTCAAGCTTTGGATCTATTTATGACCAAATGCACACAAGTTTACTGATGTTAAATACAATATAGTCTTCTTTAATATTTTAATTGTAAAATAGTGTCTATTTTAGATCACTGTCACTTAAATGAACTAAAAAAGGGAAAATTCTCATAACTCCAAGGTTCTGCTAAAAGAACCCAATGAAACTTTAAAAATTCTTTATTTTGGGGAATTTTCTAAATTTCTTATTTTTTTTTTTAGCAAAAGGAAAGAGGTGGCAGAGACAACTTTTTTTTTTTGCCATATTTTATCCGCTCTCTGCTTTTCTGAAAAAGCAAGTTATGAATACATGTCCAAATCTCTTTAAATAATGATCAAAATAATGATTCATATTTCAAACCATGCTTTAATGTTTCAAAAATGTATGCCTCACAATAGCTCTGTGAAGGATATAGTACAGATATTACCTCTGTTTTACCGTTAAAGAAACTGAGGCTCAGAAAGACTGAGACAGTGATGGTTACTCAGCTGGTAAATGTCAAAGCTGCGATTAGAACCCAAGTTCTATGGTTCTTCTAAGTGCAGCCTCTTGGCAGCTCACCATAGGCTCTCACCAAAGATGACCTCTAATAACAAATCTCTTCTCTTTATTTTACCCTGCATAAAAATGTCATCTGATGCATTCCTTAACAGTAGTTATAAATGTCTCATTTTATTTCTAATCCATGCACTGCCTATTTGAGTGCCATGTGTATGTATACCTATGTACAAGACTGGAAATCAAATTGATGACTCATACTTAACAGGACCTTAAAATGATTAGCATCTCATAAGATTTAGAAATCCTATTCTCACCTGTCTCTTCAATTCTGAAAAAAGACAAATCAAATTGACATTGTAAATAGTTAGGCTTTTGGATGCTATTATAGACTTCCTAGTTTTATAGATTTCTACAGGCGTGTTTCAGTATATCATTAGTGGTCACTAAAAGTCTAACTTGATTTGTCAGAAGCAGATGAGTCCATGTCCTTTTTCTTAGTTCACTTTTCAATGATTCATATGAATTTTGGCAATGGCTGAATGTTACTTGTAGCTTTTAAGTTAACCCACAGCAAAATAAATAAATAAATTTAAAAATTAAAAACAAATTCAATGAATAAAGCCCAGTTTTAGGGCTTAACAATGCAACATGATACCAGTCAGGAAAGCTGGGTTCATGAATAGGTTTCAGCCTACCTGTGTGACCTTGGGGAACTAATTTCTGCTCTACAAGCCTAGTTTTCTCATCTGCAAAAGAGACACAATACATGTACTACCTAACTCACAGGGCTGTTGTGAGAAAAGTACTTTGTAAATCTTAAAGTGCTATATAAATGTGAGACTATCTTAATAAAATAAGCTATTTGCTTACTGTAACTGGCGTAGAGGTCTTGTGTTTTTGAAGAATGATGTACATTGTGTGAAACATACTGTTTCCACAAGATTACACAAAAAATGATTATATCTTGGAGATTTGATGTGTTAGAGATACATAAACATACAAATGATTTTTTAAAATATTCTAAATGATGGTAAGACTTTTTCTATGAAGGTAAAAATAATTTTTGCAAATAGCCAAAAGTCATTCAGAACTATAGCTAGTGAATTAACTGGATGAACAAGACTCATTTCATGTTTGTTTCTAAAAGAAGAGAAAAACAACTCAATTAATGTGACTGCTTTTCTTGTGTGGTTTGAAAGCACTCCTGAAGATAGCTCCAAGAGATCTTAATTCGAGTTTTAATCATTAGAAGTCATGGATAGCCACCCAACATAACCATTCTGAAGGCCAACAGTCACTTGGGTGGTATAAACCATCTAACTCATCACTTCTAGTTTCACCTCATAAGTCTGGACTTGTAGTTAGGAGTCCAAGGTTTAAATTCCAGCTCTTACATTTATAAGTTTTCTGAGTGTAGGCAAGTCATTTAACTCTGTGCCTTAACTTCCATATTGGAAACATGGAAATAATATTTGTGCTATCAATCTCATAGGGTTTTCTGAGAAAAGTGTTTTATAAACATTAAAATATTACACAAATATGAGTTATTTTTAGTAATGTTATTATTTTGGCAAGTGATTATTATTAAGTGGTTTTTCAGTTGTGTTCAATTATCTGTGACCCCATTTGGGGTTTTCTTGACAGAGATACTGGAATGGTTTGCCATTTCCTTCTCCAACTCATTTTATCGATGAGGAACCAAGGCAAACAGAGTTAAGTGACTTGCCCTGGGTCACACAGCTAGTAGGTGTGTGAGGCTGTACTTGAATCTCATGAAGAGGTCTTCCTGATTCCAAGTCCAGTGCTCTATCCACTATGTCACCTAGTTGCCCCAGCGACTAATTAGCACCCTCTGTAAATTATGATAGGACACGATGTAACTTTTTGAGGAGCAGTTCCTATTCATTCACCATCCGCCTCCTGTATGAGATTGTTTTGTTGCTTTATTAAATACATGAAATTCTGTATCTTACCAAAAACTGAATGGGGGAAAAACAACACAGAGATGAGCAATATTCATGAAAGCAAGTATTTTGCTTTGTAGCAAATATTCATAAAAGTAATACCTTCCAGTTCTCCAATTTTTTTAGCAAATACTTTCAGCTGTTTCTTCAATTTCCGGACAGTCTTGTCCTGTTTTTCAAGTTGTTCCATCAAATCCTAATGATCAAAATGAAAGACAAGAGATGAGGAATAGAAAAGACTCCATTCATATGCATGAAGGGAGAAGGCACAATAAGTCACAGAAACAGCAATTATTAGTTATACAAAAAATGAGGGGAGGCTCCTGAAAGGTTGGATGGTGGCTCTCCCCACCTGGCTAACACTGTCAAGCCTGTAAAATTCTTAGACAATAAAAGCCAAACTTCTTAAACACTTTGGACATTCAAACCTTAGGCAGCATGATGGAAACAAGGCCTGAAATGATAGCATTTTAACTAGGTCCCGTGCAGATTCAACAGTAGTAGCATGATAACAAAAAGATGTACTGTTATCACATTTGAACATGTTCTAAAGGGAAGTAAGAATGAAAATAAATTTCTCTAAAAGTACAAGTAAGAGTCTTTGGGGAAGTTTTAAAGAAAGATTGAGCTTCTTAGATGTGTTCTCTTTTGACTCAACACATGAAAGAAGGTAGGAACCACCCTCAGGAAATGTCAGAAATTATTTGAGAGCTAAAACTTAAGAGAAAGAAATAAGCATAATAAAAAAAATGGTGAAGAACTCTTCTGATTGAGTTCAGAATTGTTCAAAGTGGCAAAGTGTAGGTTAAAGAAAAGGGGTCACAGCCAGATGGGCTTGGTGACCCTGGGCAAATCTCTGCTACTCTCAATGGTAGAGAAGGTACTGACCTGCACTGGTAAAAAGAGTTTCTTATGCCAGTAAAATCATCAGTCCAGTTCTATCTTATCACAGTCATACATTTACTGTAATATAAACTCATTTTGCAATAAATAAAACAGATGTTACTCATAATATTTCATATGCAGCCCATCTTTTGAAATTCCTCCAAAAAGGCTTGGACATAGAGCAAAAGGAAATGGAAGCAGAGCTAACTGTGGGCTTAAGATAAGCCCCTTTTCTAGGTATTGCTAAGCTCTAGTGGGTTTCAGACTTTACAAAAGGACAAACTGCCAAGAGTCCTTTTTTTTTTCTTATACCTTATACCTTTCTTATACCTTAAGGGGACTCATGATAAGAAAAAGCCAAGCAAGTGAAAAATAGAAAAGCAGGCAAAGAGGACAAAAGACTGTGCCTGGGAAGATAAGTCAGAATTAGGGCAGGATCCTAGATGGGCTTTCTATGCTGAGTTCTGCCATTGTGGGTTGAGCTGAGGGCCATCAGGTGTTAGCACTTCTCAGAGAAAGGCAAACACTAAGGGGCCAGGGAAAGAATCTCAGAGCTGGCCAGTGGCCATCCCAGATGCGGGAACAGAGCTGTATGTGAGGCTGTCTTGCAGTGACCCCACCCCATCCTCAACCCCATGCTTTCCCAGGGACAGAGGGAGATTTTCTCACCATTACCCATTCTACTCCCTGCTTGTTTCTCTGTGTCTCTCCCTTGTTTGGCTTTTTCCTATCCACAAACCCTTCAACGTCAGGGTCCAAAAATAAGAAAAAAAAGTACTCTGGGTAATTTACTTTCAATAAAGTTGAAAACCCTGTGGAACTTGGAAAGCACATGTCAAGCTCTTTAGGAAGCATTCCAAAAGATGGACTACATGCAAGGAAAGAAAACCATATCATATGCAAGAGGAAAAAAAAGATAAAAAAAAAGACAAAGAACCAATGGCCTTGATTCTAATTATAACTAACTTACACATAAGAATCAATGAAGATGTTATTTTTCACTTAGTTAAGAAGAAAATGTAAAGGAAGAACTTCAGGGAAAAATCAAAAGAAGGGCAGTCAAGGATGTATGGAGTTATTAAGAAAGCTGTAGGAAGAGTAACTTTTTGACCAAAAGTGAATTTAGACGTCAGATTTCTCAAAATAAGTATTTTCTAAAATTTGAAAAAGTTCAGATGCACATTTCAGATTTTATTTTCTTTTTCAAGTCAAACTTTGTTTCCATCTCATTTTAAAGACTAGGGTTAGTAACAAAGCAAACACTAAAAATGACATATATCAGATAGACGTGATGCCACTCGCTAAGAGAAAGCTGTGGGGGAAAATAGGTTTGTGAGACTGTCTGAAGAGGATTTCCTTGGAAAGAGTGGGCAACAAGCCTGCTGTTCTGTTAGCAATCCAGAAGTAGCAACAAGACAACAGAAAAACACAATCTGTGGGATTTACATACAATCATCCGTTTGTAAAGTGAAATCCGATATGATTGATAGTCCTTAGGGTCATCTGCATATAATTCCTCAAAATACTGAAAAAATAGGCACAATTGATGTTTGCTTTTATCTTTGGGGGATTTTAATATCTAACCAAAAGCAACTTAAAATTATTTTAAAACAAAAGTACTGAAACCTCACATTCTCAAAAGACAATATTTGCAATTGCTATATACCAATGGTCCTCTTAACAACTAGTTATTCTGATTAGGTGTAGTAAGATTCATCAAATGTACTAAATATATTAACTTATATGTGTGTGTACATTTACACACACACACACACAAATGGGTGGGGAGTGGTAAACCCTGAAATATACAGATAAAAACAGGCTAGGGCCAGGATCATGTTTTCCAATGGGTAGCAGGGACCAGTAAGTCACCTGTCTTCCCTCTCCCAGCCACGGTAGCAGCAGGCCTGGGCACAGCCTTCACCTACTGGGGATGGAAAGATAACTGTAATGATGCCTCTTCTGGACCAGGTTAGACAAAGTGGCAAAGAGCAGCGGCAATGTTCTCCCTCACAGTTCTCTTCTGGGAAAGAGTTAAGTAATGTGGGAGTGATTTGAGGGCTATGTTCATCAAAGCCTGAAGGCCCAGGTGTACATGGAGGGAACCCTTGGGAGGTATAAACAAGCTCAGGAACCACCAGTGTCTCAGTACTGCTCTAGTGCAGAGAATAATAATTTTGAGCATTCTAATTTGTTTATATTCTGATCTCTCTTATCCAATAAGTTGCATAAAGAGAAGAACACAGTTGACCTAGACACTGAGCCCCCCGGCCAAAAAGTAAAGTCTTAATAATTTAGATCTGTGATTTAAGTTAATCTCTCTGAAAGCAAGTAAGCTTTCCCTCTGAAAAAGTAGCTTGCTATTAATCAAAGAAGTGTTTGAGCTACAAGGGAATAAACAAAGATATTTATAATATAATGATATTTTTCCATAAGCCACATATCACTTCCTTACTTTATGGTAATATACTTGTAAAAAGATACTCATTTTACAAAAGTTATGATGACACTGAAAAGGACAACTATTTTAGGCAAGAATTTAGGCTCCATTTTGTTGCTCAGAACCAGGCAAGGGGGATTCACTTCACTGAAACATTGCTTTAAAACATTTCTTGGGGCAGCTAGGTAGCGCAGTGGCTGGAGTAGCAGCCCTGGAGTTAGCAGAATCTGAATTCAAATCCAGGCTCACACACATAACACTTACTAGCTGTATGACTCTGGGCAAGTCATTTAACCCCAATTGCCTCGCCAAAAAAAAAAAATCTTTTTTTCTCAAGAATGTGAGAAATTCATGAGTATTAATATTTTTAAAGAGATGTATTTAATTATAATTTTTCTTTAAAATGTAATATTTCTTAAAGAGATTTACTCAGTTATAATTGACTTTTTTGTGTTTTATGGACTCCTTTGACAGTCTGGGCTTATGAACCCTTTCTCAGAATAATGCTGTTGAATGTATAAAATACATGGGATCACAAATGAAATCAATGATTTTGAAATACAGTTATCAAAATATTAAATAAAATAAATTCATAGACCCCATGTTAAGAACATCTGACTTAAGTACTTTGTACCATGGGCCATGACGGAGATTTCCACTCACTAGCTGAATGAAAAATGAATATTCTCAAATTCTTAGCTCAGCTTGGATCTTAATTCTTACTTCATCTTATCACTAGCGGTGTTGACAGGTGGCTACTTCATGGGCAATGGGAATTAAAAGCCTGCCATACTCTCAGATGACAGCAGTCATACAACATGGTACAGAATCTTCTTTGACAGGATGACCAATAAGTCCCCTCCAGCTCTAAATCTATTGTCCTCACATGCCTTTCAGTTAGAGAAAACAGCATAAGTTGAATGCACATAACAAATTAAGTCTAGAGTGCCTCGTCAGGTGTGGCCAATTTCTTGCCTGTCAGAACCATAAATAATCACTTCAAGTATCAATGAGTTACAAGACACATACAACCACTGAACAAGTATTTTTCATTCCTAAAGCTACAATTCAGCAATATTTTACTATCATACGTACTGTATGACTTCTAAAATGAAATAGTAACAGTTTGTGACCACAAAATCTTTACCACAAGGTAAAGCATTGTCTGATTTGAAGAATTTAAGTATCCCCAGAAGTATTCACACAGGGCACAGACCAAAGTGGGCAGAATAGCCACTGGTGCCTTACCAAGTTCTCATTGGTCAGCCGGGTAATCTCATGCTGCAGGCTGGCTTCAATGCGGGCCTCGGGTGGTAACTGTAGGTTCTGGGCCAACAGCTGCTGTTGGCGATTATTCTCCTCCTTTAGACTCTGGATCTCACCCCGCAATGCCTCCGTTTCGTTGTCATGGCTCTTTTTCTGGGACTGGAGCTGTGATTCCAAGAGTCTATATAGTCAATAAGGGAAAAGAAGCTTGTTATTCTTATTCATTTGTTAATTGCTCAGTTCACACTCAGGATAATATTCAATTATTGATTTGTGAAAGGGGGGGGAGGAGAGGGGAGAGCAGAGACTCTAAGTGATTCAGTTTGCCCTCTGACTAAATCAAACTCAAGAAACCTAAAACAGTGACCAGAAAGGAGACTGATGCTTTGATAGATATTACCAAACTAAAACTGAATGTTTTTCAATACTGCAAATACACTGTAAAAAAGTCTGAAAAGCTTACACATTCTAGCTCATTTTGAAGGCATTAACATATTAGACAAAAAGGACTAAGAACTGTGAAAAGTCAATGAAACAAATTGGCTTATGGGGCATAAATCTTGGCATCTGTATTAACAATATAAGGACTTCTGGGAAAAAATAAATTTTTTTCAAAGCCCAACATTACCTCAATAGAGAAAAAATCTGCAAACCCCTAAATACTACTTGGCGGGGAAGTGTCTGTATGATTAAATATGCATTTAAGTATTTCATAAATGATCACTCAAAATGAAGCTTGGGTTTGGGGTCCCATTTTACTTTTTTGTTTCCCTAAATCATCTCTCATTTCCAAAGGATGGTGAAGTCAGGAATAGGAATCTGTCAGTCTCAAGAAACACAAATCAAAGTAGGTACTTCTGAAATATGTCCTTATTTTTAGATTTGTTCACCAAGCAGACAGAGCCACACATGTCAATCACATTTCCTATCCCTTACAAGAGACAATGTGAAGGTATAAATATTAGAAATATCAATAAAGGAACTAATGTGTCATAGAGCAAACAGATGGACACTTGTAAACAAACCGTCATCTTTGTTTAAACTCCTATAGTTAGAACATTAAGACAGAAGAAAATATAGTATATTGCCTTTACTATTCCCCCCATCCCCTATTATTACATCTCTATATTTTTGCAAACATAAGAAACAAGACTATGTTAGGAATTTATTAACAAAATGAAAGGAAAATATTATTAGGTTAAAAGCATCCCCTATAGTCCCAGTAGTTATTAAGGTTACTATAGTCTGATTAATAATAGCATATTAAAATATTTGATACTTTTGGAGACTACAAAAATTGAATGAGAATTTTAAACCATCACATTCTATAGTTATTGATTGTTTCATAATTAGAACAAAACAAAATAGCACTTGAGCAGCAGCATTAAAAATGTATATGGCATATATATATTTCTTAGAGTATTTTTACAAACTTTCTCTTATAACTATCACTACGAAGATAAAATTTTTGTTTTGAAAAGCCGCTTTTTTGAATGTTAATTGTTTTCTCTTCAAATCTACATCGGCTCAGCATGTCATATTTGATGGGTTAATTCTATGCGGTAAGCATTTTGGATTTCATGACTATAATTCATAATTATATAATCCTAATTTATAATTTCATAATTTGTAGTTTCAAATACTAAACAGCTTCCATGTTAGTTAGAAGATAAGTACTATAGGCACAGTAGCTTAGACCTATCTTGCCAACACCTTACTGTTTGTTTTTTTATTAATTCAATCAACAATGAGGTAATTTGGTCTCATTCTCAGGCATGGGAAATGACATCTATATTTACAAGTGTCTCAGTCTCTTCTTTTAACAGCATCACATAAGAAAGTGATATGTCTGATACTTTGTTGTGCTTTGCCTATGAACATAGTTAGTGCATGAAAGAATTAGTGGTTAAAGAGGCCCTGTTTGTTAGTAAGAAAACAGGAAGTGATGAACATTCCATTGTGAGGCAATACACATAACCTGTTGGCTTGTTTTAACCCTTCATAAACCAGCCACAGCTCTTCATCCTCATTCAGCTCATGGCAATCCATAGGAAATGGTCTTCCAAGCCAAATGAAAAATGGAAAACACAAAAGGGATACATGATGGTAATGAGATGATGGTATATGAAGGACAAGAATAGCAAATATTATTTAACATTCATTATTGGGATTGGCATATTGTCTTGACCACAGATGACAAAGTTACTACACATATTAGCTTCGTTATTTAAACTGGTTTTAAAAAGAAAACAGACAAATCATATGCAAAACAGGGAAAATTATAAAGATATTAAATAAAAAGAGTCCTTTCTGCTTTTTTCTTTATGAAATAATAATGATATAAATAAGAAACAGCAGAATATAAGAAAAAGGTAGACTCTGAGTTTCTGAATACAAGAGAAATTACATGCGGCACACAATATTAGACAGATTGGCTGCAAAAGAACAAAGGCTTTAGCAGGAGTGGTAGCCTGTGGCTGTAGCATGAATTCCTGGGATGAATGAACTGCTTTCGTGTCCTCAATGGGAACTGTAATCATGAAGAACTGCCTCAAAGTTTGTGCAGGAATGGGATGGGGAAAGCATGTGGTTTGTACATGCACGCGTACACATGGATTAACTATAAATTTTAGTCACTACAATCAAATTATGAGGTTCAAAGAATGTATAAAGGTACAATGGTACTTATGCATAGCAGCATTCTTCCAATCTTTGGTATGCGTACCTATATATCTCCCGATATATTGTATAGCCTATCGGGAGTTCTAAAAGTGTCAGACTACAACATTCTGGAAGCATAAATTTGTAACAGAGTTACAATGCTGCCTGTCCTTTCAAGATGGTACATGATGTAACTGAGGGAACCTTGTAGCTGTGGAAAGTTTTGGCATATGGCTAAGTTCATGGTCCTTTATTTCAAGTTTTATGAGGTTGTGAAGGAATCCTGGCATTGGCCCTTTTTCTTGTGATCTTATGAGCTATGCAGAGCCTAACGAAAGTGAGCAAGGTATTACTAACTTCTTGGTGGCAGAGTTTCCTCTACTGCTGTCAAAACACACACACACACACACACACACACACACACACACACACACTCTCACACTCACACATCCTCTGTGTAGGCTTCCAAAGATAAAACTGGAGTCAGGATTTTCTCAGCCTTGCTTAGACCAGTAGAGGGGAAAAAAAGGCCTCGACCTTGGTCATGACTGACTTCCTCTTAAGCAGTCAGGTAAGGCCACTAATGAAATATGAGTCAAGAACCAGATGTAGAACAAGGCCTTTACCCCTTCCAATCAACATGTTCTAAATTTTAGTAATGACTTGAAGCTACTTACAACTTTAGCTACTACTCAAAATCTTCAAAAATAACAAATATTTAACAATGGAAACATAACAATTACCAACCTGCTACTGTGATTTCAAATACAAATACTATTTAAGAACCAATGCTCCCCTTCAGGCAAAGATTTTCCTAACAACTCTTGTTAGTAATTATTTGAATTTGTATCCTCAGCACCTAGCAGAGTACCTGTCACATAGTATGTACTTAATAAATGCTTGCTGATTGATTGATGCTGCTGCTACATGTTTCAGATGAAATTTTAAATGGGAATAACTTAGAAAGGTTGGGTCTAGTCTGAAATAAATAAATAATAGACAAAAAATTATTTGCTATATAAAAAATGTGAAACAGTGATTCAACAAGCCAAAATAAATTACAGAACCAAACCAACCTGTTTGTTTCCTTCAGTCCAATGTATGCCTGTGCTATTTCTCCTTTGTCCTTCATTTTCTGCACATCTTCTAAGAGGATTGTGGAATCTGTCATTGTATTCTGATGCAGAGAAAAGTATTTCCATCATGAGAAATAAAAAGTTTGAGGTTCTCCAGTAGGGGAATTTTTTATTTAGAGGACTATACTGAGGGACTGGCTCCTAATCTGCAAGCTCTAAAATCTCTGCTGCTAGTCTCTCTGGTGTCAGTGCTCTGCTTCAGGCTTGAGGCTAGGGGTTTTTCACCTTTTGTGTGTCATGAACCTCTATGGCAGTCTGGTATAGCCTATAGACCCCTTCTCACAATAACATTTGTAAATATATAAAGTTAAAATACATAGGATTACAAAGGAAATTATATTATAACAGTTATTTTTAAACAAACTCATGGACCCCAGGCTAAGAACTCTTGCTCTAGAACCAATGCAACACCTAGACAAGGAACACATTTATATCTATAGCTATCTCTATCTATCGACAAAACTGAGATATAGGGATCTATCATACAGCTCAATAGCAAGTCAGTCTTGCTATTGGTTCCACTTTGACCCTGTACTCTTGAGTCTAGTGCCTAGACTCTTTCTTTGCTCCTGTGACCAAGCCTCTATCTTAAGCACCAATCCAGTAACTTTGTCCTACCTTGGCACACTGGTTGGACTGTTCTTGTGGGGCTTGGTCCTGTCTTGTTCTCATCATCTTCTGCAAAACCAGAGACTTGTTCCTGAATCCCACCACCTATTATTGCCAGACCCTTCTGATAACAAAGCCTTGTTGCCTGTCTCCATCAAACTTCTATCCCCTCTTTGTCATTCACTTTCTAATCAGCAGGGTCAGCTATTATCTGTCTCACTCCCTAATGCCAATCTGCCTGCCTAGATATTTGCCTGTTACCTGCTGCCAAACTCCCTTGATATTACACCCACCTGTCTAGACTTTGTCCTTTTATCCATGACTAACACTTTATTGGATCACCTGCCTTGTTTAGCCTCTACTATTGCTATTCTAAGCCCAATAATGATAGTGAAATGGAAGTCCCAAACACCTAAAACATATTAGAGCAGTCATGATCCCTATATGGAGAATCATTGGCTTGCCTCTACAGAATACATAGCACTTTAAATCAAGACTGTATTCTGAAAAGTGACCTGGCACAAACAGGAATTAACAATTTAACTGAATCTACAAAATAAAAGGCTCCATTATTGTTTATTTTTCTTTCTATTATATTTCAACCACTTGGAATGAATTTTTAAAAGCCTACAGAAATGTTGAATCTTAAATGAAAGCACATTACCCATTTCATATCATTCTAGAAGCTCTTACTTGGAATACTGTGATATCAAAGTTGCCCTACATTTTTTACTTTTAAAAAGCACAACACAACAGGAAAAGTTGTTCTATCTAAGTAGAATCCAATTAACATCTGAATAGCCATGACGTATAATTTCCATCAGGAAGAGTTTCTGTAGTGATAGCCATTAGGGTGAGCAGAATGGCAATGTCAGTATTGGAGAAAGACTTTAAGGCTGGCAGGCCAGGCTCTGCTTCTAATCAATGCAGAGCTGGTGGAATTGAAAGGTTAGAAGAGCACACATTTTTCATAGAACATATCTCAGATTCAGAATCTATGCCCAGTTCTGCAGGTTCCCTACTAGCATTCAGTCCACTGAAACAATTATTGACTACTATGTACCACGTATTAACAAGCGATAGAAAAAGGTCCACCGTGCTCTGGTAGAGGAAATAATCTATGCCCTAAACTGGAATCCTCTGTTACCCATAGTTCTCCATAAACTCCCATTATGGAATGGGAGTTGATCAGAAATTAGTTTTTGATTTATGAAGATCTTCTCTTTTTGATAAATTGAACCAGAAAACATCTGTTTCACATGATAAAAAGTATTTGTGTACTGAAATGAGAAGAGAGATATTAAAAAATTTTTTTTAAACCCTTTACCTTGTCCTCCTGGAAATCACAAATTGGCAAGCATAAAAGAAGAAAATAAACTCTTACTTCTACAAATAAATACCACCAATGACTCTCAGAACAGACAAAAGTAACAGCAGAATGACCATGATTACATTTCTCCTAGGAACCCAATGAAGTTGTACAGAATAAAACCCGCAGATAGATATTTTATACCCTTTCAATCTAAGTCTGAGAAACAAGTTTTGTTTTTGTCTTTAATCTGAGTTTAGTTTCTTCATCTTTTGGATTTTTTTTTCAAAATCGTAGAGTCAGAATTCTGATTTTTAGAACAAGTTATTTCCTGGACCAAAGCTGATTACTGGGGCTAGATACCATCCACAAGGAAGGATATCATGTATTCTTATAGGTATCACAAACACATGATAGAATATCACCTCTATCAAAATTCCTAGCAATAATGCCTAAGCACACAAGTCATTTTAGATTTTTAAGTACCATCTCCTAGGGTCAGGAACTATGCTTATTTTACTTTATGTGATGCTTCAGTAAAATATGTGGAAAGGCTTCTTAAATGCTTTGGATGATGATTCTTCTATCATAGTTTCTAGTTAGCAGTACTAGGTTAATATACTTGTTAAGGCATATACACTGATCCATTTTCTTTTCTTCATTCAACACACTTTTATCAAGCACTTCCTATGAACACCATAGTTCTTGCCTTCAAGGAGCTTACAATCACTGCTCATATAGATTTATGCAATACACTGCTAATTGGACTTCCTGTTTCAACACATTCATTTTCAAATATTACCTTTAAAAGCAAAACAATAAAAAAGTCTATGGAGAATTCCATTATCATATCCAAGTGGTAGATTTTAAAATTCATTTTTAATACCTCCCACAGAAGGTTATGAGTCATTCTACTGATGTCAACATTTTTAACATGAAAATTTCCTCAAGTAAGAATGCTAAAGAAGGCTTCACTTTAAAAGGACTTTTCTTGCAAGTGTGCTCTATGAAACTTTCCACAGCATTTAGAATTTCACATGTTCCCTGACCAGCTTAAGATTAAAAAAAGTTCTTTTTTTTTTTCACTTGCTGTGTTTTGGCTACAGAAGATCTAACCATGAGCAAATCTATTCAGATACATCTTCCAAGAGATAGAAAGTAGGGGAATTGGCATGACAATTTCTTTTTCTTTGTGATTTGGTGGGCAAGTTGACCTCGGATAATTTTCTTATCCACTAACACTTACCTTAGGTTGAATAGCCTCTTTCTGGCTCACCAGCTGAGACCTCAGGATGAGGACTTCCTCTTTTCTAACATCCAGTTCTTCACTGACTGAAGTCAGCTGCTCCATGAGGACTCTGTAGGCAGGAGCACCTGGAGCAGTCACTTCCGGAGCACCCTTTTCACTGAGGGCTTTACGTAACTCATTCAGCTCATTCTTTAGTTTCTTATTTTCTGATTCCAGTTCTTGACGCTACATAAAATAAAGTCATGCCATTTAGATTCACGTATTGTTTGTATACTGCCTTCAAGCTGGCATATTAGAATTATGTTGTGAAAGAACACCATGGTAATACTCAAATGGCTAAAGAGGAAATGCCTCCCTCTAGTCTATCTGGAACTCTATATGGTGGAATTAAAGGTGTTGTACATTGAGTAAAGTGAACAACAGTTTGCTTCACAGCCTATAACTCAAATTCCAGTGGAAACTATGTTCCAGGCCTGCCTGCCCTGGGTGTGGTTGGAGCACAGACCTGAAAAGCCTGCTCTGTTCTATAGTGACCTTTGGGTGTTGAATCTAGCCATGGGGTTGTCCTCAATCTCAGGAAACCTAGAGAGATTGACTGGTTCTTGGTTCTATCCAAAGTCCAAAAATAAAGTTGAATAAGCTATTTCCAGTTAACAAGTTAAAAATGGTTAGCTCCTTGAAATATTTACCAATGTTCTCTTTGGTAAAAATGATGTGGGAAAACAACACACTTAAAAGTTTAGGCTGTATCTAAATGTCTAGCAAAAATATCTTCAATGAAACTGATAGAAACTTCTGACTTCTGTTACAGAAGGTTATAGGAGAAGAAATAAGGAATCGATCTAGATGAAGAGAAAAATTGTGAAGGTCATTTTGAGGGATCTAAATTTGTGCAGAAGGTCAGATAATTGAATTTGAGTAGGAGAAATTTGGGATCATTTAATAATACACTGGAGAGCAATTTGAACTACAGGAGAAGAGAGATAGATCACTCAGAAGGGCAAAATCTGAAAGAAAAAAAGCATTAAGAAATATAGGCCTGAAGAAGAATTCAGAAGAAAAAGGAGAAGGTAGTTGTAAAGCAAGGTAAATAAAACAACTAGTAAGTACAAAAAGAAGGTAGAGAAGAAAAGGTATGGCTGGTCAAGTTTTATTGACAGAAAGGAAAGGAAGTTGGTTATAGGCCTCAAGATGTTAAGAGATGATGAAAGACTGTAAAAGTTTTAACAAGGTGCTTTGGAGAGGAGAAATTTTTGAACCCACTGACTTGGTTGAATGGCTGGACTCAAGGAGTAGTCATTAATGGTTCAATGTTAACTTGGTAGAAGGTCTTCACTGAAGCACCACAGGAATCTGTGCATGGCTTGGTGCTGTTTAATATTATTACCAATGCCTCTGATAAGGCAAAGGTGGTATGATTATCAAATGTGCAGAGGATACAAAGCCAGAAAGGTTAGCTTACACACTAGATGACAGGATTAAAAAAGACTACTATAGATTAGAACACAGCTCTGTAGATTTAATCTAATATGATGAAATTGAATAGGGATAAATGTTAAGTCTTTGGCTTGAGTTAAAAAAAAATCTCTATAAGGAAAATGCGAACGAGACAGGCATCCATTTGTCTAAAGATGATCTGGGGTTTTTAGTGGACTGCAAACTCAATGTGAGTTAGCAGTGTAACATGGGAGTGTTAATGTGATTAAGCTTCCCAGAATAAGAAGGTAATAGTACCACTGTAACTTGACCTATTGTATTCATTTCTGGTGTAATAGTTTAAGAATGACATTGATAAGATGAAGAACAACCAGAGAAGGGCAGCCTGGATGGTGAAGGATCTGTGAATGCTTAATCTAGAGAAGAGACATGACAGCAGTGTTCAAATATCTGTCATGAAGTTTAGAATCATTCGGTTTGACCTCAAAGGAGAAAACTAGGAAAAATTAGGATAAGATGCAAAAAAGTAAATTTAAGCTCAATGTCTGGAAAAACTTCTTAATATCTCAGACTCTGTGAAAGTATAATGTGCTATGTTGGGAGAAGATGGTTTTCTTCTCACAGGAGGTTTTCAAGTAAAGGCTGAATGACCCCTTATTAGGTGTATTATAGTATGGACTCCTTTCATTGTATGTAGGATGGATTAGAGGTTGCCATGTCCCTTTAACTTTAAAATTATATGAACCCTTCACAGTGTATTTGTTAGCAACCAAAAAACCAGTTTTCCCTCAAACTATTTATCTGTGGTGTTGCAGCAATATACCACATGTAAATCTGCGAAGTTGTTGGGGTACAACATGACATGTTGGGGAGGTGGAAGGAAAGGAGGCACTGCTTCATCAGTCATTCATGAATTAAACTTTGTTCTCATCCCTCATCTCCTTCCCTCACTACATTTTAAACATACTCATACACACACACACACACACACACGCTCACACACATCTATGTTCACTCCAGCGTAGTTACTACTATCCTTCCCTTTTCCCATAATTTTCCCACTCAAAAATTGGCAGAAGAATGAGGAAATTCAGCACAAAGTGATATCAAAATCTTTATGATTACAATACACCAACCACAGAGTGTTTGGAAACACTGAGGTAGACAAGCATCTAAAAATGAACTAGCTTTATAGTGTTTAATTTAGCACGTATCATAAATAAGATTTCTTCATGAAGTTTAAATATTTAAAGCTTGAGAAGCCATCTTGAGATTACATCTTCCTATCACAAACTTTTAATACATTATATTAAAGCTACTTCTTATTATGTTAGTCATAACAATGGAGTTACATGAGTGAATTTTAGGTTATTTTTATACTCTCACAGAGAATCCTGGAACATATGTCATTCGGTTTCAAGTTCAAATACATTAACAAAGGCTTTGCACTTTAGGCTGCTGTAAAGAATTTCTTTATATACCACATATATGCATGTGTATATATACATGTACATGTGTGTGTACATATGCATGTCTGACACACATATACATGTGTATATCAAACATGTAGAGGACACTTAAGGCTAGAATAAAATAGATCTGCTATTCTCTGTTCTCCTGGCCTATTCAAGCCCATCTTACCAAACTCCTATGTACTGTAACTCAAGAACAAACTAGGCATGCACTTTGGCTTACCCACCCAAATTGACTTTTAGGGGTGATAATTCAGTATACATGGTTGGGAGTATTTGTTTTCCTATGCATATTAAGGGATCGTCGGTTCTAGGCAAAACTATGAGGTCAATGAAATTTGTCTTGTTGGTTTTCATTGCAGGTTCCTGCCTTTTCTGGCTTACATAACTCTCAGGACCACCCAGGGTTTGATGTCTCCCAAAAACTTTTTGGGATTTGAATGATATTCCCTTAGAACCAGACTTTCTATACATTCCAAAATAATAATTGTCTAATCTAATTCATTAACAAACATGCTAATGAAAGAAGGTTAAAGAGAATACCCACTAAGCTCTCTATCCCATCAGGATAGAGATAATAAGTATATCTTAATAGTGGCCTTCTTTAAATGATACCCTGACTTTTTTCTAACTTAAAGGGATGGCTCCAGTGATAGGAATTTCAGGTGAGATAGACTGGGAGGATGATGCCACGGCAGCTCTTTGTGATAAGACCACAATATCCTGTGGCAAGTGGGTCCATGTAGCGACAGATCTGTAACATCATATGTAGCAAGTGCATATTACCAATAGATACAGCAGATTTCATAGAAACTGGGGCAAATGGTTGCATGAACGAAGAATAAAGTTAATTCATATGTGCAGGAATACATAATTAAGTGTATCCTTGATATTCAGGCTCATAGGCATAGCAACTGCAAAGTTTGGGGACTAAAAGCTGAAAGGCCTTATGAGGTAAGGTGGGGAATACAATTTAAATGAAACCATAGGGAATACAGAAAACTAATTTAATTTTTTTTATCCAGGGTTAAATTTAAATGGATTTTGCTGTAATTTAATTGAAGGACATAAAATTTCAAGAACTAAAATAGTAAATATTTCAAACAAATCATACATAATGCTTTATTCCCTATGCAATTTACATGATTCCATTTATATGGGTTGTTCCTTTCACTTGGGTGTTTCAGGAGTTGAGCAAAGGGATATTTATAAGTGATAAGTCTCTATAAATCATCCATCTCAACCTTACCCTGCCAATGTCTGATTCCATGTTAACCCATCCCTTCTGATGTGTCTTCTGGAATGCCTACTTCATAATTAACAAACTTCTCATCTTAAATGTCTTCCTTTGTTAACCTATCTATTTTCAGGAACTCACAGAGACCTGGCTCCCTCTGACAACACAGCTTTTGTGGCCACCGTTTCCAGTACTGGCTACACTTTCTCTCATAGACTCAGGCTCATGGGTCTTGATGGGAATATACCTTGCTCCCCATTGTCACTTTCAGACTCTCTCTATCACCATTACTCAGTAAACTCTACTTCTGTGAGGTTCATGAAATCCAAATTAATCACCTAATGCAAAACCCCAGACCATTTCCTCAATGATTTCAGTGCCTAGCTCACAATCCTTGTCTTCCACCCCAACTCTTGCCTTCATACTAGGGGACTTCAACATACCCATTATATTCCCTCAAATACTCCAGCTTCCCACTTCTTCAATCTACTAAGTTCTCATGACCTATTTCTCCACAGCACTTCAACTATACAGGGAGATGGTCATGCCCTTGATCTTGCTATTACCCACAAATGTTCTATTCTCACATTCATAAACTCTAAAATTCCTTTATCTGATCAAAATCTTATCATTCCATCTTTCCCTGTATCTTATGACCCCCCACCCTTCTGTTTTTCATCCTCCCTATGACTTCCAATCCCTCTTCACCTTTGTTTTTTTCTCAATCATGCCTACAACTGGTTTCATCCTCTTCCCTTCCCATCTAATTTCTCACTGGTGGATCAGTTCAACTCCATATAACCCTCCACTCTCAAATCGTTTGCCCCACTGCCTATAGCTAACCACACCTCACCAAACCCCTGATTATGCTATCTATCTCCTTTGTTCCTATTCACATGTCACTGTACAGACTTGGAGGAAGTCATAAAACTGTGTTGAATGAGTCCATTACAGATGTGTGTTATTCAGTCTCAGCTAGGCCCTTTATCAGAGCAAGGCTATCTTTTTATTTCTCCATAATTGATTCTATTCCACTTTCCACAGAAACTCTTCTAAACTTTCTCATCTCTTCAAGCATTCCAGAGTAACTCTTTCCCCCTACCCTCAGTTAAGAATGTGACCTTGTATTTCACAAAAAAAAAAAAGCCATTTCCTAAGAGTTCTGTCTTCCCTTCTCATCTCATATTACTCAGATATCTTCTCCAACTATCTCCTCCTTCACTCTAGTCAAATGAAGAGGCTAAGACTTGGCCTTTATTGCCAAGGGCAATTCCACACAATCTTGATCCCAATTCTTCTTGGCTTCACTAAGACTGCCTGTGCTATTATCCCTACTCTCTCTATAATTGTGCATCTCTCCCCATTTCTTCTTCCCTACTGCCTACAATCCCTCCCATGACTCCCTTTTCCTTGAAAAAAGAAAAAAGAAAAAAACCCTGTTGTTTGATCCAACCATAGCTATTGTCATTCTATATCTTTTCTCCCTTTCTAACTCCATGAGAAATCTGTCTACACTAGGTACCTCCACTTCTCCCATCTCATTTCTAAACTCATTTTAATCTGTCTTCTGATCTCATTCAACTGAAGCTGTTCTCTCCAAAGTTGCTGATGACCTCTTAATTGCCAAATTTAAAGACCTTTTCTCAGTTTTCACTCTTCCTGACCTTTCTTCAGCACGTGACACTGTGAAACAGTGAACTGACACTCACTTCTGGATATGCTCTCTTCACGAGGTTTTGCTTCTTCTACCTGTCCTACCAATCCTTCTCAGTCTTTTTTTGATGGATCTTCATCCAGAGTATGCCCACTAACCATGGATGCTCCCTAAACCTTTGTACCAGGCCTTATTTGCCTTATACATTATGTTCTTTGGTGATCTTACCAATTCCCATAGGTTCAATTATCACATCATCCCTATGCAAATGGATCCTTGGGCTCACAACATTGGTGTTATCCTTGACTCCTCACTCTTACCCCACAAATCTAATCCACTGCCAAGTTTTGTTGTTTCTACCTCCATAATATTTCTTATATATGTCTCCTCTCCATTTACACAGCCATTATGTTAGATCAGGCCCTCACCACTTTTCACACAGACTATTACAATAACCTTTCAGTTAATTCCTATGACTTAAATCTCTACTCATTCTCATCCATCCTCCACTTAGTTACCCAAGTGATTTTCCTAAAGTGTGACCGTGTCATTCCCCTGCTCAAAACAACTTGCCTGGCTCCCTATTGCCTCCAGCATCAAATACAAAGTCCTTTGCATAGCATTTAAAGCTTTTCATAACCTATCTCCTTTCTTCTTTTCCCATCTTCTTATGTTTTACTCCTCTCCACACACTTTATGATCCAACTCCACCAGTCTTCTTTCTGATTCTAACACAATACTCCCCCTCCTGTCACAGAATCTTCACACTGAATGCTCTCCATGCCTAGAATGCTCTGCCTCCTCCCCTCCACCTCTTAAAATCACTAACTTCAAAACTCCAGTCAAATGCTATCTTCTATAGGAGGCCTTTCCCACCCCTCTAAGGTCACGCTTCTTTTTCTCTGCTTATATCTTGTATGTATCCATTTATCTATTAGAATGCAAGCTCCTTTACAACCATGGAAGGTCTTCCCCTTTCTTTGTGCCTCTACCACTTAGCACAGCCCTTGGTTCATAGAAAGCACTTAATAAATGCTTGTTAACTAGCTGGAAAGTTTTGTTATTCATCTAGCAATAGTTCCCTCTTGCTTTCAAAGCTGTCAAAATTACCTTGAGTGATTCATATTCCAGTTCAGCACCTCTAATTTGAGGTCTTTCTTCTTCCTAGGAGAAAATAAAGTAAAACAACGTTTTCTTTGCTCTTTAATCATAATTCCTGGTATGTTTACTTATCCTGAAGGACATAGTTTGGTATTTATCAAGAATTCTACACCAATCTCTATAACTAGTGTTGGTGACTAATTTGGGGGGAGGGAGTAACTGTATTCCTTTTAAACCTTTCTCTAAAGGGAGATCACAGACATCCAGGTAAGAATCCAAACACATTGAGTTTACTCTACTTGTTTGGATGGGCAATGTTGACATTGGTCAACCGATGGTGGGTACCTTAGCCTTGCTTCGGAGCACTTGCTCCTCCTTTCGGTCCAGTTCATCCTGCATGGCTTGCTTTTCCAGCTCCAATTCAGTTACCCTCTTCTGGAGCTTGAGGAACAAGGACATATCCAGAGGTGCCTTCTTCTCACTTGGTTCCTATACCACAAAACATGTCATCATCAGTGAGGATCAAGAGAAAAAAGGAAAATAGAAACTGTATCAGTCAGCCAAAACATATCCTTCAATATGCCCAAGAGAAACTGCTTCCTAAACCCAGGTATATATAATAGCAATCAATGGAGTAATAAAGGTGTACAATTCAGCAGCATTTCTTAAGTGCTCACTATTTACAAAGCACTGGGCTAGCACAGTGGTGAAGAAACAGGTTAGATAAGAGAGTTTCTGTTCCTCCAGGAGCTTATAGTCTACTGGAGGAATAGAAGAACAATACAGGTCAGGGACAACTTCGTGGGGGGAGCAGCCTTTGAGGTGAGCTCTAAAGTATGAGTACAACTAAGATAAGAGAAAGAAAAAGCTAACAAGGAACAATGTATCTTGGGGCCATCAAATGTTTTTTTCCCTTATTCTTGTTTTTTGTTGTTTTTGGTTTTTAAGATTTTTTCCCTTAATGTAGAGGGGAAACGATTTAATGGGATGTGGGGAGGGGAGATATATATATATATGAGTAAAATTTTCTTTAAATATTTTATATAAATTTACTTTCCTATTAAAAACAAAACTAGAAACACTAAAGGTAACTATTTAGATCAAATGACCAAAGTGATCCAGCAAGCCCCAGCTTTTTAACAACTCTACTCTTTGGCGGACTAGGTATAAGTCATGGAATGCCACAATCTGAAGCATAAAAGTTGAGGGTCCCCTAAAGAGCAATGGAGGGGTATATGGTGGATGTGAGTAGGCTGCAACATGCTATCAATTAAGAATTTTTATTCTTAGCTAAACTTTATATAGGACTTTAACATTTGCAATGCACTTTACAAATATTGTCTCATTTCATCTGACAGCGACTCTGGAAAGTAGGTGCTATTACTATTCCCATTTTACATATGAGGAAAATGAGGTAGACAAAGATTAGGAGACTTGCCCAGGGTACCATGGCTAGTAAGTGTCCAACGGAGGGTATGAACTTGGGTCTTCCTTCCAGAAATCTATCTACTGCTCCACCTAGCTGCCTTAGCAATGTGGCAAAAAAAAAAAAAAATGTCATCAGAGAAATGTCTGACCAGAAAAGAAAGTGGACCAACTGCATGACAAGAGCAAGGAACATCTGGTTGACAGTCCATGTGCTCCACTGAAATCCACATAAAGACAAGAGCTCTGGAGAGAAAAGTCTTGAGTCAAGCATGGGGCATTTTCAGGACACGGCGTCATTTACTCACAAATAACCACGCCTCTAGCTTTTCCTAAGTCCTTCTTGCTCAGTCCAAACTGGACAAGTAAGAGAGGCAGGGGGGCAGCTAGGTGGCACAGTGGATAGAGCACCAGCCCTGAAGTCAGGAGGACCTGAGGTCAAATCTGACCTCTGACCAAACACTTGACACTTACTAGCTGTGTGACCCTGGGCAAGTCACTTAACCCCATTGCCTAACAAAAACAAAAAACAAACAAACAAAAAAAGAGAGAGAGGCAGGGTTTGAGGTCATGAAAGGTACAATTATACACAAATCCCTGATGTTAGTTAATCTTAAAAAGCCTTCTTATAATACAAACAATTCTTTTGGGATAAAAATAATTAATCCTGATTCATCTGTTTCATGAGTTTGGGTCATCATTTACCATCCTAGGTTTTCTTTCTATCCATCCACAATAATGAGTCTGTTCAACTATAAACTCCAGAGAGCCCTTGATGTTCCCCCCTTGAGGACTGAGATCATAACTTACTCTTTACAGTCGTTATGGGGAATGACACAACTTCACGGACGTGACACAGGCTTAGCATTATGCTTATTTACAAGCCATCATCCATTCTAGGCCAAGGAATTAACCACTTCTGAAGGCCCATTTTACAAAAAAAATTATTTGTTTTAAAGAGACTTTTTTCTCTATTTTGAACAAAATGATGTAATAGGAACATTTTGCTTCTAGGTAAAACTAACAGAATAAAGGAAAAAGGTGTTCAGCTCTTTTTGAAAGTATTTCTGGAACTAATCTCTTTCTGCTTCTGAAGTTTCTCTGAATCAAATATAAAAATAGAAGAGGTGAACTGAAATTATCCTTCTGATAGTTTATCTAAAAAGGGGCAGGACTGATGAATGACTGGAACAGTCCAATACAGAACTTAATGAAGTTCTAGGGTTACTGTAAAAGGTTCTCTTGGTTTCATTTCTCATGATGCAAAACACAAAAATAAAAGTAAATATTTCCAAATTTTTTTCTAAGCATTGCTGTGGAACAAAATTATATTTTTAACAAGTGATATCAATCAAACTCAATGGTTTTTGTTAGCCTAATTTGTTTTATTAGCCAAGTAACTAGAGCAGTACCTAAGTACAAGCGGCTCAACCCTCTGTATTAAGGAAGTGATTTCAAGATTTGCAATTCCATTTGCAAATGGCATATAATTTATCTGTGCTTGGTACATATCCCTGACAGGCTAAATTTTTTTCAGATGCAAAATCTGAACATAAATGGGAAGTTGTAAATAAGGCAGTCAAGTATTAATAAACTTAATAAACAAGCATATGCTAAGTGCCTACAATATGCCAGGCACTGCGGCAAGTACAGAGGATACAAAGAAAGGTAAAAGATAGTCTCTGCTCCCTAAGTGCTCATTGTCTAATAGGAGAAAGGATTTTTCTTTCAAATTAAGTACAAATGAGAATTAAAATATATATTACTTTTGGTATAGTGGAAAGAGTACTGAACTTGTGATCGGAAAACTCAAGTTCAAGTCTAAACTGTTATATTTATAAATCCTTTAGCTTTCTGGGTCTCAGTTTCATCTTTTGCAAAATGAGGAGAATGTTACGTGCACTACCTACCTCACGAGGTTATCCTAAGGAGAGTAATTTGTAAACCTTGTAATACAATTTCCATTAGTGTGCAGTACTATTATTGAAGTATCAATATACCAATTCATCAAGAGATGCAGTAATTATGCAAGGAATCTTAGTTCAGCAATAAAAATTGTCATGTGAGCAACAACAGCAGTCACATGCTACCCCTGACTGGAAAAGTAGGAGCAATGCTATAAAACTCACCTCCATCCTCAATGGAATGTCTTCAGTCTCTGTAATTTCGGAGCTAAATGTATATTCAGATTCATTGCTGCTGTGGGTAGAGTCAGTTCTTCTGTGCCCAGGCTTAGGTATGTGCTGAAATGCAATGTCAATAAGGAATGAGTGATAGAGATTCCTTCCATGTTTATTCGATGATAATCCCACCCAGACTACTTTCTATAGCTAGGTGGTACAATGGTAAGAGCATTGGGCCTGGAGTCAGTCTGAGTTCATATTTGGCCTTACACTCTTACTAACTGTGTGATCCTGGACAAGTCACCCAATCTCTGCTTGCTCAATTTCCTTACCTTAAATTGGGGATAATAATAGCAACTACCTCCCAGGTTTGTTGAAAGGATTAAATGATAATATTTGTAAAGTGCTTAGTACTGTGCCTGGCACAAAATAAGTACTATACAGATATCAGCTATTTACTATCATTATTATTATTATTATTATTATTATTACTCAACTGATTTGCTAGAAGATTCATTTTTTTCAGACTTACATGATCTCCTATCTTCTCAAGGTTAAAATACCTTTCCTTCTACTGTACTGAATGCTCCTCAAAAAATAAACAAGCAAAACCAGAATGGCAAGCCAGGAACAGAGTACCCTAGTGAAAAACGCTCATACTTACTAGCTACATTGTTTAAACTTATAAAAAGTAGTTAGTGAATGACCACGTTGGATGAGTAATATAGCATAAAGTCTGAGTGTACATGAGTTTGGTGTTGCAATCAAATGAGATTTACACAAAGTAAATCTGACACATTTAATTATATGCATGATTGTTGCTTCATTATATAATGGACTAGATATGAATGGTAAGTGGTTCACATAAATGAATTTAACTTGTATTGTAACCTAGCATGTCTGGTGTCAGCCAGAGGAAAGAAGGAGAGAAGCTGCTGCTCTGAGGTTCCTCTGAAGGTGCTTGGATCTATACCACAATCAATCAATAGACATCTGTTAAACACCTACTATGGACTAGGCACTGGGTGAAGCATCCCCAAAGCGCCTAATCTGGCTAGACCTCCCTCCCCACTTTTCCAAGAGGGAGCACCCATGGCCCATGTATTCAAGAAACTGGTAAGGGGAAAATATTTCTCCTTCTTTCAGGAAGGGTCCAGGTGAGAACAAGAGAGAGTGGGCTGAGGGAAAGAATGAGCCAAAAAAGAAGGAAGGCAACGTGTTGTGTCAGAAAGAACACTTGACTGGGAAGCAGGATTCTATTGCTAGGCTTGTACCTGACACACAGTACAATTTCACCTTAATCAAGTCACCTCACCTCTCCAGGTCTTGATTTGGTCTGCAAAGTAGAGTTTGAACGTGGTGATCTTTCTGTAGTCTTATGGCTTCTGAACCTGAGCTTCTCCTCTCTGATTATCCTCTCATCCTCCCACCCTTCCCCAATCTCTCACTCCTCCTGAATTCCTTCTTAGCCTGCATCATGATCTCCAGTTTCTTAACCACTCCCTGTCCCCTCAGTTCACCATTACTATTCTGGCTTCACTCTCCTCCCTTTACAACCCTGACCATATGGTCATTTTCACCAATGCACTGTCCTCTACCTTTGAATACCCTGTTTACTATCTTTTTGCTGCTTCTGTCCTGAAATCTCCAGCTCTGGTTTACTCCAACTATCTGCCTTTTCTGCTCCTAGTCCCGAGCACTGCTCAAGAAAGTCACAAAACTATGCTGACTGGGATCACCACAAAGTTATGTGATCAGCTTTACCCAGGTCCCCACCCATTATACAGGGCTCTTTCTGATTAATTCCCTACTATATTCTCCACAGTAGCTGTTCCAGGCCTCTTCTTAAGCCTTCAGGTTCAAACACCCCCCATCCTTCATACAACTGTCAAAATAATCTTCCTGACATAGGTCTGTCCCACGTATTGTTCTAAAACCTTTAGTAGTTCCCTTGAAGTCAAGATCTGGGTTCTAATCCTACCTCAGTCACTAACTAGCTGTGATCTTGGGCACATCACTTAAACTCTCTCAGCTTCAGAAACTTCATCTGTAGAACCACCTCACAGGGTTGTTGTAAGGATCAAATGAGATAATGCATGTAAAGTGCTTTGTAAACCTTAAAGTATTACATAAACGCTAGCTATTTCTATAGTCTGTGGGATATCCAAATGCAAAACTGTTACTTAAAGTCCTACACATACTGGATCCAACCCATATTTTCAATCGTCTTTCATACTATTCTCCTTCATGCAGTTTATATTCTAGCCAGACTAGATTACTGGCAGTTAACCCACCTTTTTCTGCATGGTCCTACTTCCACACTCTCACCTGTATTATCTCTGTGTGCTGACATGTTTCTGTTTCTTCAAAGCCTAACTCAGGGATCAATTCCTCCATGATGCCTTCCCCTTATACCTTCAGCAGAAAGTGACCACTACCCTTCTCAAATATTCTAAGAGTACTTTGTCTAGATCGTTCCTTTGCTTCTATCATACTTAACCTTGTATCATACATATTTGTAGTATATGTCATATTCCTCCCGCCCTATCAGATTTCTTAAGCTCTTTGAAGACTTTTTATTGTCCCTTTTCATTTTTGTGTCCCTGGTAATGAATACCGTGCATTATACAAGGGTAAGCCTTTAGCAGCTAACTGAATTGAAATAAATGCATGGAAATTGCACCAAGAAGGAACAGTGTGAGATATTAGTTATGCATACTACTTAGAGAGCTTGTTAAGAAGGATGGACTACTTGGAGCATTAAAATGTAGGCCAAGTGAGATCATATTAATCTCAACTTTGCAAACCTCAAAGTGCTTTATTGTTATCTATTATTATTAATAAAAGAAGGAATTCCTATTAATATCTTAACAGCAACAAATGATAAGATAAAATATTAACTCTCTTCAAAAAAGTGTTCTTTGTAGAAGGAAGTGATATTTATAAGGAAATGGGCAGTTTGTTTCTTCCACTGTCCACTGCCTCCAGCTAGGCATGTGCATGTTATCGTTTAGGAAGGAGGTCAAGCCCATATGATGCTGTACAGACTCAGTTGCCTATTTCCTTTTTTAATAAGACTAGTCCAAGCAGAGCAGAAAATAGGATGATCCTTATTAGTAGGTAAGGCACATACAGTTATTCATGAGCTCCTTGAATGGCAATTACTGGTTGTCAACCTGATTTCCATCAGAGCCATTATCTTACCGGCAGCTTCTTTGCAGCATGTGCTCAGTGAGTAGCTGTGTATAGAGAATGCTCCCTGGACCCATGTGAGAAGCTGTTCCTGACTCTCTTTTTCATTTTCACCACAGTGTGACCTTTCATCTTGCTCTCATATTTTAAGGTCTTTGGTTAGGAAAATGTTAAGCATCTATCTTCCTCCGCAGTGTAGGAGGCACTATAGGCAATTCTATCTTCATTTGTATATGAATATAAATCCTGTCTCTTCAGACACCAGGAGAGCTAGGATACTCTGTTCTCTCTGATGGTAGACAGAGGTCAGGATATGATATATTCCCAGTTTCTTCTTCCCTATTATATTATCGCTTTGTAACCTGGATAATTAATAGGGCTGTCTAAATAACCAGTCTCATAGAATCAGTAAGAACTTGAGATCACAGGCATTAACTACAAAGTATACTTTAACACATGGGTGTGAATAATAAATATGCAAAAATCATGTGAAGAGAACTATTTCTGCAACTAAAAACGTGGTCAGGTTTTCTTGTAGAGCTTGATTTGAACAATTAAATTTATAAAATGTGCCCAGCAAGGATGGAAGTGAATCCATGAAACAAAGTCAATCTGTATTCAGTTCTATTTAACTGAACATCAATATCGCAGCTTCTCCAAGTAACTTACCACCATTATGGTCATCTCTTCCTTGAGATCATCGTACCGCTCCTCTAGACGACTAAATTCATTCAGAAGGTTCTGGTACCTCAACCTTTCATCATTTAGATCAAGTTCTAACTGTTTTGTTTCCTCTATTAACTTCTTCTCCATGGTCTCTGACAAGTAAAATGCAAGAAAAAGCTTAGAAAAGATAGATCATTAGCATATACCAAAGAATCCAACTTAATCCAAAAAGCATTTGTTAAGGTAGGCTCTGGGGCTTCAATAACACAACAAAAAATAACTCCTGCCCTCCAGGAATTTACATTCTACTTGGAGGTGGGTGAAAAGAATGTCACACGCAGACAAATAGGTGAGTATGTGTATACACATTCTGTTCCCCAAATCATCCTTGATGTGTATGATATCTAAGAAGAACATGAAGAGAACACTAACAACTCAAAGGCTTCCTACTGAAGATAGAACACTGAGTTGAGCCTTAAGGAAGCTAGGGCTTGGCTTCTTAAAGGTAAGAAATGGGGAATGGCAGTCACATGCTAAAGCATATTGATGGAAGCTAGAGTGTTGAGTTTAAGGAAAAAGCAGGTAGACCAGTTTTCCTGGAATGGAAGTTAAATGAGGTAATCTTGGAAAAGCAGCCTTGGATTCCGATTGTAATGGGCTTTAAATCTTAAACCAAGTAGGCTGGTGGGAATAGGGAACCACTGAAGGTTCTTAAACAGGAGAATGACATGATCAGACTTGTGTTTTAGGAAAATTATCTTGGCAGCTGTGTAAAGGATAAATTGGGAGGAGGAAGACTAGAAACAAGAATTAATTAGGAAGTTGCTGTGGTGATGAGAATCTGAAGTAGGTGGTTATGGGATGAATAGAAGGAAGGAGACAGATGCAAGAGATATTGTAGAAGTAAAATGGATAAGTCTTGGCAACTGGGAGGTGTATATACACACAGGTACTTATTTCTTCTTTTCTAAAAGAAAAGCAATTCCATTATTAAAGATATTCATTAAATCTAAAAGATAAAGGCATCTTTGATGCAGGAATATTGTAACAAACATAGTCAGAGTAAAAAAAATCTCATTATGATAAAGGAAAATGAAATAATTTCATTTCATGAATGAAAAGACATCAATAACTTCACACTCCCGTGTGAAGTATGATAAATATAAAATTCCTGATAAAGTCTTTTTCTTACTGTTTTTATGTAGTGCCTAAAGAGTAGTAATCTCATTATGGCATTTGTCTTTTTAAAAATCTATTCTAATACTGGTTAAAATACTCTTAAAAAGGGGGAATGTTTCTCAGATCTCTCTTGAAGTCTTTTTATGTCACTCATATTCAGTAGAGTTTATTTTACCTCAATTTAACAGTCTTCACCTCTGACGATAGCTTCTCCCATACTCTTACCTTCCTATTATTTTCCCATTCCTGACCTCTGTAATCCCTTTCTCTTCACTTCTTAAATTCCTTTTCTTGAATTGCTGAATGCATGGGAGAAAATTGCAGAACCAACAAGTTCTGGTTGGAGTAGAGGAAAAGACATCAATTCCTTTGTTCATACCTCAAATTAGCCATTTGATACCTTCATCTCTCTAAACTTCCATTTTCTCTTAACTCTAAGGCCATGATTTTCTACTCCCAGGTCACTTTTTTTTTTTTGGTGAGGCAAATGAGGTTAAGTGACTTGCCCAGGGTCACACAGCTAGTAAGTGTCAAGTGTCTGAGGCCAGATTTTGAACTCAGGTCCTCCTAACTCCAAGGCTGGAGCTCTATCCACTGCACCACCTAGCTGCCCCAAAGGATCCATTCTTTTTTTTTTTTTTTTCCCATTTTTAGGCAATTGGGGTTAAGTGATTTGCCCAGGGTCACACAGCTAGTAACTGTCAAGTGTTTGGTCTGAGGGCAGATTTGAACTCAGGTCCTCCTGACTTCAGGGCCAGTGCTCTATCCACTGCACTACCTAGCTGTCCCCCTCCCAGGTCACTTTTTGACAGCTTTGTCAGCCCACCTAGACCAAGGGCCACCCACACCTTTTATCTGTAATACTTGAGGGAGGGGGTTTGGCCCAGTTCTGGTTTGGTGACTACTTCACTTGGGCCACAACTGTAGGCCTCAGCCATGCTTCACTTTACTCCCTAGTCTTTGGCAATCTCTATAGCAGGCCTGCACAACATATGCAGCCCGTGGGCTGCTTGCAACCCACCAAAGGATTTTGGGCAGTCCACAAAAAATGTAGAGGACATAAAAGAAAGTAAAGATGTAACAAGTGCTTTTGTCCATGCCTGGCTTAACCTGCCTTTCACCAGTCACTATTGTGCCTGTCATGTAACTTGGCAGGTGGGCTACTGCTATGCACTCTCTCCTGTTTGTCACATGATCCGTGGCAACCAACTATTGTCAGTCTGTCTCTAGTTTGAGAGAAGTGATTTCATGATAAATAAAAATCTTAAGTAATAAATGTAATTAATTGATATTAATTAAAATTTTCCTTTTTCAAATATGGTTTACTTGCAAAATAGTTTAATTATTAATTATACCTTTATTTGGAAAATGAGCCATTAAAAATCTATCATCTGTGGCCTGAAGAAGTTTCACCTATTTTAATTTTGGCCCCTACCTACTGCCAAGATGTGCAGGTCTGCTCTTCAGTTTTCTTGCCACCGTGCACTTACCTTCTCCTACTCCCCACCCCACCTCTATCCTTATCTCCCCAGTTCTGGAACCAAGATCAAATCAGCTCCGGCCATCACCCCCCAACACAGATTGGCTCCCCATTTAGAATGCAGACTCCTTGAAGACAAAGATTGACTTTTCTTTTGTATTTGTACTCCCAGGGCTTAGCACAGTGCTGACACATAATAAGTACTAATAAATGCTTTTTTCATTCATTCATTAAAACCCAACAACTTTGTGTCATACTTCATATGCTACGTATATAAAACATCAGGTATACATTTCCCCACTCCCGTTCTGATTTCACATCTGTCTGCAGTTATCCTTTCCTCCTTTTTTTTAATAATCCCATAGACATTCCTCCTTTTGTAGCCCTTTAACTTGTGCTCTGCATCTTATCCTCAAAAGGTTCATAAAGAATTTTGCTTTTACATTCATCCCTACTTTTTCTAGAATATTTAATTTCTTCCCTCAACTGCCTCCTTCTGTTCTATTCAAATGGTCCAACCAGCCAACCCCTGACCATAGTGACTCTCCCAAATAGATGGTTAGAACATAGGTTCTATTTCATTTCTATCTTTCACAGTTAAATTCCTAAACAGACAATTTTCTGAGGTAAAATTGCCTACTTTCTCCTTAACCCAATAAAATTAGGTTTCCTTTCTCATCACTCCTAACACTCTTCTAAGGGTAAGGTACTGAATTTATTCTCTGTCCTCATCTGTCTTGATATTTCTATTACACATTATGCACTTTGCCAATCCTTTTTAAAACTCTTCACTCTTGACTTTTTTTTCAGACATCCTATTTCCCCCACCTCTCACTTTTTTCTGTTCCTATTCTTAGCCCAAGGTTCAGTTTGAGCCACTTTCTCTTAAACCCCATTAGGAAGTGGTAGTTGTATCACTCAACCACAACCTGAATTCTGACGACCTTCAAGCCTACATCTTCAGCCCTAATTTCTTACCCTTTCACTTGTCAACTACACTGCACTTAAATACCTATCCTCTTTAATGTTTGAAACTTAACATATTGAAATTTTGTCTTATCTTTCCTGAAAATAGATACATTTTCTCAATTCCCCTATCATTAATGGAACTATTATTTTCTTGATGTTTGAACTCAAAACTTTACATAAATTTTTTATTCCCTTCTCTCTTCCACCCACCAAATCTAATGAATTATTAACGTTCGCTGATTTTCTCTATATCTCTTCCACTTCTCTAATTGCTACCTTATTGCAAAGGTTTGCATCTCCTCCTATCTAAGTTATGTTGACATGCTTCTTATGGCAATACTCATGAAAGGCATATAGAAGCTATAATAATGGTTCTCTGGGGCTTATATGGAGACTGAATTGATTCCAAATGGGTATATAGGAGCAGGTAGGAAGGATTTGAGAAATGATCTTCTGAAGGAGGTAGTTGAATGTCTCTGAAGACCTACTGTTTTCCTCCTCAATGAGGGAAAACCTTACTTGGCAGACCATAGCCCTGAGGAATAAACCCCACAAAGGCAAGGAACATGAAGTCATATGGCATGAATTGACACTTCAGGGACTAAATTCTAATGAAATCAAAGTACAAATAAACTATGCCCTGCAAAACTATACAAGGTCAGCCTGCAATTCTCAGGCTATAATCTGGCAGAACACAATCCACAGAGCATCCCCCACAGAATGTCCCTCCCTCCTTTCTACAGTAAAACTTTCTGGTTATCTAAAATGATATTTAACTGCTACATAATGACTTTTGCGCAGCTACATAACTTACTTATATGAAAAAGAAGTAAATGCTTACAAGGTCAAGCAGAGACAGATAGATATACTAGAAAAAAGAATTTTTAATAGATCTCCTATCATGGGAAAGTATGGGATGTCAAAGAGTTGGAACTGGTAATTTGTGGGGGGAAAAAAGTAAAGTGAATAAAAGTAGGTAGATTTTTTTTCTGATCTGGAAAAGAACTCAAAGGATAACTGCTCATTCTCTCTCTACTGGAGGTGCATACAGAGTTCATCCTGGAGAAGGCATTCTCTCATTCTCATATTCTCTCTCTCTTTCTCTCTCTCTCCTCTCTTCTCTCTCTCTCCTTTTCCTTTCCAGAGGCCTTGAAGAGTTTCCACCTACTGTCAGTTTCTCTTGCAAGCACCCAAAGAGAAAAGGGGGGGGGGGAGGGCAGAAGTGTAGAATTCATGCCCTTCCTCCTCTGATATTCTCCCTGTTCATCTCCCTTTTTCTAAGTGTTATATCTACCTGGACATGATATGTAAAAATGTGAGAGGCTATTAAAATTAAGTTCCTCATGGAAGATACTTAAATTATTAAATGAATTCCCATTCTGATGGACAACAAGTTGCATATTTGCATTTCTCTTTGTCCTACATAACAGGAATATACTCCTTTGTCACCTCAGCCTGTAAGAATCCTTAGCTTCTTTCAAGGTTCAGGTCAGGTGCCCACTCTTACAGGAAGACCTCCTGATTTCCCTGGCTAGTCATGTTCTCTTCCTCTTCCCAGTAGACAAGATTTCCTGAAATCATAGATCCTTTTTTTTTTTTGTCTTTGCATCTTTGGTACTCAGCACAATACCTTGCACATCTTAGGCACTTAATAAATGTTAGTTGCTATTGTTGAGCTAAAAATTTTCCCCAAAGTAATCAATGCATATTTTCACTTTTTATGCTTAATAGATGAGGTGGCATTGCACAGTGGACAGAGAGGAAGATAGAAATTCTATTGACCAGAGGTGAAAAGGGAAGCATATTCCAGAGAGAGGGGTTCTAGAACCAGCAAATTTTCAGGGAGGCAGCAAGGCACAGTAGATTGAAAATTGGCCTCAGAGTCAGAAGACCAAGGGTCAAGTCCTGCCTGGATCCTGGCTAAGTCAATTAACCTCTTAGTGATCTAGACAATTCTCTAACACTCTAAGTTGCAGAGAAGGTGGTGCCTTGCATTGGTAGAAGGAATTTCTTTACTGGGGAGTTCCCTACATCATTAAAATCACAGGTCTAATCCCTACCCTTAATAAATGGATACTTTTGATGATGATTGTTGCTGTTTACACTTTTATTTTCAAAGAAAGACCTCTGACAATCTGAGTTGTTCATTAACGTCTGCCAAGATGCACAAGTGCCCAAGCTAAAAGAACTTTTCACAAGACTCTTGTGAAATGTGTCAAAGAAACATTTCCATGAAAAAAGCATTACTAACAGTTCTGGTAGAGAATGGTGGCATACATTTTTAAAAGAGTCGCCTTGTTACCAATTATTGCAACATTTCAATGGTTTACTTGGCCTCCAATTTTTCCCCTATTCTAATCCATCCTATAAATAGCTACTAGAATTATCTTCCTTATTAAGTTAAAGCCCTACTCAAAAACCTACAGTGGCCTCCAACTAAGAAGAAAAAGGTTAAATAATTTGGTGCTTGGCTGACTCTAGGGGATCTTCACATGGTGCATGTCACATAGAAGTTTCTCAATATAAGTGTAGCAAATGAATGAAATTTTCATTTCAATAAACACTTATAAAGTACCTACTCTCTACAAAGCCATTGTGCTATGCTCTGAATTCAAGCCTCAAGGATCTTACATTCTACTAAATATACGTTTGTTTGGTAGGATGCTCATTAGGTTGTACAAGACACCCTTAAGCCCTTCTCCCTTTCCTGCTAGAGTTATTGCAGAGTTCTTTTATATTGATTCTAAATAAAGGAGAAAGTAAGCTTCTTTTTAGCACCATTTCTTGTAGAGTTTTTTTTTTCCTTTTCTGTTCTAATAGTATCAATGGCCATTTTCTTTTTCTTCCTTTTATTGTTGATAGCTTATGCTGACTTCTCTCCTCTGGCAATTTTGAGAGTGCAAGAGAAATACAACAATCATGGCATTGGTAATATCTCTGAGAAAAAAAAGTGTTAGCTGATGCATAAATAACCATGCTAGAAAAATAAAATACAGATAACTTTTATATGACTTATTTTTATAGTAATATAAACAAAGTTGACAAAAAAAACAAGCAAAGTTTGATATGGCACTTGGCAGATTAGGGGTGAGCAACGTTGAGACAGGGGAAATTATTTTAAAGAGAACTACAAACTTCAAAATCAACTAACCTGTTATCTCTTTGGCCTGCTCAGAAATAAGATGGTTGAGTGTCTCTTTTTCCTTTTTCAGCAACGTATTTTCTTCCTTCAGATTTGATACCAGCTATAAAATAAAATTATTAATGTTAATTGTTTAAAATGTCTATATCATCATAACAAATACAAATATACTGGAATCAAAATTCAACAAGTTTATCCTTGAAGTAAGAGTGGACTCCTCATCTTAATCCTTTCCTCAAAGTAAAGAATTCCCAGAGTGTAAACTTAAGTTATGAAGAGTCATATTTTTAATGAATGGACAGAGAATCTTGATAAGGTCTTAGAGGGAGTGACTAAAAACTGTTATACTTTATATACACTGAAATTAATTTAGATATATTTACCAAGTTTAGTTGGTAGTTGATGTTCAATGTTAAATGTTTAATAAAACTTAAAAAACAAAACAGAGATTTTCGTCTCATACAACTCAGCAAAGTATGAAGAGACCAAGGATGATTGCCTATGTTACTAAAGGCCCCTCAAGATCCAGAAAGTTGCCATTTTGAAACAATACTTGTGCCATATCAAAATCTGGAAGCATATCCAAAAGAAGTTGCTTTTGGAAACTTCTGCTTGGAAACAAATAGAAACTCTTTCTGATAGTTTACAGTGCTCCTTCCCTACTTTTCACAAAGATGCAAAAGTCTCCCTATTCTTAAAACAAAACCAAAAACGAACTCTCAGAGCCTATAATCCCCACTCATTATCATTCTAGATCTCTCCTCTCCTCAGATAAACTGCTTGACAAAGTCAACTACTATCAGAGCCTCCACTTCCTCTCCTCTTACTCTTTTTTAAATGATCTGCAACCTTGTTTCTGTCAACACTGCTCAGTTGAAGTTGCCTTCTTCTAAGTCAACAACAATCTCCAAATTTGCAGTTCTAATGGCTTCTTCTCAAGTCTCTCCCTTCTTGAACTCTCTATAGCATTTAACACTGCTGATTACTTCCTTATTCTCTTTTCTCTGAGTACACATGACTGTTCTCTCTTGGTTCCTCTCTCCTACTTGTCTCAGTTTTTTTGCTGTATTTTTACCCAGGTCATGTCCAGTAGCCATTGGTGTATCTCAGGGCTCAGTCCTGTGCTCTCTTCTCTTCTCCCTCTGTGTTATCTTGGTGATCTCATCAGATCTATATATTGAGCCCTATTCTCCTGAACTCCTTCCCGTATCATACCCAATTGCCTTTTGGACATCTCAAACTGAGTATCCTACAGGCATCTAAACTCACTGTTCAAAACAGAACTCATTATCCCCCATAAACCCTTTCCTCTCCCCAAATTTTCCGTTACTGTTAAAGATACCACCAGATTCATAAAGATAACCCAGATTTATAACTCCAGTGTCATCCTCAACTCCTCTCTTCTCTAACTTACTCCACATATCCAATAGTTTGCCAACTCTTGTCATTTTTACCTTTACAACACTTTTTGTATACATACACTTTACTCCCCTCACACAGTCACCTAATTCAGGACCTATCACCTGGACCACTGTAATAGCCTTCTAACAGCTCTCCTTGCCTCAAGTCTCTCCCTACTTTAATCCATCCTTACCTCAACATCATTCCCCACTGACCTATTCATTTACTCCAGTATTAAAGGATAAAGTGACTATTATTGTTGATGATATTGATGATACCAATCTCTCTACTTGTGCCCTCAGTCCTAAACCCTCCTATAGAAACTCACCACTTTGATTGTCCTCACTCTACCTTATTTTAACCTCTTCTTATCTACTAGTCTCTTCCCCTGCCATTTAAAAAATACCCAGGTCTCCCTTAAAAACTTAAAAATCTTTAGGCAAAAAAACAAAAAACAAAACTTCCATTTGACCCTACCATCCCTTTAAGGTATCATTCTATATCTTTTTTCCCTTTCACATCCAAATTCCTAGGGGTAAAAATGTCTATCTATATTGCCTCCACTTTCTCACCTCCCAATCATTTCTCCACTCCTTGTAATCTCGTTTCTATTCCCACTGTTAGACTGAGACTGCTCTTCCAAGGTAACCAATGATTTCTTTAATGCTAAATCTAATGGCCTTTTCTTAGTCCTCATCCTTCTTGACCCTCTGACATTGTTGCTCACTCACTTCTGGGTTTTTTGTGACAATGCTCAGTTGTGCATCTCTTCCTACCTGACTGATCTGACTGATCCTGCTGCTTCCTTTGCAGATTCATCATTCCTATCTTGCCCCTAAGTGTCAGTGTGTTCTAGTGCTCTATCTTTGTCTCTACTCTTCTCTCTCTGCATTAGCTTTTGATAATTTGATTAGTTCTCATGGATTCAATCATTATTTCTATGCAGATGACTCCTAACTATACATATCAAGCCCTCACCTTTCTCTTGAGCTATAGTCCCTCATCTCCAATTATCTTCTGGAGAGCTCTACCTCTATATTGTCAAACACAGCATGTGCAATACAAACTCATCTTTTCCCTTGTACCCACCTCTCCTTCTGTTTTCCCTATATCTGTCCAGGGCACCACCATTCTTATCTGGTTTGCACAACCAGTTGCCAAGGCTCCTTGATTCTACCTCTCCAACACGTCTTGAATCAATCCTTTCTCTCCACTCACACCACAACCTCCTTAGTATTACCTCTCATCTGGAAAAATACAACAGCATCCTAATTGGTCTCCCTTCATCTCAGTCTCTCCCTTCTCCACTTCATCCTCCAAAGACACCAAATTGATATTTCTATAGCACAGGTGCAACCAATTCACACTTCTGCTTAAGAATTTTCAGAGGCTCTCAACTGTCTCTAGGATAAAATACAAACTTCTGTGTTTGGCCTTCAAAACCTCCCACTATCTCAAGCCTTTTTCAGATTTATAATACATATGTGCCAAACAAACTTCTCATGACATAATATTCCATCTCCCACTTCAATGCCTTTGCACAAGCTGTCCCCCATGCCTGAAATGCACTCTCTCCTCACTTCTGCCTCTTAGAACCCCTAGATCCCTTCAAGGCTCAAGTGCCACCCTTTTCAAGAAGTCTTTCTTGATTATGCTAGTTGCTGGTGTCTCCTCTCCCCAAATAACTTTGTGTGTGTGTGTGTGTGTGTGTGTGTGTGTGTATCCCATATTTATTTTACATTTATTATAATACATATATATCCCATATTTATTTATGTGTGAACACATTATATCCTTCTAGCAAAACATAAGTTCCTTAAGGGCAGGCATTATCTTATTTTTGTATCTGTATTCCCACTGCCTCATAAAGTGCCTGGAATCTGGTATATAGTGGTATTTAATAAATGCTTGTTGAATTGATTTAATTTTAAAAATAATTTATTTATTAGTTTAAAACAAATGGAGAAGGGGCTATAAACAGAAGAGGAGAAGATAAATTTTATTTCAACCAGACTGTTTTACTTAAAAGTATGTGCACATTAAACAGATGAGATGCTATAAAATCCTCCATTTCTTTTATAAAGACTTTTGCTGATAATTTCTTAAATTGGTTATTTAGGATGTTTTTACATATCTATCAAGTAAAATAGATATCCCATGTCTATAAGAGGCTACAAGTTGAATGACTGAATTGTGTAAAATATAGGAAATATAAATACATATTTTAAAGAATGGCATTCAGGAAGGGAATGAACTTATGGATGTTAATATATGATTATCCTTCAAAGTAAAACTCTAAATATATTTCCATTTAATGAATTGGTTGATAGACATTAGCTCTTGGTGCTTATTTTCAATAGGCATAGGCAAAAAAGACTAATATGTGTATATGATCTTTTCATACTACAGACATGAAGTGTTCTCCAGTATATGTCTTTAAACTAGTGTTTGTAAAGTCTTTCCGTATTTGAAATTTCATACAAGTAATCTCACTAAAGTCCTAAGCAAAGATATATACTATTCCTTACTACCAAATGTCAGGTTGATGTATCTAGCTATCCATGGATAGCTGTGACACACTATTTCAGTATATCCTCAGAATAGTTCATCTGCTCTTTGTGCCTAAAGCTATTCCATTTCATCTGTCTATACCCAATCTTCTTAGAGAATCTACTGTCATTCTCTCTACAAAGATACCTCAATAAACACCTGCTGTGATGAGCATTACTTCAATTATAGAGAATGTGAATGTTTCAGGAGCTCACTATCAGTTATTCTGTCATCTGGATCAACAGATGACAACCAAACTGTTCAAGCTGCTGGTATCAGCATTATAGGTGAAAGCACAACCACTTTTCTGAGTCATTTAAGAGCTTTGTAGCTTCCAGACCCCAGGTCTAACAAATGCTTTTGTCAGGTCCATGAGTGCCACAGAAATCTTGATTTCATTTGCTTAACTTTTCCTGTACTTACTATAAAGCAGATATTTGTGCTGTGTTGCATCCTAAACTGACGTGATCCTGAGTGCATATAATTGATGATGTTCAATAGCCAGTACAAGAGGACCCTAGTTAAGATTTTGCCAGCAATAGTAATCAGGAAGATATCAAGACAGTTGTCCATGTTGACTCTCCCTTTTTTACTTTAGAGTAGTAAAACTAGTTTGGCATCTGAAATATCATGCCATTTACTTAGTTTTCCATTCATTAAAAAGAAGAGTCTTTATAGACATTTAAACACTACTTCCCATACCATACTTGAAAATCCCATAAGATACACTATGCATTTCTAGAGTTTTAAGATCATCATGTTTACAACAGCAATAGGTGCATCTTCAAAAGTTGAACCAAAAGTCATGCCTGGGTAGGTTTTTCTAGTTTCATAGAGTTTTGTTATCAATGAGGGTAGACAATTGTTCTGCTATCCCAGTCAGATTCCTTCTTCATATGGGATAAGAGTAATTTCCTCTCTCTTAGCCCTTTTTTCCCTCCCCACCCCCCATTTAACCCCTTAGTTGCACAACAGAAGTAATGTTGAGTCTACAAATACTCCTCAGTGATGGACAGTATTTCTTGGCTTTACAATAGTCCCCATAGACTTTCTATGCTTAGCTTTGGACTCTTAGCATTGGTCATGCCTAGTTTTTAACTTGATCTGCAGCTCTAAGTGCAGGATTCTATTAGTATTCCTGTATTAATATGGGTCATGAGCATTTGTCAGGTATTAACAATACATTTCAGCCTGCTTTGCTGAAAGTAGTTTCTCAAGCACCACAATCTAAATAGAGGGACAAGGTCAGTTATACCGAATTGCATTCGGACTAGAACATTATTATAAAGAGAAATAAGACCCAGTACTAAGTTAATAATTTTCTTCTAAAGATATCTGTACCTGTCTCTGCTATCATTATTCAAAAAGCTCTACTAAAATGTCTGAAGTTATTCATAATGTGAGAAATGCCCTGGGAGTACTAATAAAGGGTACTGAGCCAATAAGATTTTTACTTGCACAGCAATGGTTACAGTAGAACAAATCAACAAATGCCCTTTGTCGGGAGTAGTAGTAGATAGGAAGTTAGTTCTTACCTGCTCTGTTTCTTTTTTGTACTTGTCTGCCCACTCCTCAATTGTTTTTTTCTCCGACTGAGTTCGTTCCAAGTCTTTCCGGAGCTTGGCAATTTCTTCTTGGAGACTGAGGACTCGACTAGTGGCAATCTTTGCCTCCTCCTCACTAAGCTGGAGGCGACCCAGATCACTGCGTAGTTTCTCAGTTTCTGAGGTATATGTCCCCTCCAGGGTGTTCAGCTTCTCAAGTAGGCATTTATACTCTTTGTTCTTTGCATTAGTAGCAGCAAAAATAAAAGTAAAAAACAGATAGATGCACAAGGAAAAATGAAAGAGGGAGAGTAGGAAGAAAAAAGAAAATAAAATATCACATCAATTATTTGTCAGAAAGCCAGTGCTCACAATTATCCAAGGAAGTAGCTAGTAGGTTTTTCCCAACTGAACATCATCAAAGGAATGTCAATTAAAGCAATTACTTTCTGATCATTGCTTTACTTTGCTCCCCTAAGCATTTATATATTCCATTAATAAAATCGAACTTTACACTTGCTAATAATAGTTTACTCTGTAATTGTTCTCAAGTAGTTTGAAATATTTTCCTTCCAATTAAACCAAGGTTCCTCAAAAGGGATTATCTCTCTGATTTTTCTTATGTATTCTCCCACAATAACAGACAAAGTGGTTAAAACAGAGTAGACACCATATAGTAATTCATTGGTTCTTTTGTTTACATTTTCTAGGTAATATTTTAAATGTAATTAAACTTTTTAAAAGATCTCCTTGGGAAGATAAATCCATCTCTTTTGTTAAACATGTTGGAACTTTGAAATTATACTAAACAAATACAAAGGAACCTTCAATTTCACTAAAAAAAAATTATACTAGTATAGGTAGAGACTTCGAGGCTTCATTAATATTTTTGCAATTAAAATATACTAATTTAAAGAATTTCAATTTCAATTTCAATTTCAACTTTCCTAATGAAACAGGTGTGCATCTTTCCATTTAAGAAATTTAAGAAGGAAGATTAAAAAATAATGTAATATTAGCCTTTAAATATAGTTTAACCCTATTTCTTCCTGTAAGGAAAATATGTTTTCTTCCCCCACCCATGTAGACAACTAAGTTCAGAGCCCTTAGGAACCTTATAAACATTTGGTGGTTAGATGAATAAATGAGAAATTGTACACAAATTGATTTTAGAGAAGAATGTGAAAAAGAAACTACTGCTAGAGTATAACCAAAAAGTGTGCAGCATGAACAAAGAGATGAGGAAGCATAGATCTTCCACCTGATCTTCTAACAGGTAAAACCCAATCAAAATGTCTAAATGTGGTTATAATAAATTCACATATTTTCCTCTGCCTTCTTTGACACAAGTCTAAAAAGAGGAAGGAACAAAAAATGTGCTTGACTGATACAGCAAATTGTTTATGGTAACTAGTCAATTACCACAGCAACCAGCAACCTATGGAATAGGTGTTACTGAGTGGCACTTGCACTGATTACTGGTTGTCACTCAATCTGCTCCCATCACTGGCACCTTTCATTTTTCTCTTTCATGCTCTCCCTCCTTTTCCTTCTTCTGTTCTGTATTTTCATTCTCCCTTTCATCCTCTTGTTTCAGTCCTATGCCTCAGTCCTGCTGGGATACTAAGGAGCACTGCTCTTCCCATTTAGGGACTCAGGACCAAAAAGGCCTCCTGGGGATTGCTGTAGCTCACAGCACAGCAAGGGACTGCTGCTACTGCTGCTAATCCTGGGCTGCCCCTGCCCTGACTGTTAACACTGTCCATTGGTATCATTGGCAAGTAATGAGAGGGTCCTGGGGAGTGAAATGAATGGGGAGAATGTGGCAAAGAAAGTGGCTGCTGTAGCATAGCCCGAGGGAGAAAAGAGAGTCTAAACTTCCTTTCTTTGAATGCAACCATCTCTCAGGTTTCCAGATCTAACACTCAAGGGAAACACAGAAACTTTCCTCCCATGAGGCATGCCCGGCATGCCCAGTATGCCAAGGAAAGCCAGAAGGGCCTAGTTAACTTCTGGTTTCTGGTTTGTCTGTGAGGGAAGCAAGAAACTTAATAACACAGTGACTTTTACCGTTTCCTGGCAGAGAGAGAAAGAGAGAGAGAGAAAGGGAAGGAGGAGAGAAAGAGACAGGGAGGTAGGGAGGAAAACCTTTGACTAAATGCTTCCTGTGCAAAAAATGCTGAAGAACAACAACAAAACAAAACACAAAACAAATGAAAAATTACTCTTTGAGAGACAGAATGAAAAATTACTCTGGACCCTGATATATTCATGATCCGTATTTCTGTGAAAAAGACCCTATTAAAGAAGGGGAACAAGTAAATAAATAGCAGATCAAGTAGTACTAAAGGGACAAGAGTAGTAGGAACATTAAAAGAAAAAACCTGAAGCAGGTGTTTTGTTTATTTTTTGCCCTTCCTAATGGCTTTCTGTTGCTGAACATTTCCCCCCCAGTGTAGTATCAGTAGCACAACCCTAAGAATAAGTTTTAGTTCTAATGGTGAAGCCTGCAGGAAGATCTAGTCCTAGAGCTCTCTCAGCATTTCTAGACACATTCTGACTCAGTGATACTCAGTCCTACCCTTCTTTCTGTATTCTCCAATTTTATCAACTATAGAAAATCACTGGTAAGCAGCATCATCAATTTGGAGAAATGAGAGTTTCAGCAGTAACAGGTATGGTGCTGGGTGGATAAGAGACAACAAAAGAAAACACACAAAGGTTAAGACTGTATATGATGCTAGCACTGGTGTCATGGACTCAGAATTCGGAAACCTAAGCACAGAAATGGAGCAAGAAGTAACCTTAGAAGCTATCTAGTAAAACTCAACTCAGTTTATAGATGAAGAAGCTGACACTTAAGAGTTAAGTGACTTGCTCAAGGTCACCTGGGCAGCAGAGCTGAGATTCAAAACTATATCCTCTGACAACAAATCCAGAATTCTCCCTTCTGCACAAGATTAGGAAACTAGAATCTGAAGCTTCATCAGGATTTAGCATTAGTGGTAACAGTAATGGCCTCCCCAGTGTGAAGGAAACCTTGTTCGGGGCTCCCCTTCATCCAGGTTCCGCCCAGCATAGGGTGTCAGGAGGAAGGGGGGCTACATTTGCTTAGATTTTCCTCAGGGCCTTCTACTCTCTCAATGGTACTCTAGAATGCTCAAACTTTGACAAGCCAAATTCAATTCAATTTCCTGTCTCTATTACTAATTAGCTGCATGATCTTTGGCAAGCCAAAGGTCTCTTTGTCTCTCAAGTTTCTCATCTGGAAAATGAAGACAATACTCGGCTCACTCACTTCACAGATGTTATGACAACAGCTTCCATCTATTTAAAGGAGATACAAAAGCCAGGCTGCCAACACCTGAAGGGTCATTCAAAGTTGAGAGTGCCAACAAATTTGGCCACTCTTTAATGTACTTCCTATCTTACTTCTAGTAAGCCTCCTGGAAATAATTTCCTGCTTCATTACATTAAATAATGTTTTTCATCTATTAACTACTCATGATTTTTAGCTTCTAGTTGTTAGAATAAAGAGATAAAATGATAGCATTAAAATTTCAGTTGACAGTGATATTTTTAACCTTGGCTACTTGCCTAAACATGGTAACTCCCTGTATCTTTTTCTTTACATCAGGGTCAAGTGGAAGTGACCTGTACTTACCTGTTCATCAACTTTACGCTGCAATTGCATAATCTTGTTTTCCATACCAATGTGCAGCTTCTTATAGCGCTCAACAGAGCGGGCCTCAATCTTCAACTTCTTCAGCTCTCGTTTGGCCATCATTCGTCGGAAACAGCACTGCAGGTAGACGATGGCCTTTAGACACCTTTTGTAGTGCAGCCGAGCCAGCCAGCCACGCACCTGCTTCTGGATGATGATGGCCTTATGTTCACAGAGGATCTGCAAAAGAAGATAAATGTGAAGCAACACTATACCCCAGAGTCCACCTGGTTCATAGCAATAATGCATTCATTTGATGAACTAGAAGAGCAGGAGACACATGAAACATGAATTATTATATGCTGGTAGCATATGCATGCACATTTTTAAAAGACAGTTTGAGGGTTTAAATAAGGATATGCATTCTATTTCTGTAAATATGATCTATGCATATAGACAAAGCAATGACATTTATATGGTGTCTTTAAAAATAAAAGCAAGGGATAGTATGATCAGGGAAGGAAAGCTAAAACAGAAAGGAATAACTCAATCTTGGCATCTGCCTCATTGTTGGATGATTCTTTTTAGTCTCCTGTCATTGGCTGACACTCAAATTAACAAAATTTGGCATCCCAAGAATCACCTGCTATTGAAGGTACATATTTTCCCACCATTTATTACCATTACTTGACAATGCTTTATAATAATAGCTAGCATTTTTATGGCACTTTAAGGTTTACAAAGCACTTTACAAATATTATCTAATTTCGTCCTCAAGACAACCATGGGAGATAGGTTTTATTCTTATTCCTATTATATAAATAAGGATTGGATATTAATGGGCTGATTTTTAAGGCCTACTGGGGGGCTTTTTTTTTAGGTATAAAACAGGCACTCATATTGATCATCCTCAAGAAAATCTCCCTAAAGAGAGTTTTACAAGCACTGTACCAAATGGAGTTGAATTCAGTTTGTCGCATCCAAAAGAAGGAGGAACAAAGACACAAAGAAATTTTATAAAACACCTGTCTATCAAAAACCAGACAAATTAACAGGAAAACTAGGAACAAAATTAAATCTTTGATGCTTATAATACAAACTATTTTTATATCACCTTATATTTTTAAAAATCCATCACAATGTTCAAGTGAACTTTCCAGCAATTAAAGCTGTCCAATAACCAAATTTCCCATTACTAGAGAAATTCAAGCAAAATCTGAATGACTACCTATCAAGGTCATTGTAGAAAGGGTGTATATATTATGTTAAAGGTTTATCTAGATGTTATCTAAGATCCCTACAAAATCTAAGATTCTATGAAATCACTTTCTCAGTATATAAACTATTTTCTAAATGAATTTTTGATCATTTGGCCTTAAGAATAATATTAGTTTTTCTTCTACTGTTCAGAGCCCAGAAAGTTCTGTGATTGCTTAAAAAATATTATTATCACCGGACACCTGCCATGTGCAAATGTCAAAATGTACAAAGCTTCTTAAAGAAGCGATTAAAATATAACAGTGTAGTGATCTAAAGGAAGCAATATATTCCTGTGTTCAGATTTATTCATAAGAAACTAAACACAATGAAAAAACAATATAACACTTTGGTTCTGTTGGAAAGAATTAGCCAATATTTAAAATTTGGGGGGGGGGTGGAGACAAGATGGCAGAGTACAGGCAGTGACCCAGTTGAACTCTCCCACCATTCTCTTCCAAACAACTTTAAAATAACTCCTCAAATCAAATTTTGAAACAGCAGAGCCAACGAAAGGTGAGAGTGAGACATCTTTCCAGTCTAAGACAATTTAGAAGTATGGCAAGAAAAATCTGTGACACAACAGTGGATGCCAGCCAGGAGCACATGTGGAGAGAGCACCAGTGGCGAGCCTTGGAGGCAGCTATGACAATGTCGGTGGCAGCAGCAGCAATTTCAGGAGCTCTCAGCTCAGAGCCAGGAAGGGGGTCAGAAAGCTGGTCATAAAGAGAATACAGGGGACAGTCTGCTGTCATTGGGTACAGCTAGCACTGATTGGCAATTCTACTGCCCAAAAGCAGTTCTGGGTCACAGTTCCAGGGTAGAAAGGAGTGCTTGTGATTGGTCACCAGCCATCAGCGGTTCTGGTCACAGTTTCAGAGGGCTGAGGAGAATGAGCATTTGCAGCCACAGGAGAACAGAGGACCTGGTCATAGTTCCAGGGCCAAGAGGAACACTAGAATTTGCAGCTGCAGAAAAGCAGGGGCCTTTCCTAGGTAAACACCAAAGTGCAGTGACCATACCTTTCCCCATTTCTCACCATCTTAGAAGCACCAAAAAGTTGTAGACCCCCAGACCTAGTTCTGAAAACAGCAGCACCAAAAGCCTGAAGCTTGAGACAGTGCTTTGCCACCCCCTGGTTAACAGACTTTAACTTTAAAGTAAATTTCAAAATCAAGAAATAGGCAGAAAAATGAGTAAACAAAAACAATAACAAAAGAACTTGACCATAAAAAGCTACTATGGGGGCAGTTAGGTAGCACAGTGGATAGAGCATTGCCCCTGGAGTCAGGAGGACCTGAGGTCAAATCTGGTCTCAGACCAGATACTTGACACTTACTACCTGTGTGATCTTGAGCAAGTCACTGAATCCCAATTGCCTTGCCAAAAAAAAAAAAAGAAGCTACTATAGTAACAGGAAAGATCAAGACATAAGAGAAGACAATGTGAAAACAGCTACAAGCAAAACCTCAAAGGAAAATGCTAATTGGACTCAAACAGAATAAGAAATCCTGGAAAAGTTAGAGAAAATAAGAGTGGTAAAGAAAAAACATGAGAAAAGAAATGAGAGTGATGTAAGAAAATTATGAAAAGAAAATTAATAGCTTGGTAACAGAGGCACATAAAAATACTGAAGAAAATAATGCCTTAAAAAAATGGGATTGGCCTAATGGCAAAAGAGGCACAAAAATTCATTGACAAAAAGAATTCTGTTAAAAGCATAATAGGTCAAATGGAAAAGGAGGCACAAAATTCACTGAAGAAAAGATCCTTAAGGGGCAGCTAAGTGGCACAGTGGATAGATCACTGGGCTTGGAATCAAGAGGACCTGAGTTCAAATCTGGCCCCACACAGACACTTGACACTCCAGCTGTGTGACCGTGGGCAAGTCACTTAACCCTAATTGCCTCACCCCAAAAAATCCTTGAAAAGCAGAAGTGAGCAAATGGGAAAAGAGGTATAAAAGCTCACTGAAGAAAACAATTTCTTAAAATTAGAATTGGGCAAGTGGAAGCTAATGACTCCATGAAATATCAAGAAATAATAAAACAAAGACAAAAGAATGAGAAAATAGAACATGTGAAATAATCTCATCAGAAAAACAACTGACCTAGAAAACAGATCCAAGACAGACAATTTAAGAATTATTGGACTACTCTGACAGCCATGATCAAAGAAAGAGCCTAGACATCACATTTTAAGAAATTGCAAAGCAAAACTGCCCTGATATGTTAAATTAGGAAAGAACTAAAAGAATTCACCCAATCTCCTCCTGAAAGAGATCCCAAAACAAAAACCTCCCAGGACTATTACAGAGCTTCCAGGTCAAGGAGAAAATATTTCAAGAAGCCAAAAAGGAACAATTCAAATATCATGGAACCACAGTCAGAATCACACAGGTTTAGCAGCTTCCATGTTAAAGGAGTGGAGGACTTGGAATATATTCTGGAAGGCAAAGAAGCTAGGATTACAAAAAAGACTAACCAACCCAGCAAAACTGAGTGTAAAAATTTTTTCAGGGGAAAAAAATGGAAATTTAATGAAGTAGAAAGCTTTCAAATATTCCTTATGAAAAGACCACAACTGAATAGAAAATTTGACTTTCAAATGCAATATTCAAGAGAAGCATAAAAGGTAAATATGAAAGAATAATCATGAGATTCAATAAAGTTAAACTGTTTACATTCCTATGTGGGAAAATGATTCATGTAACTCCCAAGAACTTTAAGATAAATAGAGTTGTTAGAAGCAGTCTACAAAGAGGGAATGGGTGTGAGTCGATCATGTTTGGATGATCTTTTTAAAAAATAAAGTGAAAGGGTGAGAAAGAGGAATGTAGTGGGAGAAGAGGGAAGGAAGAAGTAGAATGGGGAAATTTCTCACATAAAAAAGAGGCACACAAGGAAGAAAGTAGAGGAGAAAAATGGGGGGGGGCAATGCTTGAACCTGACTCTCATTGGAATTAGTTCAAAGAGGGAAAAAAATACCCACACACATATACATACATATACACATTCAGTTAGGTATAGAAATCTATCTTACCCAATAGGAAAATAGGAGGGGAAAGGGATAAGAGATATGGGGGCAAGGGGAGAATGACAAAGGGAAGGACAGATTCAGGGAGGCAGGGGTCAGAAGCAAAACAAACTTTTGAGGAGGGACAGAATAAAAAGAAAGAAAGATAAACAGAAGAAAATAGAATGGAGGGGAAATACAATTAGTAATCATAACTGTGAATGTGAATGGGATGAGCTCACCCATAAAACAGAAGCGGATAGCAGAATACATCAGAAACCAGAAGCCAACAATATGTTGTTTATAACATATGCACTTGAAACAAAAAGACACACATAGAGTTAAAATAAAGGGCTGGAACTGAATCTATTATGCTTCAGATGAAGAAAAAAAGGCAAGGGGAGCAATCATGATTTCAGACACAGCAAAAACGGAAATAGACCTAATTAAAAGAGATCGTCATGGAAACTATATTTTGCAAAAAGGTACCATAGACAATGAAGTAACATTAAAAAAAATTTAAGAGCAAATTTCTCTGATAAAGGCCTCATTTCTCAAATATATAGGGAAGTGTGACAAATTTATAAAAATAAGAGCCATTCTCCAATTGATAAATGGTCAAAGGATATGAACAGGCAGTTTTCAGAAGAAGAAATGAAAGCTATGAAAAAATACTCTAACTCACTATTGATTAGAGAAATGCAAATTGAAATAACTCTGAAGTACCACCTCACCCCCAGCAAAAATGATAAATTCTGGAGAGGATGAGGGAAAATAGGTACATTGATAAATTGTTGGTGGAGTTGCAAACTGGTTCAATCATTCTGGAGAACAATTTGGAACTATGCCTGAGGGGCTTTAAATTTTGCATGCCCTTTGATCCAGCAATAATACTACTACTAGGTCTGCATTCCAAAGAGATCAAAGGAAAAAGGAAAAGGATCTATATGTATAAAATATTTATAACAGCTCCCTTTGTGCTGGCAAAGAGTTGGAAATTGAGGGAATGCTCATTAGCTGGGGAATGGCTGAACAAGTGGTATATGATTGTGATGGAGTACTATTTTGTTATAAGAAATGACAAAAAGGGTAGCTTCAGAAGAAAACATGGCAAGATCTATATGAACTCATGCAAAGGGAAGCAAGAACTGGGATGTACACAATAACAACAAGGTCGTAATGATGATCTACTGCGAAAGACTTGGCTATTCTGATCAATACAATGATCCAAGACAATTCCAAAGGACTCACGATGAAAAAAATGCTATCCAACTTCAGAGAGAAAAGTAGTGAACTCTGCATGCAAATTGAAGTATAATTTTCTCGCTTTATTTTTCTCAATTTTTTTTAATATGGTTAATATGGAAATATTTTTTGCATGATTTCACAGGTATAATCAATAAAATTTTGTTTGCATTTGGGGAAAGGAAGGAAAAGAATTTGGAACTCAAAATTTAAAAAGAAAAGAACGTTAAAAATAAATAATAAATTTTAAAAATAAAAAATAAAATGCAAATGCAAAATTACTCTAAATGCTTATACATAGAAAGATTATGGCAAAAATTAACCTGTTTTAAAAGCAAATTCACTGTCATGGTTTTTTGGTGTCTGTTTTCCATTATATGAACTCACTGTGATTTATACTGTTATTATATCAGGCATTATAAGCCTCTTACTAAATATAATCTTAATGGATGAACTGTACTTACCTGACCAACAGACAAGTATGAGGCAACAATAAAAAAAATTAAAGTTTTTCAAGCTTTAAACCTCAAAGAATTGAAAAGCAATTAATGCCCATTTTCCTAGTCTCATTTCCTTTCCCCATTTCTGCCTCTCTTTTAACTTGAAATGCTTATCTTCACTTCAGTAATTTTAGCTGAAAATAAACACTGCAATCTGCATTTCATTTTCACTATTGAGTCAGTGAGGTTGAAGGCCATTTGTTTCACCCTCAAATCTCAAGAAACCACCATGGAAAACACATAACCTGAAACATAGTTGGGTAAAATAATAATCTTATGACAACACAGAACACACAAATAGGGACTTCCTGACTCGTCATCTTCTACTAACATTGTATTTCTAACTTAATTTGTCCCTACATAACACTGTAGCTGAGCAATTCAACTCAGAAATAGCTTTCAAACTAATGGTGCTGCTCCGTTTCAGATGCTGCTGGGGAGAAGCTGGCAACCCAAGACAAGAAAGAAAAGGAATCAGCTTGAGGTGGTTCCTAAGCATCATTTCCTCAAGGAGGGTTTGTTTGTTTTTTAAAGGCAAAAGTATGTCTAAGTAGCTTTCCAAGGCAAGCCTAATGACACATGGAAAGAGTTCCAAAGTAACCAAAGCAACTTTAGGAGGAAAGGGAAAATAACCTAAGAATGACTCTCATTAAATTACTTTAAACACAGCTATAATATATGTTCCTATAAACCTTAGAAAGTAAAGGGGCTTGACTTTCTAGGAAATCTAAAAACAGTGGATGGAGGGCTTTCCAGGAGATCTTTATCACAGTCACAATATCAGGGAAACCTCTTAGGGGGTGGCTATGGAAAATGCACTTGTCTCAGAAATCATCTCTGAAGATACAGATGACATGCATAAATTTGGGTAAAGGAAAAATGGGGGAGATAGCTACACTTAGCTTTGACATTACTTCCAGGTTAAACATTCCAACTTCTTTGAATCTCCTCTAATTTCTCCATTTTCTCCTCCTCATCCCTGCCATCCTCCTCCCCACCCCAGGCCTTAAGATAAATCCAGAAGATACTCTGAGCACAATCAATAATGAATAATTATAACTAGAGTATTATTTTTTGATACTTTTGCATTGGATTTTAGTACCACATTTGCGTTCTTAAAATTAAGTAATGTATTGTTTTGTGTTTAGTTTATGGCCTATTATCACTCTTACATACATTTCAGTCACACGTAACAAATTATTTCCTAGTCTATATTTGTGATTTTTTCCCCCTTATTAAGTAAAATCTGTACTAATCTAGGCTGAATTTCATTGTTAGCTCTTACCCCTTGGTTCAATTTACCAAGGCCATTTTAACTGTGTTTTTCCTCTCCTAGCCTGTACAACTTAATGATATATTTTCATTCTACCATCATAATTGATGATGATGCTACTTAAGATGAAAGCCAGTTTCCACACCTGAATCCCACATGACTATGTCTCCAAACCCCCAAAATCTCTATGAATGACTCTTTAAATAGTCATGCACATGCTGTCCTATTTTGTATAGCAATTTTCCAATTTATTACAAATATGCCTAATAGAAGAGATTCAAAAGCCTTACTAAATTCATAGAGTGACTATATTTATCACTTCCCTTCTGATCAACCAGATTCATCATTCTGGCAGAGACTAAGATTAAGATTTATTTGATTCTACTTTATTTATACCTATTCTCACTTGATATTAAATTATTCAATCAGTATTGTTTAAGGTATAGAAATACTTATCTGCCAGACTATATACCTCTCATGCAAAAGATACTTCTGGGCTCATTTTCTAGACTAGAGAAGAGAGATATCAAATTTTTCCTATCTACTTTTTTTATACATATGCTAAATTTACATAAGATTGGATACCTAAATTTTTAAACTGGTATTCACCTCTAAAAGTGTGCCTTCTATGGGTAGAGATAACGTCTACAATATACCTTCTGGTATTTTGTATGGTGCATATAATTCTGTGGACATTCAATAATTATTAATTACATGAATGATCAAGGAGATTGAACAGATTTGCTTACCTTATGATATCTATTTCTAGCCATGTAGCCTCGTAAGTAAGACTGAAGAATGATAGTGGCTGCTCGTTTGATTTGGTACTTCTTTTGGGCCACATACATTCGCCAATACTTCTGAATGATGGTGGCTGCATTGGTTCTGCGCAGAAACTTGGCATAGCTGTTCAAAGTAAGCAATGATAGAGTGTCAATAATTTAAAATATTCAGACATTCATGTCATGTGGCCTCTCAGAAAGGCAAGGTTTTCTATGGGATGTTAATGACACATATGTGTGTATATATATGTGCATGTGTGTGTGTGTGTGTGTGTGTGTGTATGTGTATAAATCAAATTCTGGAATCATAGGATCAGAGATTCATAGTGGAAAGGCAGCTTGCCACCTTGGACAACTCTCTTGTTTTAGAGATGAGAAAACTAAGACCCAGAGAAGTATCCTGCCTAAGAGAATAAGCAGTATAGTTAATTTTTAAACCAGGGTTCTGTAAGTCCAAATTCCTTGTTCTTTCCTCTGTACCACAAATAATATGCAAATTAAATGGATGTAATCTATTCAGTCATTAACATACATTGATATACTATTCTATTTTATGAAATTTATTTAGCACCATATATGGTCTCAAAAAATATTCATTAATCAGCTGTTGCTGCATAAATTCTGGACATAATCTATTCAGTCATTAATATACATTGATATACACTTCTACTTTATTAAGCTTGGTTAGCACCATATATGGTCTCAAAAAAAAAGTTCACTAATCAGCTATTGCTGCATAAATTCCCCCCTAAGGAATGTCTCATCTGGAATCTGATTGACCTATATAGTTCTCTTTTTCAGGTTCTCTTCACCTCACTTCTCCAGAAGACACTTCAATGGAATCACTACTAACTTGACCATGATAATATGCCAACTTTTTTCAACCATTTGGTTTCTTTGCTCTCTTTAAACCCTTAAGAAGAGATAGTAGATAAGCAATTCTAAGGCATTCCAGTCCAGGGAATGAAAATCCACACGGCACCTGTATGAGATGGCCTTATGGTTTTAGAAAGAAGCTTGCATTCTCAATTTACTTGGAACTAAATAATTTTCACACTCTTGTATGAAAACATTACATGGCATGATGCCTCTTCTTCATAATCTGCTCATGTGAAAACAAGATGTTGAATGCATCTTTTCAACATATTCAGGTTCAAAAGGATATACTGTGGGTGTTATCTATATTTCACTTTTACAAAGCAAAAGTCCATTGTGAAAGCAGATGAACATTAAGTGTGAGATTACCGCTGAAATTAATAGTAACAAGAATGAGAGTGATTATTGGTTTACTTTTAAGATACTGAGTGTATATCCAACAAACATAGACTATGTACCTACATATGCAAAGTGTATGTTATGGGTATGTTTTTTAAGACATGAAAACCAGATAGTGGAATTATATATATGATAAAATTTTCATGACTTTCAGCTTTATTCATTGGCTTATACTGCTTTTCAGCAGTAAGACCATGAAGAGAATTTCATTTTAAGAGAGACAAGCTACTATGCACAAAGGACATGATATTCTACTTAATCTCCTGAAAACAAATAGCCTAGCATGGAGCACAGAAGGAGAAAGAGGCCAGCAGCCTTCTATGAATGTCCTGTTTAGGAGATTCTAAAATCAGATGGCATAGTTCTGCTCACCATCGCGCCTGGTAGCCTCGAACATATCTCTGAATAGTAATAGCTGCTTTCTTCATACGCAGGTATTTCTTTCGCAGCAACCAGCCCCGAATTGTCTTCTGGATGCGGATACAGGCAGCCCTCAACTTGTCTGCCCTTATTTTTTCCAAATAAGCTACTTGCCCCGCTCGGAAAAATATCTTGGTCTTACCAAACTGGTATTTATCTTTATCCTATTTTCAGAGAAAAATTTATATTCAGAAGCAAGATTAATGGTCATATAAATAAAAGGTTAGAACAGAAAGGGAAACAAAGATTATCTAAAAGCAGAATCAGTAAAGAGGTGAAACTACGTCTAACATTTTTGCTAATCAGCAATTAACTAAGGGAGCCAGATTTTGATCCTAGGCACTTCTGTACAAAATTTCTATGATTAGTGAGGTTGAGGAAGTGGAAGGGATTTTAAGGAAGGCTATAATGACAACTAATTTCCAGAGTTCTTCTACCTGGGAATATTATTTGAGGCCAAAACTTGGTGGTGGGATTTGGGGTAGTTTTTTGTTAGCTTGTTTGTATTTTAAACATCTCAAGGAAATGGAGATGTTGATATTCTCTTTGATTGATTCATGCTGTAAATGTCTGTATTCCAGGTGAAAGCTGAGGGGACAAAAACACCACGAATAAGATAAGTCTAAAAGTGCACAAAATTAGAGAACATTAAGATTGGTATATTTATATTGAGTTGGCTTTCCTTTAAAGTCATTAATGTTTGTTTCAACTATAGTGTTATTGAGGCTTTTTAAAAAAATCTTAAATACATATTAAAATATAGGTGAAGCTGAAGGCCTTCTAACAAGTTCAAAGCCATTTTTAGAAAATGAAGGTCAATATGGCACCTAGACCTTTAGAGTTAAAAGAGACCTGAGTGGTCATCAAGTCAACATTCCTAATTTCAGAGATAAGAACCTAAGGACCCTGAGCGACTACAGCTTGCCCAAGGCCACACAGGTAGGCCACAGAGGAGGCAAGACTTGAATCCAGGTCTTTGGGTTCCACGCCCACTGCTCTTTCCACTGGACCATGTGGCCTCTTCTACAATAGGCACAATGTAGCAGATACCTCTGGGTATGCAGACACTCTGTGGTAGGCCTTGGAGTGAAGTATGTATCAGGTGAACCATTCACCGAGAAAGCAGTCTGAAAGGAACCCACATGATCCAAAATTCTCAGGGGACACACAGAAAAGACAACCACCATATTCACTGACAAGCTTACAGAAGAAAAAAATCAGAAAGCTTCACCTGAATCAGGACCTTCTGGATTCTTCCTTTTGTTAGTCCTATTCCCCTTCCCTCCCCAAATTACTTTGCATTTACTTTGTATGTGTTTTCACATTAACATGGTTTCCCCAGGGTAGAACGTAAGCTCCTTGAGGGCAGGGACTGTTTTATTCTTGTCTTGGCAATACCAGCCTGTTGCATAGTGCCTGGAATGTAGTAGGTGCTTAATGAATGCTTGCAGATTTTAATTTCTACAGAAATACATAAAGACTATACAGAACTGACCCCCAGGGCTTGGGGTGGAATGCAAAAATAGAGGGTGAGAGGTTTTTTGATTTGTCTTTGCATCTCTAGTATCTAGTACAGTACCTGGCATATATTAAGTAGGTGTTCAATAAACACATGTTGGATTAAAACAAACAGAAAAGAAACTAGAATGATTCTCCTTTTCTCTCCTCTCCTCTCTCTGACCACTGCTTTAGACCAAGCCCTGCCTTCTTTCTTCTCTCAGAGGTTCCATGCACTACAGTCAAACTACAACTCAAGATGTCTGCCACCTATCTCAGCAAAGCCCCATGTATAAATTCTGAGAGGAAACATGGTATCATGGATAGAAGATTGAACTTGGAACAAGGAAAATCCACATTGAAATCCTGCCTCTGACATTAGCTGCATGAACATGTTCCAAGCAAGTGTTGGGCAGATCAAAATGAGCTAAAAAGAAATGAAATTCTAATGAAAAATGGAATACAACTCAAAAAGTAAAAATTAACTACACTGCTTCCAGATTCGTCCTTCATAAAAAGCTGCTTTCACCATGACCCTCCCCTGTTTCAAAACTTTCAATCAAATGCAGCAAGTATTTATTAAGTACTTACTACGTGCTAGGCACAGTGCTAGTTGCTGGGATATAAAGACAAAAAGGAAACAATTGCCTGCCCTCCAGAAGCTTGGATTTTACTAAAGAGTCATTATTGTTATTTGGAGGGTGGAAGGGGGAAGAACTAAGAGGAATAATGAAGAGACTGGTACAGGAAGTGGTCCCTGAGCCATGTTTTAAAGCAGGTGTGCACAACCCATGGGCCATTTGTGACGCACCAAAATTTTTTCTGTAGGCCGCTGAAATCCTTTGGCATGCCACAAGCAGCCCAAAGGTTGTGCAGGTCTTCTTTAAAGGGATCTGGCCGGGGCGGGGGGGGGGGGGGGGGCTAGGGGGCCCAGTGGATAGAACACCAGCCCTGGAGGCAGGACGACCTGAGTTCAAATCTGACCTCAGACACATAATACTTCCTAGCTGTGTGACTCTGGGCAAGTCACTTAACCCCAATTGCCTCACCCCCCAAAAAATAAATAAGATACTTTGGGGCAGTTAGGTGACGCAGTAGATAGAGCACTGGCCCTGAAGACAGGAGGACCTGAGTTCAAATCTGGTCTCAGACCAAACACTTGACACTTATTAGCTGTGTGACTCTGGGCAAGTCATTTAACCCCAAATTGCCTAAAAAAAAAAAAAAGGGATCTGGGGACTATAGACAGCAGAGGTGAGGAGGGGAATCATTCCAGGCTTGGAAAGTCATTTGCACAAAGATATGGAACAAAGAAAAGGAGTGTCACTCACAAGGGAACGACAGCAAACGGAACAGCAAACGTCTGGCTGGGACGTAGAAAGCATGCAAGCCTTTATTACTTCCTTAGCAGCTGTAAAACAAACTCTTAATTCTAGATTTCAAGGCCCTGGCCGATCTTGTCTCTCCTCAATATAAACTCTCCATTTCAGCCAAACTGGACTACGCACTGGACTAAGAACATGCTTTGGGCTTCCTTACTTCAACATTTGGGCATAACTTCCTTCACTCCTGCCCCTACAACCCAGATCTTATAATGTATGCCTTGTTTATTTTTGTTTGTTTGTCTAAATTCTATCCACACTTTAAGGTTTCCTTCTTATCTGAAGCCTTCTCTGATAATTTCAACAAGAAGGTGGTCTTATATTGTTATTTTTCCCATAGGTACATGTACTGTTACCTTACCTAGCTTGTAAGCCTCTATAAGGGACTTAAGCCCCACTAAGTGAAAGATATACTTTTAATTCCTTGTATCTCCCACAATGCCAAGCATGGTATCTTGCACAAGAAACCAATTAGACATTTATTATTGTTGGTTTTCTAAAAAAGGAAAAGGTGAAAATCATTTAGCCAAAAAGTACTGCCTAACTGCCAAACAGCTTCTGTTCTGGTCCCAGATGATGTAACACTGCCTCAGAACTCAAGATGATCCTTCCTACCATCACTGAACCCCTAAAAAACTCTCTGCTGTGCCTGGATCCTCAAGCAATTGCTTCAATATGCTGTCATTCTTTAATTCCAATTTTATATTAATTCAGCCTAGTCTTCTTTTCCCCACCAAAAGTTTTAACTGGAAGCTCCTAATGTCCCTAAGCAATCAAAATAAAATAGATTCTTAAGGCAAAAATCTGTCAACCAAAAGTTTAATAAAAAAGTCTCCTACCAATATCAATTTCTCTAATACATTTTTGCACGTCTGCTTCCTGTCACTAAGTACATCTTTTTGCTTCATCAAGACACGATAGCGACTAAAAAATTCTTGATATGTCCACCTGCCAAAAGAAATCAACAAAAGCTTAGTTAAATATTTGGGAATGTCTCCCCCTAAAAAAGAAAATGTCTGACTTAAGAAATACCTGGCCTACCTGGAGGGGAAACCTGCTGCACTAATTCGGATGGTTTCCAAGACGCCACATGCCCTCAACTGCTGTACCGCCCGCTTTTCATCAAACCTACAAGTGAAAATGCAAAATTGTTAATATACAAGAAGCATTAGTGTAGTCAAGCACAAGTGTGACTACAGCTCCAATTTGCTTCCCATCATTTTGCTCTATAAGAATTAGCTGATAAAAACATGATACTATGAAAGAGAAAGAAAGAAACTGATGGTTCTAAAGACAGTGTGGGAAAAAAAAAAAAACCTAGTCATGAAGGCAGGTCAGTGATTAACAGTGAGAATATGAACATAAAAGGGCTCTAGTCAGGTTTGTGCCAAAGTACACCTGACCATGAGTCAGGATCATATCTCTAAGTGTCTAGTTCCTATAGTACTCAAAGTAGGCTTAAAAGACCATCCTTTCAAATGTTTTAATATTCCCAAAGACCTTTGCACTCAATCTCAGTTATGGCCACAATAACCACACCCTTACCTTGGTTCAATTTGAAACTTTCAGTTTTCTTTAGGTTACTTTGTGCCGTTTTCTTCTCATTCTCTCTTTCAGTTTACTTACAACTCTTTTAATAATAATAATAGAAATAGTAATAATAATAATAACAATAGCTAGTATTTTCACAGGGCTTTAAGATTTACAAAACACTTCATATGTTATTTCATTTGGTGATTCTCACAACCTTGGAAAGTAAGCACTGTTATGATCTCCATTTTATAGATGAGGAAACTGAGGCTGACAGAGATTAACTGACTTGTCCAAGGTCCAAAGTTAATAAGTGTCTGGGGCTAAATTTGAACTCAGGTCTTCCTGACTCTAAGCCCAGAGCTCTACCCATTGTGCCACCTAGCTGCCTCAAGATAGCTTCTTTTCCAAGTGATTTATTACTCAGTGACTTCTTTCCCAGGGTCATTAAATACACTTTTTTCAACTGAGAAGTTAAAAAATACACTTACGTAAATGGAAACTTGAAGTCATTTGGTTTAATACAACGCACATAATGGGGAGTTGTAGCATTGAGGGTCTCCATCAGCAGATGAAGGGAGTTTCTGAACTATATGAAAAACGAGAGAAAAGAGGAGTCAAAGTTATGAGTTGGATTAGCTTTAAGATCATGTCATCTTGTTCATGGATTTTTTTTTAATACTATATAAAAAATCATCAGTGAATGAAATAGGAATGAAACCAGTGAAAAAGAAGATACCAATAGAGTATCTCATTTTCAAAATGTATGCTTTCCATTACAGTAGGAATGATCTCATAATGGTGGACACTGGTTAGAGCTTTAGAATTCATAAAGTTAACAAACCTGTGAGACAGGCAGAACAACCATTATAACGGCATTTATAGTCATGAAAACCAAAGCTTAGAAGGTTTAAGGGATATGTCTAAAGTCACACTAGCTAGGATTCAAAACCAAATATTTTGATTTCAAGTCTGGAACTTTCTACCCCACCAAAGTGCCTCTTTTAAATACTCTTCCTATGTCATTAGTGCAAAACATATTGGCACCCATCATCCTGACTTCTTAAATACAGAAAGGTAATTGCTAAAGGACTGCTAGAACTGAAAGCAACAGCAATTTGAGTTTGAACATTGTAGATTTAATTTGAAAAACACAAATCATTTCTCTCCCATCTTCAGTCCACATAATTTGATTCAGAGTGATACTTAAGTATTATGGACACAAAATTCGCACTCAATTTTGAGGTTTACCTCAAAATCAACTTTTTTTTTTTTGTGCTAAAAAGTATTGAAAAACGTAGTTACTACCCAGGAGGCAGCTAGGTTCGGTGGATAGAGGATGGGCTAGAGCTGGAGTCAGGAAGATCTGAGATCAAATCCAGCCTTAGACACTTACTAATTGTGTGCCTTAGTTCCTCATCTGTAAAATGGGGAAATACTGGAGAAGGAAATGGCAGACCACTTTAGTATCTTTGCCAAAAAAACTCCATAGACAAAGTCCATAGGGTCACAAAAAGTCGGATATGATGGAACAACAACCTAGAGGCAGTGTGGTACAGTAAAAGGAGAAATTACTTGAGTCAGAGGAATGGGTTTAAATGCTGCCTCTGATTCATATTATGTGTTAGCTTAGACAAGACACCCTTAGGAATCAGTTTCCTTGTGTGCAAAATAAAGGAGTTGGACTAGCCAGCCACTGAGCTTCCTTTGAAATCCAAATCTGTAATCCTATGAAATTAGCACACAGGGTGTGTGTGTGTGTGTGTGTGTGTGTGTGTGTGTGTGTGTGTGTATGTGTATGTGTGTATGTGTGTGAGTGTAAATGTGGGCATGTCTGTGTATGTGGGGGTGGGGGGTGGGGGGGGCAGCCGGGAACTGATTTCTTCCCTGTGGAGAATTCCAAGTGCAGAAATTCCCTCTACTCTCCACAAATAGATGGACTGATGATTTGTCTGGAATTTATCATCTGAGACAGTTGCCTAGGAAGTGGAGAGGTTTAGAAGTCCATGATCATAATACTGAGATGTGTCAGAAGCAGGATGACTTGAACCCAGGTCTTCCTAACTCCAAGGCTGACCCTTCATCAACTGTTTCTGTTTCTACACATACACACACACACACACACACACACACACACACACACACACACACACAGAAACACACACACTCTCAAAGATTTAGAGCTGGAAAAGACCTTAGATGTCATTTAGCCCAGATACCTCAGTTTTAGATGAGGAACTGAGGCTTCTCATGAATGCTAACATTATTCAAATTCCAGTGACATGAAATAGAAAGCACAGTATTATCTCACTTGTGGAGCTCTTTGTCCATCATCCTGATCTGGCAGAAACCCAGTTTACCAAGCTTAAAAGCAGAAGACCAGATGTTAATTTATTATTAAACTAGACATTCCTGGAGGGGGCAAAGGAACATCCTACGTTTCTCCTTTTCCTGAAAAGAAGATGCTACTTATCGATACTGATATTTTGTGAATACCGTTTTTTAAATAGTGTTTTTAGCTTATTCTTCAGGCCCTGAGGCAAAATGATTATGAAGGGAAAAAATTTCTGTGCAAAAATACCTCTACTCCCTTAATTCTTCTTAGGTGGGGTTGGGAAGCGCCTACCTTAAGGACTAACCTGAAAGCTGTTATATTCCTAGAGGCTTATCCTAGTGGCTATTGGGTAAAAGGCCAGGCCATGATCATAAAGGTGTTTTCACACCTTGGATAAAGGTCAGATGTGCCTATTTTGTACCTACCAACTACCAAGCTTAAAATGCAGCATCCATGACTAGAAACAGCAGCTAGATAAAGCTTGACTTTGAGGTCCTTGCACAATTCAAGTCAAAAGGAAGCAAAGACAAGCAATGCTTTGTTTTCTCTGAGGTCCTTAGAGTTAGGAACTGGAAGTCTGCCTCATTTATTCATTCATTTGACAACCATTTATTTAATGTGTGCTGCATCCCCTAGAGGGTACGACACTAAGAGAAATAGAAGGCAAAGTTCTTGACCTTCAGTAGCTTAGATTCTATGTAAGTGTGTATATGAAAGAGAAAAAGATCAAGATTATTCTAATACGAAACTCAAAGATCTGGCTGAATTGAGAAACCGATAAAATCTTTTTTGGTTGAGCTGAATCAGAAAAGGATTCATAAAAAAGATGAGGGTGCAACTAGAGGTGGGCTATGAAGAATGTGTAGGATTAGGGTTGGTAGAATGTGTTGGGGGGGAGGAAATGGATATTAAATCATATTCAATTATGCAAACGTTTCTTAATCATTTATTATGTGTCAGACAGTATGTTAGCCAGGGATTAAAGACAAAAAGAAATTTATTCATGTCCTTAATGAGCTTACATTCTATTGGGTTAAAGTCCCAGTAACTTCTTATTGGATAAGAAGAATTAAATATCAGGGGTCATTGAGTAAGGGCAAGGAAAGTTTGTGTCCTAACTGATGTTAGGAAAGGAAGGAGATTAGCTATGTGTCACTCACCTGGTGTCCCACAGTTTTCTTATGCTCTTTTGCTGACTGGCCTGGTCTAACCTTAGTTGGCTTTATAGGAGTCCTGGAGAGGGGGGTACGCCCAGAAGGAGTGGCTGAAGAAGGGCTAATGGCTTTTTCATCATCTCGAAATAATTCTGGGAGCATCTTAAACTATGTCACAAACAGAAAAAAAATATTAAAACTGGAATAAAAATATAAACCTAGCGAAAAAACAATGTGATATTCTCCAACTATAGTGGATCATTTCAAGTAACCCTAGAAAAATGCTTTCAGACTCATACTCCATGAACATTATATGATTCAATGGCAAAGAAACAGTAGAAGATTTAAAGTCAGATGTTAAAACAATATATGTTTGTAATATGTTGTTCTACAACACAGATTTTATAAGTGAATTCATAAAATTCATAAAAATGCTTTTTTCTTTTCATTTTTATTGATATCTTGTCTTTACATCACCAGTATTTCTGAATATACCCCTTCTTCATATACTACATAGTGAACCATCCCTTCTAATAAAGAAAAAAGAAAGCAAAACAAACAATAATTAAGCAGAACCAATACATCAACTGAGTGACCTTACATATGATATTCTGCATCCATATTTCTAACACCATCTCTGCAAAGAAGGGAGAGAAGTGCATTTTATCAGCTCTTCCCTAGGACAAAGATTCTTGGTCATTACAATCATAGTGTTAAGATTTGATTATTTGTTCTTTCTATTTACATTGGTGTTATAAGGAATACTGACTTCCTGCTTCTGTTTAATTCATTTTTGAACCAGTTCATGTAGAACTTCCCATAAGAAATTTTAAATGTGAAAATATTATTGCTGCTCTAGTGTTTCATTATGAAACATAAGCTTTTGTCTTAATACTGCAGTTTAACATGACAATTTGTTTCCATCATAAAGAAAACATTTTCATAGGAACTCAAGCTCAATTCAATTTAACAGGAAATTTTTATTAATGTCTACTATGTGCCAAGTATTGAAGGGAATATAAAGTTTAGGTAAAGCACAATATCAATGCCTTCACGAATATGACAGACAGTAGATATATGCATCACAGAGCCAAATATATAAATAAATAACAGCCATTTATATAGTCCTTTGAGACTTCTAAAGTACTTTATGTTCATAATCTCATGTGATTTCCAAAATGATCCAGTGATGTAAGTGCTACAGATCTTTTTATTCTTCAAAGCTCAGCTTAAGAAGTGGAGACAAGATGGCAGAATATCAGGAAATAGCAAATCAAACTCTCCTCCACTCCCACCCCCTCAAAAAAACTCCTCCAAAACAGATCTAGAAAGTGCAATAGACTGAATCTTGACGGGGAAATCCAATAAAATGTAACAGTGAGTCATTTTTCCAGCCCAGATTGGCATAGGGACACAGAGAGTTCTATGGACATTGGAATTTGGCCAAGAAATCAGGCTGAAAGAAACATTCCATAGGGAGAGGCTAGGCACAGGGCCAAGAAGAGTTCCCAGGCCTACACTAGGGCACTGTGTGCAGGGTGTGGGAACAGATGCCAACTACATAGTTCAGCCATCACTAATGTTCTCTTGGTCACCTTTTGTTGCAGTGGGTGAGGACCAGGCAAAACTTGAGCTTTCCTCTCATCTGAACTAGTTCAAGGAGGGAAGAATAAACATACACACATATTTAGGTACAGAAATTCATTGTACCCAACAGGGAAGCAGAAGGGAAAGGAGTTAAGAAACAGGTGGGCATAAATAAGAGAGAGAAGAGAAGAAATGGTAAAAAGCAAAACAGACTCTTGAGGAGGAGATAGAGTAAAAAAGAGAAAGCTACATATAAGAAAATAGGATGGAAAGAAATACACACAGCAATCATAGCTGATAATATGAATAGGATGAACTCACTCATAAAATGGATTAGAATGGATTAGAAACCAGAATCCAACAATATGTTGTTTATAAGAAATATACTTGAATCATAAAGATACACAAAGAGTTAAAAATAAGGGACTAGAACAGAATCTATTGTGCTTCAGCTGAAGTAAAAAAAGGCTGAAGTGGTGATCTTGATCTCAGATATTGTTGTTGCTCAGTCGTTTCAGTTGTGTCCAACTCTCTGTGACTCCACTTGGGGTTTTCTTGGCAAAGATACTGAAGTGGTTTGCTATTTCCTTCTCTACCTTATTTTGCAAAAGAGGAACTAAGGCAAACAGGATTAAGTAACTTGCCCAGGGTCACATAGCTAGTAAATGTCTGAGGCCAGATTTTAACTCAGGAAGATGAGTCTTCCTGACTCCAGGCCTGGCACTCTATCCACTGTGTCACCTAGCTGCCCAAAAGCAAGAACAGATCTAATTAAAAGAGATAAACAGGGAAACTACATTTTACTAAAAGACATTATAGGTAATAAATTAATATCAACAATGAACATACACACACCAAATAGCATAACATCCAAATTCTTAAAGGAAAGGGTAAATGGGTAACTGGAGAAAATAGTAAAATTATCATTAGTAGAAGGCCTCAATTCACCCCTCTCAGACCTAGATAAATCTAACCATAAAATAAATAAGAAAGAAGTTAAGAAGATGAATAGAATTTTAGAAAAGTTAGATGAGATAGACCTCTGGAGAATAGTGAATGGGAATAAAAAGAAATATACCTATTTTCAGTTGTACATTGTACCTTCACAAAAATTGGCCCATGTATTAGGGCATAAAATCATAGACAAATGCAGAAAAGCAGAAAATGTATTAAGTACTTCTTTTCCTGACCATTCAATAAAGATTATATTCAATAAAAGGCTTTTAAAGCACAGATTAAAAATTCATTTGAAACTAAATAATCTAATAATAAAGAATGACTGGATCAAAGAACAAATCACAGAGTCAATAATTTCATTAAATATAATTATAACAAGGATACAACAGACCAAAATTTGTAGGATGCAGCCAAGTCAGTAGTTTGAATTTTTATATCTCTGAAAGCTTACATAATTCAAAAAAAAAAAAAGAAGAAGAAAAGAAAGAAAGAAAGAGCATATTGAGGAATTGGGCTTGCAAATAAAAAAATCTAGAAAAACAGCAAATTAAAAACCCCAATTAAACACCAAAATAAAAACCCTGAAAACCAAAGAAGAGATGAACAAAACTGAAAGGGAAAAAAATAATTGAACTAATAAATAAAATTAGGAGCTAGTTTTTTTTTTTTAATGAAATAGATTAAATCATAGAACTCATATGATTAAAAAAAGGAAAGAAGAAAATCAAATGACTGGTATCAAAAGTTAAAAAGGTGAATTTACACAAAATGAAGAAGAAATAAAAGCAAAAATTATGATCTATTTTTCCTATATGCCAATAAAACTGACAATAAATGAGATGGATGAATATTCACAAAAATATAAATTGCCTGGATTAAGAGAACAAGAAATAGAATATTTAAATAATTTTATCTAAGAAAACAAAATCAAGTTGTAAATGAGCTCCCTAAGGAAAAAAAGAAAGAACAGACCGGATAAATTTACAGGCAAATTCTGCCAAACATTTAAAGAATAATTAATTCCAAAACCATATAAACTGTTTGAAAAATTAGGTAAAGAAGGAGTCCTATTAAATCCTTCTACAGCACAAATATGTTCTTGAAATTTAAACCAGCAAGAGTCAAAACAGAGGGGGAAAAACTGTAGATTAATTTCCCTAATGAATATCAATGTGAAAATTTTAAATAAAACTCTACTAAGGAGATTACAATTTATATCACAAAGATCATACACTATGACCTGGATAGATTTATACTAGGAATGCAGGGCTGGTTCAATACTGGGAAAACTATAAGCATTATTGACCATATTAAAAAAAACACACACACACTAGAAAGCACAGGAATCAATGGAACTGTCCTTAAAATAAGTAGTATCTATCTCGACATAAAAGCAAACATTATCTATCAGAATAAGCTAGAATCCTTTCCAATAAGACCAGGGGTGAAGTGAGGGCATCCATTATCACCATTACTATATAATATTTACTAGAAATGCTATCTACAGAAAAGAATTTGAAACAGAAAAAAATAAAAAAATAAAAGAGTCTCTGTTCTTTACACACATACACACACACTACATACAACAAAAATTATAGAAGATGGGAACACTGTCAAAAGGGCTGCAGAGGGGGTGGAGCCAAGATGGCAGAGTAAAAGCAGTGACTTGCTTGAGCTCTTCCCCAAGCTCCCCCCCAAATACCTCTAAAAAATGGCTCTAAACAAATTCTAGAGCAGCAGAATCCACAAAAAGACAGAGTGAAACAAATTTCTGGCCCAAGACAACCTGGATGGTTGATTGGAAATGTCTGTTGTGCCTAGCTGGGAGAGGAGCAAAGTTCAGCGTGGGGCATGCAGGCAAAGACAGGGACTCAGTGAACCTGGAACAGGCCTCAGGGGACTGAATCAAGGGGAGCTATGGTGGTTTCCAGACTTCTCAACCCCCAAAGGCAACTTGGAAGGTCAGTAGGAAAGGTCTGTTGGACCATGGTGAGAGAGGAGCTCAGTCTGGCCCCAGTCCCAGCACAGCCCTGGGGCAGTGGCTGCTTCTGGAGCTATCAGCCCACAGATGGAGGAAGGATCAAGTGGCTGATCAGAGGGGGAATGCAGGGATCTCTTTGCTAGTACTGAGGCAGGATTCTCTTGCTTTGCCAGTGCTTGGATCTGAATGGCAGTCCTGTGTGGTGGTCTTGGGGTGAGGAGGAGCACTGGCATGGTGGAGCTCATAGCCAGGTCAAGAGGGATTCACTCTCACAGTTCCAAGGCAGAAAAGACTGCATGTGGTCACTCACAGACCAGAGCACAGGCCAGGAAAGGAGTAAACATAACTCCCTTGATTGTACCACCTTGGAAGAACTGAAAATTTACAGGTCTCTGAAAACAGTTGCACAAAACCACTGAAGCCTGGGAGAGTACATTCTCCACACTGAAAGCAGACCCCTACCTTAACAAAGAGTTTAATAGTCAAGTAATTGGCTGGGAACGTGAGCAAACAGCACAAAAAAATCAGACTATAGAATCTTACTTTGGTGACAAAGAAGATCAAAACATACAACAAGAAGAAGACAACCAAGTCAAAGCTCCGAAGTCCAAAGCCTCCAAGAAAAATATGAATCAGTCTCAAGCCATGGAAGAGTTCCAAAAGGAATTTGAGAAGCAAGTAAGAGAAGTAGAGGAAAAATGGGAAAGAGAAATGAGAGTGATGCAAGAAAATCATGAAAAAAAAGTCAACAGTTTGCAAAAGGAGACCCAAAAATACTGAAGAAAATAACACCTTAAAAAATAGACTAACCCAAATGGCAAAAGAGGTCCAAAAAAACAATGAGGAGAAGAATGCCTTAAGAAGCAGAATTGGCCAAATGGAAAAGTCCAAAATTGTACTGAAGAAAATAATTCCTTAAAAATTAGAATGGAGCAATGGGAAGCTAATGACTGTATGAGAAATCAAGTAATTATAAAACAAAACCAAAAGAACGAAAAAATAGAAGACAATGTGAAATATCTCACTGGAAAAACAACTGACCTGGAAAATAGATCCAGGAGAGATCATTTAAAAATTATTGGACTAGTATGGCAGAAACTAGGCATAGTTCAAAATCTCACGCCATATAAACAAAGTCAAAATGGGTTCATGATTTAGATATAAAGGCTGATACTGTAAGCAAACTGGGAGAGCAAGGAATAGTTTACCTATCAGATTTATGGAGAACAGAAGAATTCATGACCAAACAGGAGATAGAGAACATTACAAAATGCAAAATAGATAACTTTGATTACATTAAATTGAAAAGTTTTTGCACAGAGCCAATGCAACCAAGATTAGAAGGAGAGTAGAAAATTGGGAAAGAATTTTTACAACAATTTGAAAGTCAAATTTTCTATTTAGCTCTGGCTTCTCAAGAATGCATTATATTCCTCTATGTCATTGAATATCAATTTTTCCTCCTCACTGATTACACTCAATTTTGCTGGGTAGGTAATTCTTGGTTTTAATCCTAGCTCCTTTGACCTCCGGAAGTAGAATGAAGTAAATTATCTCACATAAAAGTGGGAAGAAAAAGCTTTTACCATGGAGGGAAAGAAGGGAGAGGTGAGAGGGAATGAGTGAACTTTACTCTCATCGGATTTGTTTTAAGGAAGGAATAACTTTCACAGTCAATTGGGTATGGAAATCTATCTTACCCTACAAGAAAATGGGGGGAAGGGGATAAAAGAAGGGGGACGATAGAAGGGAGGGTAGATTCGGGGAGGAGATAATCAAAAGCAAACACTTTTGGGGAGGGACATGGTCAAAGGAAAGAATAGAATAAATGGGGGTGGGATAGGATGAAAGGAAACGTAGTTTTTCACAACATGGTTATTATGGAAGTGTTTTGCATGACTATACAGGTATAATCTGTATCAAGTTGCTTGCCTTCTCAATGAGGGTGGATGGGTAGGAAGGAAAGGAGAGAATTTGGAACCCACAGTTTTAAAAACAAATGTTAAAAATTGTTTTTACATGCAACTGGGAAACAAGATATACAGGCAATGGGGTATAGAAATCTATCCTGTCCTACAGGAAAATAGAAGGGGAAGTGGATAAGAAAAGGGCAGGGGCGCTGATAGAAGGGAGAGCAGATAAAGGGAAGAATTCAGAATGCACGTGTTGGGGGAGGGGAGAGATGGGGAGAAAATTTAGTATTCAAAATCTTGTGGAAGTGAATGTTGAAAACTAAAAATAAATTAATTAATTTAAAAATTTTTTTAAAAAGCAACAAGAATATAAAAAAAGGCAGAGCTGCTGAAAGGCACACTAAAACACTGCAGATGGATCTGTGAATTGTTCCAGCCATTCTGGAAAGCAATTTAGAATAAAGCTTTTTAAAAAGTGGCTAACGTTCCAGATCTTAAATTGTATTATAAAGTAGCAATCATCAAAACTACTTGGTACTGGCTGAGAAATAGAGTGGTGGATCAGTGGAATAAGGTATGCAAGACACAGTAGTCAATGGCTATAACACTGTGAATGGAAAGTCCCCCAAACACTAAAACTGAACCCAGTGTAATTGTAATGACCAAGCCTAGCCCTGAAGAAGATATGAGAAAATGCACTTACATCCCTTCTTTGCAAAATGGAATACTAAGTTGATGTGTTAGTTTTACTATATATATTTTTTCTTTTTTTTTTTCCAATTCTTTGTTACAAGGGATAGCTCCCTGAGGAGATAGGGAGTTATATTTGGAAATTAAGGTGATATAAAAATAAAAAATATCAATAAAAATAGCACATATATCCTTCTCTATCATGCCACCTGTAACCTCATCATCCTATAAAATCACATCAGCCTGGGTACTCATACCTAATCAGTACCCTCTGCTCCCAGAACTTCTGATTGAATGGCAGATCTATTTAAGAAAGGTTCTGAGGCCAGTCATCTTTCATTTACTACCTCGCTGCACTGTTTTGGATTTTTCCATCATATTCCCACACTAGGTACCTTTCCTTCTTCCACCCTAAGCCCTTTTCAGCTTTCTTTTGTCATGTTGTCTTCTACCATTAGATTATAATCTCCTCTAGAGCAGGTAGTGACTTTCTTTCTCATATTTGTATCACAAGTACTTAGCACAGCACCTAGCACACAATAATTTGGCTATAATGACTATTTTATGACCAAAGGAAAATATTATCCATGGTTACCTTGCTTGACTTAAGAACTTTAATTTGTTCTTCAAAAACTGTGTCCTTATTCTTCTCCAAGAAGCCTTCACACTGGTATTCAACCTGCAAATATACAGGAAAATTTTAATATCCAACCAAACTCTTCAATAACAACAAAAAAAGTTTTGGGCTAGTTATCAATTGCAAGAAACATGTCTTCAGTGCCTACTTTGTGTAGGGCACTATGTTAGGAATGTTTCCATCAATCAAAACAATTTCTATTATAAAAGTGAAATTATAAGATGCAAGTATATTAAAACTATAGTAAAACTCACCAGATGTTTCTTTGAGGACCAATAATTTATGGATCAGTGGGATCTCTGATCTACTTGTTACACTCGACACTCTGAATAAACATACGAATGGACCAATAAGCGTGGCTTCTCTGCCAGCCCCCTATCCCCTCCATAAGCCGACTTATCATAGTGCCTGAAGCTTATCATCTGTCCCATTACAGACTGCTTCCTCCCATGTCATAGTCATCTATCCTTGTGGCTCAGTACAAACTATCTGGCAGAAATGAATTTCCCCTTTGGGAAAAAGGTTGCTAGTGAAAAAGAGTGAGAACAAATGGTTGGTTGGTGGAGAGAAAGTAGAAGAGCTAACAAAGGTTAGAGGTAGAGATTGAGGAAACAAGTAACGTGGAAAATTCCAAGACGCCATTTCATAGGGGTAAACTTCATAGGGGTAATGCTCCCTCCTCCAAAGATTATTATTCCCATCAGCCTACACCCCAGATTGAAAGATCACTTTGGAGCTTTTATGTTTCTAAAATGTTTCTACCTCAAGTCTCCAGTCAAGATTATGGCAAACTTGGAAAGAAGACAGTCCTTACAGGTAACCTGTGCAAAGACAAGTAAGTAACCCAGGACCACTTACCATCTCTACCTCCACTCCCCACTCCCCTGCAATCTGAAGATACCTTATATGACTTTCTAATATGTGTGAAATCCAGTGATAAAATCTAGTTATCCACAGAATAACAATATTATTGTTAACTCTGAATTATTTGACACCAAAATTCAAATGGGATTGAAGTAAAAAAACAAAAACAAACAATGCAGGTTAATCATCCCACAAAGCTACAAACTGAGAGAGAATCTTGCATAGTAGATAAAAATTTGGCCTCAAAGCCAGGAAGACTTAGGTTCAAGTCTTTTCTTTGACACACACTGGCAATGAGACTCTGGGCTTACCTTCTCAATGCCCTAGACAACGTTCCAAAACTATAACTTGTAGAGAAGGTACAGACTTGTATTGGAGGGATTTTCTTCACTAGGGAGTTCCCTATACCAATGAAATCACAGGTCCAATCCCTATTCCTGTCCCTAAGGCCTTACAGAATGCAACCTTAAGCAAAGAAGGAAAGAGTTACCTGCTATTTTTTTTCCCTTTTTAAACTTGAGTCTTCTAAAATTTAAAATAAATAAATAAAAACAACCCATGGCAAAGCATCCTTACTTTGTCAGCAAAATGCTGAATGATAAAAGCTTTGTTTGACAGACGGGGCTTTTCAAAGAGTGCACATTTGTTCAAATGTGTGTTGTACAACTTCTGGGCCCATGTGTCATCTGAACCTTTAGGCATCTAGAAAAGAAAATGACAACAGTTAGAATATAACTGTGATGCTCATCTGAAGCAATTAAGATGACAAGCTACACTTTTTGTCAACTACATAATACCTTTGACATTTACTTAAAGAACTCTTCTGTCTTCCTTATGTGTTTGTAGACTCACTTTGATGGTCTGTAGACCACAAACCAATTATTACTAAATAGTATAATTGAATATCTTTCCAAGGCTGACTTAAAGCATTCTTTTCTAATTTTTATTTAACATATTTCATCAAGTTGCAAATGAACAATTAAAAGGGCTTCTATACTAAAGGGCAAGCTAATGAAAGAGAAAATCTTATAGCTACGTGTCTTCTTGATATGTTAAAAAATCAGGACAAGCTTATGGGAAGATAATATTTATCATACATATTGAACACATTCAGAAAGAGACAAATTTTTTTATCAAATACCAGATGGGGAAGCTATGGCTAGCATTTTAAAAAGATCAGAGGATTTTAGTGGTACAAACTCAATATAAACCAATAATGTGATAGGGCAGTCAAAAAATCTAACCAATTTTCATCTATAATAAGACAAAGAAAGAGGGTCCAAAATGAGAAAAGTCATATTATAGCCACTATATTCTACTCTTTTTGGATGATATCTGGAAAACTGTTCAGTTCTAGGTGACATCTCTTACAGACACTGGTAAACGGGAAAAATATCCAAAGTTAAGCAACCAGGATCATAGATTTAGAGCTAGAAAGGACCTCAGAGTTCAACTAGTCCAACTACCTTTTTCTAAATGAGAAAACATAAGGCCAGAAAGGTTTAAATGACTTGCCTAAGATTACACAGGTTGTAAAAGAAGTAGGATTTGGACCCAGGTCCTCTGACTTCAGATCTAGTGTTCTCCCCTATATAACTATGCTTCATATCTGTGTATAACTAAAGTCAGTAGCATACAGCAAAGTAGCTAAAATTCTATAGGTAGACCTTAAACCTGAAAAATAAACAACCCTTGAAATTTTGGACAATAGGGGAATTTATACCTATTATCCAAATTTTTTTTGGTCAGAGTTGAGATTTCATTAGTGTAGGGAATTCCCAGTGTATCCCATCAATGCAGATTGGTAAGTGGTGTATAGTGTTGGAGGATTGCCCATATCACTAAGGGGTTAAATGATTTGCCCATGGTTACAGATATCATGTGTCAGAAGTATGAACCTATGTCTTTTTGACTCAAAGGCTGCTGTCCCATCTATCATTGAATAACCGACTAACATGAAGTCTGATAGAGTAGAAGATGTTGAAGAATCTTGAGACTATACCATCTGAAACTCAGTTGAAGGAAATGGGAATATTTAAACAAGAGAAAAGACTTGAGGAAACATGGTAGCCCTCTTCTAGTAGATGAAGGAGGATCATATGGAAGGAGAGATTAGTCTTACTCTGCTTAGCCCCATAGCAAAGAACTAGGAATAATGGGTAGAAGCTATAGAGAATCAGATTTAGGTTTAATGTAATGAAAAAGTTTCTAATAATTAGAATTACCCAACATTGCACTGGCTGTCTTGAGAGGTAGGGTTCCTGTCCATTAGAAGTTTTCAAGGAAAGGCTAGATGACATAGAGGATTTTTGTTCAAGTATGAACGGGTTGGTTGGACAAGATGGCCTTCATGGTCCCTTTCAACTCTGTGATTCCATGATATTTAGTTATATTTTAAATTATCAGATAGCAAAGATATCACTCACCAATATATTTAAAACATTATGGTCTCTACATGTTTCTTGAGGATAGGAACACCACAGTTTAAAAATTAAAACTTTGTTGTCGTTTAGTCATTTTAGTTGTATCCAACTCTCCGTGACCCCATTTGGGATTTTCTTGGCAAAGATATTCAGTATCTTTGCCAAGAAATGATTTGCCATTTCCTTCTCTAGCTCATTTTACAGATGAGGAAACTGAGGCAAATCAGAGTTAAATGATTTGCCCAAGGTTACACAGCTAGTAGGTGTCTGAGGCTGGATTTGAACTCAGGTCTTCCTGACTCCAGGCTGAGCACTCTATCCACTGGGTTGCCTAACTGCCCATAAAACTAAAGCAACTCTAACTTAAATTTATACAGGTAGCACAATGTAAAGAATGCTGTCTCTGGAATCATATAGGTCAAATTCTGCCTTTAATTTTTTCACTTGTGAAAACTTGGGCAAGTTACTTCCTCCTTGGGCCCAAATTACCTCATCTACAGAACAAGGAGGTTGGTTAGCTGGTCTCTGAGTTCTCTTCCAACTCTAGACCTATGATACTAAGTTGTAAATGTAAGTATTATCTTGAAAACATTTTCATCTTAGAAATAAACAAAATGTTCCCAATGTTACATTACAGAAACTTAAAGTATTATGTCTAGACATTATACTAAGGGAAAATAGTAGCCAATATATATTATAGGCAAATAATGTCAAGGCAGCATGGTATAGTGGATAGCTCAGCTACTTACTATGACTTCAGACTAGAGCAACTTTTCTGGGCCTCAGTTTCCTAATCTGCCAAATGAGAGAGGCATACTCTATGACTTCTAAGGTCCTTTCCGGCTTTAGAGCTGTAATTCTACAAAGGACGAAAATTTACCTTATTTACTGATTCCTCATAGAGAGCCAAAAATGTTAGGGACCTTAGAAATGATCTAATCTAACCCTCTTATTTTACAGATGAGGAAAATAATTCCAGGTAATATCAATGATTTGCCTTAGATCCCATAGCTGTCATCAATCACTAAAGAATGCTAGTTATTCAAATGTTAAAGATCTCTCATTTATCTATACCTGTACTAAAGAAGAAAATAAGCCAATAATTCATTAAGTTTTTGTTTATTCCTCTAATGACAAGGGTGATCATTGGTTAATTTAAATAATGCCTTATGGCTTCATTATGAGTGTAATAGTATAAAAATGAAATGCTAAACTTGGATTTCTAAAGTCAACTGTAAGACTTGTAAAATTCAAATATATGGAAAAACTTATAAATTTATATTCCATTAATTCAGAATTGGTGATAATGTTTGTAGGTAATCAAGCTGAAGTTTATTTGAAAAAAAAAAGGGTTTGCTAATCAACTTTTGTAAACACAACTACAGAGTGGATGTTTAAGCTACTGTTATGAAACTATTATGAAAGCTGTTAGTAAGTACCTTCAAGTAGCCACTTGCTTACAAACAACTGGTATGCTAATTACAAAGAATATAATTTTTCCATCAAAGTAGGTTTCCTGCAGACATCTACTATGGAACACTTAGATTCAAAGAATATTAGAGAAATAAGTAACCTTGCAAATAATCTGGCCTATCTCCTTGATTTTAAAGATGAAGAAAGTAACAAAACTGAATTTCTTTTCCAAGTGTTTACTAATTCAAACTAGCTTTTCCCTAGCTTTTCTGAGGTTGGCAGGTGACACAGTGGATAGAATGATAGACCTGGAATCAGGAACACATAAGTTTAAATTTGGTCTCATACATTTACTAGCTGGATTATCCTGGGCAAGTCACTTAACTTCTGTCTGCCTTAATGTCCTCAACTGTAAAATGGGGATAATAATAACACCTACCTCACAAGGCTATTGCGAAGATAAAATGAGGTAATATTTGTAAAGCACTTAGCAGTGCCTAGCACATAGTAATAAATAATAATAAATTAATAAATAAATGTTTTATAAATACTTGTTCCCTTCTCCTCTTCCTGATTTGTTTGAAATAGTAAAGTTTTAATTGTACTTTCAAAACTTATATGGCTAATGGCCTTCACGAAGATAGAATTCATTACTCAAAACAAATAATCAGCTTTGACAATTGAAGTCATTTTACTGTAAAGCTTAATTCGTGATTTACTAGTTACTCTTTCCTGCTATGGATACTACTCAATGGTTAAACCATAGTCACGATACACATGAAACCAAATTTGATTCATTATCTTTGACAATGAAGGATAATAGTAGTAGCAAGGACAAAGAAATTGATAGATGATCTTGACCATCTTTTGAGCCATTTTTCTCCCACCTTCTTTAAGTGAGATGCTAATAATTAATGAAATTCCAAAAAACAGAGATAGCAAAAGAAAGGAGAAATGGTATATATGGAAAATCTACCACATGGGTAATCAGCCTCAGAGTAATTGAGAGTGGGTTGAAAAAACAGCTTTTTATGGGAAAACACAATCTGCATTATAATGTGATTTATATTCAATGTGGGTGTGAATTACTTAAAATTTTTTTCAAAGATAATTTAATACCAATGTTAAAAAAAATACAGCTTAAAAAGGGAGTCAATCATATTAAACATATTCTACTATTGAACAAAAAGGAATTATACACACACTGATAGGACTAATGCATGACCAGAATTTCCAGACAAGAAACTGAAAATATTCTCTCACATAGTTTAGAATGAGATTTAAAAACAAACGAACAAAAAATGCCATGTTCCTATCCAGCATTAGCAAAATGGAACTTATGGGAGTTAGCAACCTCCCACAACTAAGAAACATGGTTGTATGGGAACTGGTACACACAAATGAGAAAAAAACGATTGTTGAGCTATGGTATTCACTACCAAGGGGTTAAGAAAGGCACTCTAAAATAAGCCATACTTGGCGTATGAATCACTACTTGACCAACTCTAACCCTCCTAAGCTTATTGTACCCCTTACAATAGACCTTAAGTACTCAGTTGGAAATATTTTACCTACCTTGCACTCTTCATCCAACAAATCCAGAATGCCCAGTTTTGCTTCAATAAGGTTAATACAAGGTTGATTGTCATAAAAATCTATGAGTGTCCATGGAATCTGCTCCTTCATGTACTCTTCTTGTTCTAGTTTAAAGACGTGCTATGGGGGGGGGAAGTCATCTTTGTAACCATCAGCATCAAAATACATGGATTAAGTCTATTAACCACATTTATTGAGGATCTGTGTTATTAAGAACATTATAAAACTCCTGCTGGTTTCCAGATACTGCAATCTACTCAGGGAAATAGAATGAGGACATCTGAAACCATATAAGAAAACTTACCAAACATTTGCTACTCATCACCTCAGAATATGAGTAATTTTGAATGTGGTTGGTCTAGATAGCAGAGGGTTTAAATGCTAACTTTTTTTTCCCCCAGAAATCTTTCTAAAATACATTTTCCTGACTTCTTAAATTGTTGTACTATGCAATGAATGTGTCTGTAGATGTAGATATAGATGATGTAGGGGCATAGAGATGAAAGGTTTACCTTCATTTTAGTACTATTTACTACATGAATTCCATGCCAATGGAAAGCAAATTCCTACTGCCCTCTATTCCAATGCAAAAGCTGAGTGCTGTGTGTTAGCAGCACACTTATGAATTATGGTTACCACTGTCTCTGAATACAATGGTATCTGTCTTTTTTCATTTTGTTAATGATAAGTAGTCTCCATTTAAGACAACAGAAGCATTTGACTGGGACCATAATTATTCAGCTTTCCTCTCAAAGTTTTTATGTCAAAGTGAAACTGAATCTCTGGGCCCCAGAAACACTGCCAAGTTGTCAAAGTGTTTGAAGGTAAATGTGGATATAGAATACAATGTCTCAAGTTATTCTAGATTTATAAAATAGTGCCTAAAACCCCTCAAGCTCAAATCAGTAAGCCCAACATAGTTATCCAAACCCCAAAATTTATTGGATGAAAACTGAGAGATATGATACTAAGAATTAAGTAACTATATAAACATCATGATAAATTATATATAGCTCAATTGAGCTGGTGAATGACAAGTTGTTGTTGTTGTTGTTTTAACAGATTTTAGTTCTTGACACTGACATAGGGGAAAACTGCTATTTGGATTCTTGTGGGAGTTTGACAGGATTTATATTTTCATTCACGCTATATTATGTTTTTGACCTTAAAGGCAATGCTATCTTATTTTCACATTTGCGCTAAGGAGTTTGATTTACTATATAACTGAATCCTTTTTTCCTATGTAAATATCCTCTTTAATTCAAGCATCTCCAAACACCATAATAATTCAGTGGGATATTTTATATACCTGCTATATAGGAGGGTAAAAAACAAGGCTAAAGAAACTTTTCCATTGACTCACTGAGCAACCATTATTCAAGAAAACGAGTTCTTTCAGGGAGGGGGTGTGCTTCACACCATAAAATCGTGAGTCTAACATGGGGAGATTTAATTTCTAATTCTAATCATGTAACACTGCAAATAAGAGTTAAGGTGCAATCTTAGCATTACATAAAATCACCTCAAACACACAACAAAAGGCAGTGTCTGTATTCTCCAAACCACTTCCTATCATGCTACTCTAAGAACTTCATTTAGGGGCACAAGATTCTCAGTGTAGCTCCACTGAGCATTCTAGGGGCAGCGTACATTAGGAGTCTACACAGACCATGGCATACTCTAGATATTATATTAATTATTAATCATCATTTCCTAAACTATTCTAAACATGAGAAAATAAGTATAATTTGGGAATTCATTTCAGGAATCAGATTTCAAATACAACTCAGATTTTTCAAAGGAATCACTTTTTAGCAGAGGGGAATGTAATAAAGAAAATTCTTACCATGTTGAATTGTTGCTGTAGTTTCTCATTGGCATAGTTGATGCAAAATTGTTCAAAGCTATTTATCTCAAATGTTTCAAACCTGTAAAACCAAAGATAATTGGCTGTTTAAATAGACAAACACATACAAAACTCTGCACAACAGAAACATTAAGGAAAGCCCTAAATTATCTGAAATTCTCTCTCCAAAGTAATGAAGTTTGACTACTTTCTTGGAAGAGGGTTCCAAGTCAATGACATTGACCATGAACCTGAATGTCCACCAGACTCCAGAAAGATAACAGAAAAGCATAAACATATTGTACTATCAGGACAATAAGCTTTGGAAATCTCACCCCAAAGTGGAAGATATTTAAAGTCATCAATAAAGATATTATGGTACTATTGAAGTACTAATATAGCACTAATAAATGCACATAGTACAGTGTTTGGGGTCATTATAGTACTTCCTCAATGGTCGATTGAAATCACCATTATTCCAATGAGAATACCAAGAGAGCTTGGTACAAATGGCACAGGAACAAAAAATTAAGCAGAGTTTTGTGTGTGTTTGTCTATTTTGTCTATTTTTTAAAAAGCATAGTTCATAAATGAAAAGTATTACACTGAACACAAATATACAATAAGGAATTTAACAGTAAAAAGTAGAATATATTGAAGGGAAGAGTTAGGGTCAGATTAGATTTATAATTCAATTCAATTCAATATAATACACATTTATTAAGTGCCTACTATGTTCAACGCACTATGCTGGGTGCTGAAGACACCAAAGATGAAACTAAAACATAGAGATAGCCCTCAAAGAGTTTTTAATACAGTAGGTAAAGAAGATATATACACAAACAAATATAATACAAGTCAGATTCTAATGGGAACATAAGAGAAGTCTAAAGAAGGAAGCATGTTAGATTTGAGGAAGAAAGGATAACTTCCAGCTCTAGGAAGCAAAAACAAAAAAAGCAAAAAAACTTCATATAGGAGGTATGGGACAACTCTGAGACTTTTCTGATTTCTTCACCATGCTACCCACATTAAGTACCTTCCTTTTTAGACATTTGTATGTTGTCTTCTCCCACTGGAATGTGAACTCCTTGAGGGTAGGGATTTCTTTTCTTTTTTTGTCTTTGTATTCCCAGTGGTTAGCACAGTGCCAGACACATAGTGGGTGCTTAATAAATGTGTACTGACTATTTGAGCATTTGATTTGGGCCTGGCAGAAAGAAGATAGTTTCAACACAACAAAGATATCAGGTGAATCCATTCCAGGTGTGGTGGATACCATGTTTAAAGGTATAGAGATGGAAAAGTTTAATGATAATTTATCACAAGAGAGAGTCAAAGCAAAAATGTTTTACTAGACTGAGTAAGCTAGAGTTGGATCCCAGTTTAATTTTTACATAATGTAAGATAATTACATTACTACCATGACGAAATTCTTTAATCCAAACGGGCAAAAGTTAGAGTATCGAATAACACCTTGAAGTTATTTGGTTATTTCTCTTTAGAAGTAAATTTTCCACCACTCAAATGAATTAATCTGTTATAAGTTTTATGGAACACCACTAAAAATTAACATAATACACTTACCCATAAATATCCAGCACTCCAATAAAAGAGTGCTGCTTTACAGCAGAATGAAGAGCTTGATTGACATGATCTACAATCCAGTTAAAGAGTTTAGCATAGATATGTTTGGCCAAGGCATCCCGAGCATTAGTGGCCTGAAATTTGGGAATTGGTTTGATATAGGTCTCAGTTGCAGTAGCCAGCTTCCTATGGCAAAGCCAATGACACATTTCTTCATATTCAACTCCCATAAGATCACAGAAAATGATAAGAGGCTCATGTTTTGGCTGCCAAAATAAAATGGCTCATTTAGATAAGTCATATAACAAGAATTTTCCAGAACATATTTGTGAAGGTAGAAAGTACAAAACAGGATATTCTCTGACATAAAAAAAAGAATTTGCCAAGGTCATCAGATGATGACTACTATAGTAGCAATGCTAATAACACAAATTAATGTATAAAAACTATTAATAATTATTATTTATTTTCTATAGATAAATCGAATTTGTATAGTGCTTCATGTTTTCCCAAAGCATTTTACACAAATTCTCATTTAATTCTTTCAAATTAGTTTATTTTTATTCTGAATTTAAACACTAAATAAGATTAACATTTCCATATATATAACAGAACAAAAAAAAGATTACACAGTCTAATTTGATTCTTCATCAAGTTCATAAAAACAACATTACTATCCCTACTTCATAAATGAGGAAACTAAGGCAGAGAGAACTGGTCAATGACCAAGATCAAGGTCATACAGCTGATTAACAACAGAGCTAGGGCTACAATCTAGGTCTCCTGCTTTTATCACAGCACTATACTTCTCCATTTTTCCTTCTTTTTGTCTAGCTACCAATTCATTGTAAATACAAATATATTAAGCATTTGTTAGCAAACAGCATTATTGAAATCATGGCACTATTCCCTAAAATAAGCATCTTAAATGTACATACATGAATACTACGTCATTTGAAAGTAGGTCAGTACATTCTATACTTATTTTCTTGCATGGAGTCATCACTTCCTGAGCTAAACTTCCCTGCTTTGCTATGTAGAAACTACTTATTTTAAACAGCACAGGAACATTTGCCTATATTAAGTAAAAGCACATTTGAGACCTAACAACCAATATTATCATAAAACAAGGAATAGAAACTATTCCATCCCAAATGGATTAAAATTAAAGTTCAAATATTCTAGTCATATATCAATATCAGATGAACTAAATCTCTAAGAAAATTTGCTAATATCAAGAATAATGAGGATAAATAAATGAAGGATACTCTCTGATAATATGTGTTCAATATTTTTTCTATTATAACCATAGAAGAAAAAAAGGAAGAGAGGAAGGAAGCAGAAATCTCATTTTAAGAAAACTTTAAGATAAAACATCTAATGATGGTGACAATACTGATCAGCAATAACTCACATGATTTTTCTATGATTTAGTTAGTGAAGTGAAATGGATAATGAAGTCAATTTAGAACTGGCAGGCATTGACACAATTTGGACAGAGGTTTTTATAAGTGAAGGCTAAATTAGCTTTTGAGTCCTGATTCTATGTTTTTGTCATCTATTTTCATTATGGCAATGTATATTTATAGTGCCAGCAGGGTTAAATTATTCAACTAAATGCTGGATCAGCATCATCAAAATCACAGCAACCCCAAACATAGAAGACTAAAATTCCCAAAAGAACTTATAATAGATCAGAAAAATCCATCAACAAAGCAAGCAAAACATGAAAACACTGATGTGATAAGAACTAGAAACTCTGATAAGGGTACCCAAGCTACCCAAGTTATCTTGCTCCATATTTAAGGAATTTGAGCCACAGAGTTGGTTGATTTGTTCCTTTTTTTTGGCGGGGGGAGGGGGAGAATTTGTAAACAGGAGGCTAGAAAACACTTTCATCATTAGAACAAAATGTAGTACAATCAAGCAAAACAGGTCATCAACCTCTGTCAGACAAGTTAAACTGGTGCATGTGTGTATATATCTATATAACTTAGATTTAGACAATACTTACAAACTAAATTGGTAACCACTTTGTTTTAAGGCATAAATACTTTAGCTTGATTATACACATTCTTAGAATGACTGGAACATGGCAGGATTATATTTCTTAAATATCAACTTGTCTCATTCATTCATCTCCTACAAAGGCTATGAAGCTTCTACATAGCTTCTGTAGCAGTTCTAATCACTGCCAAATCAACAAAGTTCTGGCTAAAAAAGAAAGATGGAAATTCAAAGGAGTAGAGAGGGATGAGGATGAGAATGAGTCCTGGGAAATGCTTTAAATCAACTGCATAACTAGTCTACTCTCAGAACAATCTTTTCTCCATATCTTAAGGTTAAGGGAAGTACACTGATGCTTTAAAAAAAAAGACTTACAGTGATGTCATGTGTTTTTTAAACTTGTATTAATAGTCTTGATTTTTAAAATTACAAAGATTTGGGAAAATTCAATGTGAAGGCAAAGTTAGTCATATGGGTATCAATGAGTTCACCTGAAAAAAAAAATGTGGTCTATAAGATTTCTTTAGAAGAAATCAAGGCCTAAATCAGATGAAAACTCATGCAGTCTCAACCCCACCATCTTTCGCAAAATTATCCAATGAGGTCAGGAAATATAAGCATGGGCACAAAGAGAATTCAGTGACTAGAACTGTGTTAGACTAAAGACCATAAAGAAGGGGTAATAGGGAAATAGATTTAGAGCTGGAAGAGATCAGAGAGATCATTTAATATTCATTGTTTTACAGATTAAGAAACTGAGACCCAGAGGTTAGTGGCTTACCTAAGGTCGCTACAAATATAATGATCATAGAATGAAAGAAAAAATATTCCTTCCATGTGGGTCAAACCTTTCTCCACAAAACAAACTGGCCAACATAATTTTACTATCTAAATGATTTATGAGATTTCCTCCTCAAATACCAAAGTAACTTCACGTGTCATATTTCTTTATCTTCTTGAAAAGTTCAGAAAAGAATAAAAATTTGCATTCTTATTGATCAAGAGCAAGCTAAATGAAAAACACCTTAAAGATTCATTTCATGTTTGCCACTGTTTGTTGTGACAGAAGAAAAAAAAGTGTTACACTCACAAACTTTTAAAAATTAGGATCAGAGAACAAATTTCTATTCAGACTACAAAATAAATTTTTAAAAAAATCTTAGTTCTATGATCAATTAAAGGATTGAGACAGAGAGGAATAAGGTAAATGAGGAAGAGCTATACTGCCTAGCCTAAGCAGAACTGCTCTGTGTTTCACTCATTTTGTGATCTACAGGAGTTCTGCATTCCTTGAGCTTAGGCAAAGTAATTATGGGATTTAGTGTTCATGGCTACTGGTGGGCTACCTTTTTTTGATGATAATGAAAAAGGTAGAGAGAATGACAAAGAGAAAGAACAAGGGCAAGAAAGCCCCAAAATGTCACAACCTATTATTCTCTAGTGCAGCAGAAAGAGCAATGGATTTAGAGTCAGAAGACCTGGGTTCAAATTTTGGCTGTGACACTTCCTAGATGTCCCACGGCATGTCACTTATTCTCTCATGTTTTCAGTTTTCCTTTTCCATAAAATGAGGAGGTTGAACTAGACAATATCTAAGGACTCTTCAAACTCTAAATCTTTGATCCTATAATACTAAAGGAAGACAGAAACACGGAGAGTCAGAGGTAGACAGATATCTACAAAGAAAAAAGAGATTAAAGCAAGACACCCAAAGAAAAGGTCTCATAACACGCATAATTTCAGAGAGACATACACAGAGAGACCCATAAAGACACAGAAGAATAAAAGGTTAAAACACACACACACACACACACACACACACACACGGAGAAACTTTCAGGAGGAAAACCTCTAACCTCTCTATATATCAGATCTTTCATCTTCTATAATAATAATAATAATAATAATAATGATTAACATTTATATAGTGCTTACTATGTACCAGGCACCATGCTAAGCACTTTACAAACTAAAGGACAACACTAGACCATGGGTTCTTAACCTGAGGCCCATTGAACTTGCTTTTTAAAAAAATATTTTGATTACTGCTCTTCAACATAATTGGATTCCTTTATCCCAGATCTTTTATTTCATGAATTAAAAAATATCATTCTAAAAAGAGGTTTAAAAAGAGGTCTATAGGCTTTCCCAGAATGTCCACAGGGTCTATGACACAAAAAAAGTTAAGAACCCCTGTGTGAGATCATCTCTGAGATTTTATGGTCTTTTGTGGGCATTCTACAAAGAAGGTCACTAGTAACTTTAAAGTCGATATTGTATTTTCAAAACTGTAGGCATAAATTGAGATACTAATTCTTGCTAACGATACTTAGACCAAATGGTACTCTGCCCCATCAACCAAAAGAGATTAAGTTAAAGGACAATCCGCTTGTAGACTGAAGGTTTTCCACTATCATTCTAAAGATTAAAAGGCTTTCAGGAGGTCACAAAACAAGAGCACTAGAACTGGAACTCAAGTCTCTTTATTTCTAGGTCAGTACTCAAGGCATTGTATGAAACTGTTTCTCTAATATGTTCTTAAAGAGATGTTAAGTATGTGTGTTTTCATTTAAAAAACCAAACCAAACAAAAAGCATTATTAATCCTAAAACACAACCACAATCATTTTTAAAATGTTTTAGACTTACAGGTATTGAGCAGCTCTCTGAGTCCCGGGAAGTAAACCCAACATTGCCAAGGTGAAGGATGCCAGCAAGTATTCGGAAAATTCCCATCTGATAGGACTCATTAATTCCTCAAATAATATTAGAACAGTATAATAAATAAGTAGCAAATTTCACAAAAGGGACTTTTAGGTACACAGCCAAATCCCGATTATCAATAGATTATATACATGGAAACATGGTAAATCAGACTTTCAACTCTGTTAACATTATTATAACATGCATAATTTCGGAGAGACATACACAGAGACCTATAAAAGGAGAAACTTTCAGGAACAACACCCCTAACCTCTCTACATATTAGACCTTTCATCTTCTATAATTATAATAATAATAATATAATTCAATATATAATTGTGTATACATTATATATAATATATAATTAATTATAATAATAATAACATATTGAGCACAAGCCCTTTGCAGACATTAGCAATGTCTCTGTTTATTCTTACTCAGACTATAGCCTGAAACCCAACAGGAGTCAATTTTTTTTTTCCTATAAGCCCTAAGGATGGTATAAATCATACAGAGTACAAGATTAGAAAATGAAGGAAGTTTTGGTCAAGTTAAAGTTGTATATCAGTCCAACAGATGACATTGTCCATTCCTAACATGAGGGAGAACAGAAAGGAGCTACGGAAGGAGCCAAGCTGAAGACAGCTTTTCAACTTTTTCTCATTCTGGTGGCTTCATTATCTTGTATAAGGTATCATGACTTACCAGAACATTAGGCATAACTATATTTGAATGAAAATATCAAAATGCATTCTAGCTAAACATAAAGTATTTTTAATTATATAATCCATGTCTCCAGCAGAATCCTCCCTTAATGTGATTAAGAGTTAAATCTAATGTAAGTATCTCTATCTCTTAGATGTTATGAGTTTTTCCATTTTTTTTGTTCTTACCCAGTCTTACATTAAATATTTCAAATTCACAATCTATTAATTTGCAATGAAATTCCTCTCAAAGAGTATACTCACTTAGAAAGTAAATTAAGCTGGGATTACTTTTCAAGGTACTATAATATTTATTATAAGTTACTAATATTCTGATGCACTAAAATAGTTCATCTCTAAAAGCTATGCATTTTTAAAGTAGAGAACTACATTATTAACCTTTAAACCTAATACTGTTTGCAAACAATAAAGTTAAATATCATGTCTGCAATTTCAGTAAGACTTGGGGAAAAGACTGTCAATATAGCAGCTATGTCATATTTGTTCCTCAAAACATCAGAAATTAAATCTGAAACTGTTCATTTGATTTAGGTTCTGCACTTAGTTGAATTTTTACAAATCCTGAAGTAGCTGCAGCGAGGCAAAGAAAAAAAGTTGTTTTTCTAAGGAACTATGACTATCAATGGTACTCACCAGGCAATATAAACCAAGTTAACATTCTAGATGAGAGCTACATGAGTCATGTTATGCATATGTAAATTGTGGATCATAGAGTCTCAACACCAAAGTAAAATTACCTAGCAAAGTACAGGCCTGCCTTGTATGCATCATTTCCTTATCATCATCAACTCCATCAATTACAGGGCTGCCTCCCTGCTTTGTATAGTGAAAGTAGTCAGCATTTCCTGAAATTGAAGAAAAAAAGAATTTTTCATTTTATAAGTGCTAAGAAAAATGTTTCTTGAATGACTGCATTCCCAAAATTCTTTATCTGCAATCCCCTTCCAAAACCAAGTGAGTGTTAGGAAGAAAAACTTCTGTCAAAAGCAGCTCCTTTATGCCAGCAATGGAATTAATTGCTAGCTCCTCTTCCTGACTTCTTTATTCTCCAGGGCTCTAAACTTTCTAATCACGTTTGACTACTCCTCTCTCTTCTTGAGCCCCCAAACCAATCACTTAAGACTTTACTGTTGCTAAGTATGATCTTCTCCTCATGGAAATCCTAAAAAACTATAGTGTGGAAGACTCTGGCAGTACCAATCAGCTTTGAGAGACATCAGGTAAGGCTTCAAAAACAATCAGTAGATCCCAGTGTACTAGATAGGGACTTCTGGCCTACAGGATCAAGTATAGTCCCAGGCCTTCTACAATCTGGTGCTAACATACTTATCTTCCAGGCTTATCTCCTACTTACCTGGCAAACCAGATTACTCCTATTTTGTGTTTTTTGGGGGCTTCAGTGTTTTTGCTCATACCTTTCCCAGCCACCTCTTCTCTACTAGTTCAAATCCTATTTGTCCTTCAAGGTTCAGCTCTGATCTCACCTATTCCAGAGTCTACCCTGAGATTGGCCCAAGAGTAAAGTGACCTCATTCTCATAAATCACCTCTCTGTGCTATTAATGAAGTCTCCTCAAGCTAGAGATATCCTGATGAATCTGTCTAACTATTTTGTCACTCCCTAGCCCTTTGTTCAGTCCTTAGCATGAGAACCAGAAAGTTTCTCAATTATGGAATCGATTTCTGTCCTACTCACCATTAACCATAATAGGCTCCAAGTGAAATATAAATACAAGTAAAGTAACATCAATGTTGTGTTTTAAACAAAAGTAAAAATCTAATCAATGCACTGTACAATTCTAACTAACCATTGTGACATATAAAAAGTTCAAGAAACATAGTTTCTGAGTAATTAATCATTTTATTAATTATGCTAACAGATAATTAATAAAAGGGGTCAGCGGCACTCTCAAATGCCAAAGACTCCTCATGGAACCCAATCAATGTTTATATGCCCTTAGAAGAGTGGGTGTTCCTGAGGGTGGCAATCAACTTTGATTGATTAACAATGAGAAAAATGATTATCATAATGATCAGTGGACCTATTCTAATAAGGGGCTAGGGGACATGACTCTGATCACTCACTCCCAGATCACCCCCAGCCTCAAGGCAATCTAGACCAGAGTTTCTTAAACTTTTTCCTCTCAAGACCCTTTTTTCTGTTTTGGCAGCACACTACATATACTTTGTGTTCAGAACCAAGGCTGCAGTGAAGTTATGTGATGTGATACGGGCAAGTGCTACCAGAAACACCTTGGATTCATTATACCTTTGATTTTTAATTAATTTTGGGGGCATGTACCTCAAGGATTTGGGATCAACAATGTCCTTCAAAGATTGAACAGCCTACAGGTTTCCGAAAAAATCCGGTCCTAATTCAACAATTGATTATTAGCATAAGAGAGATAACCATGTAATCTTACCATGTAATCTCCACTGGAATTTGACTACAGATTGTTTTCCAGATCAAATATATAGTCCTCTGGCTTATAAAGCTCTCCCTATCCTTGCTTCTTCCCCCACCCATTCCCAGTCTTCTCACCCCTCATTTCCCCTCCCATATACTCTGCAACCCAGCAACACTAGCTGTCTTACTGTTCCTCACATAATATACTCAGTCTCCTAATTCAGAGTATTGTCACTAGCTGTCTTCTGTGCCTGGAACTCTCCCTCTTCATCTCCTAGTTTCCCTAGCTTCCATCAAGTCTCAGCTAAAGTCCCACCTGCTGAAAGAAATCTTTCCTGCTCCCCCTTAATTTTAGTGTCTTCCCTCCATCCAATTTATCCTTTAAATATCTTGTTTGCACATATTTGTTTGCATGTTGTATTCCTCATCAAAATGTAAGTAAGCTCTTTGAGAAAGGGTCTGACTCTTTTTCCTTTCTTTGTGGTACTTAGAACAGCACCTGACACATCACAGATGCTCAATAAGTGGTAACTGATTGACTATCCCTCTATCTGGTTTGTTTTTAAGCCCACAATTTAAATACTGGAAAAAATACTAATGAATTATCTAGTACAATTTCCTAAATTATTTTAATAATGTTAAAGAGTTACCCTAAATTCTATCTGACAGTCCTCTAGATTCTCTCCCTTAACATTGCCCCCTACCACATATAAACAGCCTACCTTATGATACTTTCCTTAGCTCAGGCTACTCTATGCTCTACCTGAAGGATGTCAAGATATGACTTATAGAACTCACTAGTCCTAGGCAGAAGTATAGATAAAATGGGTTAGTCCCCTAAGAGTCAGTGAAACACAGAATGAATTGGAATCACAGAACTTCAGAGTCAGAAGTGACCTCAGACAGAAGTCATCTAGCACAATGAATACCTGAATAAGAATTCCCATTACAACATGCTGACAAGTGGTCATCCAGCCTTCCTTTCTCTGAAGACATTTCTCTTCCTTCTTTCTGAGAAGGAACTCACTACCACTACCTCTCAACGAAGCCCATTTTTCTGAAATAGTTCTTAAGGTTAGGAACTTTTCCCCCCCTTACATCAAGCTTTAAATATTCCTCATTGCAACTACCCATTATCCCTACATCTGACCTCTGAGACCACGCAGAATAAATCTAATCTTTCTTTCCCATCATAGCCCTTCAACAGTATTGGGCATGATGCATCTCTTAATGCAACCTAAGATTCTATTGGTTTTCTTGGGTTCTATATCACACTGTTAACTCATATTGGGTTTGCAGTCCACTAAAACTCCCAAATCATTTTCAGAAAAACTATCTAATCATATCTCTCTCTCATGTCCACATTTTATACCTGTGAAGTGGACTTTTTGAACCCAAATGTAGGGTTTTACATTTATCCCAATTTAACTTAATAGATTTATCCCAATACTAACCTACTAGGATCATTTGGATCCTGTCTTTTATCCAGTGTGTTAACTCACTCTTCCCAGTTTTGTGTCACCTGAAAATTTTATAAGCATATCATGCATGCCTCTATATAAGTCACTGATAATAAAGTTAGCCAGCACAGGGCCAACTCCAGATCCTTGAGGAATTTCACTGCAGATTTTTCAAGGTGACATCTAATCATTAATGACTATTCTTTAGGTCTAACCAACTCATGAATCCACCTAACTTTACTATTGTCTAGTCTCTAGACACACCTTTCCATGAGAACAACATGAGAAATTTACCAAATACATTGTTTAAATCTAGGTAAATTATATCTATAACACTCCCCTGTCAAAAAAAAAAAAAGGAGATAAGGTCTGTTTACCATGACATGTTCTGGGTTTTTTTTTTTTTTGTGCCCTTTACCTTTTTTTTTTTAACATTCACTTTAAAACATTTTGAGTTCCAGATTCTCTCCCTTCTGCCCCTCCCCCACTCATTGAGAAGGCACACAATATATCAGTTGTACGTGTGAAGCCATGCAAAACACATTTCCACAACAGCCATGTTGCAAAAACAAAACAAAACCCCCAAAAAGCAAGAAATATAAAGAAAGTAAAAAAAAGTATACTTCCATCTGCACTCAGAGTTCATCAGTTCTCTCTCTGGAAGTGTAAAGCATTTTTCATCATGGGTTCTTTGGAATTGTCTTGGATAGTTCTCTTGATAAGAGTAGCTAAACATGCCATGTCATGCTGGCTCTTCATGATCATTGCTTCCTTTTCTAAATTTTGTTAAACATCTTTTTAATATTCTAGGAATCTGCCAGGAATCCAGGTTAAATTTATTAGCTTATAGTTGCCAGGCTCTGTTCTCTTCCATTTTCTGAAAACTGGGACAACCTTGGACAATATGTCTAGTATGTGGCAAAAATGGAACTAGGATCGAGTTCTTCTGATTCCTAGTTCAGTGCTGCCTAGGGGACTCCCAGTTTGTTGTTGAGTATAGTGAGCAATCTCAACCCCATGCTGAAGGTCAGGAATTACTCTGTGCATCTTGGGAAGCCATCACTATTCTAGAACATCACTGCAGATTTCTAATATTTAATGAAAGGCACTGAGTTTTAAGTAGTTCCCAGCATTGTGCTGGACTATTTAAATGTTTAAGACAATCAGTTTAAAAACTTGGTTTTTTTTTAGCCTACCAAACATTTATTTGTTAATTTACTTGATATAGCTTTTTACTAATAAAGGAACATTAACTAATTGGTAGAGTGTTTAAGAACTTTTTCTTTCTTTTTAAAAGAAAACCTCACCACTCGGGAAGATGGCTCTAATATAAAAGTCATTTCTGCAGCAACCAATGGTGGCTATATGCTGTTTTTAGTTTTTAAAATGTTACTATATGCTTTAGGTAAATATCTCAATCCTTATATAGATTCTAGAGGAATATTCATGGGCTCTAGTTCATCCCTAAGCCTGGATAATTCTTGTTCCCTGATATCTCTTAGATCTGCCCTTTCTTTCCATTCCCACAGCCACTACACTAGTATGTTACTTTCTTATCACCTCCTACCTGGATTTTCACAATAGTTTCCTGGTTAATTTCCCTGCCTCTATTCACTCTTCACTTTAATCTGTCTCATAATTAAGTGCTAGGATAATTTTCTTCAAGTACTGCTTCAAAAACGCATTTCTTCTACTTAAAAAAACTTTGCTTCCTCCCGGTAGCTATCATGTAAATAGCTTCCTGTTTAAGAAGTCAATTAATTAGCCCAGATATAAGTGGAAAATAATATCAGACTCCCAAATGTCATTTTCATACCTAATCGTAGCATTTTAAATTCAGGTAACTTTGCTGAGGCACACAGCTGGTAAAAGATATGATAGTTTCTCTCCTCTTCTGCCTTTGAAAAAAAGAAAAGATTTTTCAATTACAGTAATCAAACTCAGAAAACTGAATGATGAAATATTTTTTTAATTTCATGATCTGGTGAAATGAACATAGTCCATTCCTAACCTCTCAATTTCATTTACATCATAAAATTTCAATCTCTCCATTTTGAATATAAGTATCATTACCCTTCATGTACAAATACCATACTTTTGACTGTGATATTTTGTTTGTGCTAATTAGAAAAAAGCTTAATACATGATATGCAATTAAAAAAAAGCAATGACTATGTTTTAGCTTAAAGCCACAGCTCTCTATTCATTCAAGATCAATGTTTACTGGCATAGAATTCTATAAGTGACTAGGTACAAGAGGAGATACAAAATTTAGACAAGATATGATCCCTGCCCTCAGAGTTTATGGTAAGATAAGACACAAACATACAAGTAAAAATTACAAGATACAATATTGGAGAGTTATAAAATCCCATATGTGATTTGAGGTGGATGTCCATTAGCAAATGAGAGAAGGTCAGGGAACTTAGTATCAAAGAAGGCTTTATGGAGAAGCTGGCATTTAACCAAACTTAAAAGGATGGGTAGGAACTCAACAGGCAAAGACAGAGAAGGGAAGGCATTCAAGGCATAAGGAACAAAATTAGCAAAGACAAAGAGGCTATAAGATCACATGATACATTTAGGGGACTAACCAACTAAGTCAGCTTAGCTGAAGTGTTAGAGTGAATGGAGGATAATAATGAGATAATGCTGAAAAGGCAGAGTAGCACCAGGTGATAAAGGGCTTTGAATGCCAGGGAAAGAAGTCTGAACATCACCTAGGTTGCTTTAGGAAGATAATGAAGATGCTTGAGCAAAAGAATGACATGACTGTATTTGTGCATAAGATTCAATAAATCCACATACACATACTTATCAAATACCTACTATGTGCCAGGTACTGGGAATACAAAGACAAAAATGAAACTTAGTCCCTGCTCTCAAGGAGCGTACATTCTAATGGGGGACAACACAGCAAAAATTATTCTAGTAGTAGTAGGATAAAGGATGAATTGTAAGGGGGTCAATGTTATGGTTAAAACTTTTATTTCTAGTGTCTTTTCCTCTCTTATTCCAATTTATCTTTATATTGCTTGTTTGTGCATATTTGTTTGCTTGTTTTCTCCCCCATTAGACTGGGAGCTCCCTGAGGGCAGGGACTGTCTTTTGCCTCTCATTGTATCCCTAGAGCTTAGCACAGTGCTTGGCACATAATAGGAACTTAGTAAAGGAGCTTATTGACTGACTGACTGACTGGAAAGGGTATTACAATAGTACAAGTGATTGGTAATGAGGTCATAGACTAAGATGGGGAAAGGAGAAAATTACAAAGGATTTTGTGGAGGTAGAAATAACAGGATTGGTTTGAATTGGATACAATAGATTAGCGAGAAGGAAGAATCAAAGGGAACTCCAAGATTTCAAATACAGGAGAATGGGTGAATCGCTGTGTGGCAAATATCAATATTGAAACACAATGGAAACAGGTCTGGGGGGAAAATAATAAGTTTGATTTTGGACGTGATGAGCTTGAGGTCCTGGAGGGACATGAAGAATAAGATAACTTGAAGACAGCTGGAGATGTGGATCTCTAGATCCACAGAAAAAAGGTAGAAATTGGATATTTGGCTTTAGGGGTCATTTGCATAATCATGTTAATTGAATGAGATTACTGAGGCAAAAAATATAGAAAAAGAAAGAAGAGGGCAGAGATTAAACATATGAACATCCAAAGGACTGGGAAAAAGATAGAGCAGTAGTGAAACAGACAAAGAAATGGTGGTTGGAGAAACAAAAAAATAATAAGGATCATAGGATGTTTCTGAAATTAAAAAATGAAAGAATATTCAGTAGCATAGAGCGGTCAACTACATGAAAAGCAGGAGAGAAATCAAGGAGGCTGAGGACTGAAAAAGTCAGCTGCATTTGGGGTCACTGATTATTTTAGACGGAGTAGATTTAATAGAGTGGTGGGGACAAAAGCCAGATTGTAAGGAATTAAGAAGATAGAGGATAAAGAGGAAATGGAAGCTTTGCATATACACTTTTTTTCTAAGAGGTTTAGCAGTAAAGACGAGGAGAGAGATGGGATGGTAGGTTAGATAGGACAGAAGGATCAAAAGAAGTCTTTTTTTAAGGTTATACAAACATAAGTGTGTGTAGACAAATAGTAAGAGGCAAAGGACAAATCAAAGATACATGACAGAGATAGCATGAGTGCTAGAGAAAAGTCCTGGAGGAGATGGGAAGGAATGAGATCAAAGGTACACGAATTAGCCATAGGGATGAATAGGGATATCTCTTCTATTATCAAAGAGGAGACAATTAACAATAATATTCAGAAGTTTTAAATGAAAGAAGGTTAAGGAAATTTATGTTGGAAAGCTTTAATTTTTTCAGGTGAGTAAGGCTAGGACATCTGCTTTAAATGTGGGGGAAATGGAATGGAGGAGGAGAAAAAGTTGGCAAAATATGCTCTAGAACTGATTAAGAATGAAGTGAATTACGCTTAGGCCAAAATCTTATGCCATATGATAGAATAATACAAGGTCATACATCTAAATTGATACATGACCTTAAAGTTAAAAAGTCTACTGAAAAAAATGGAGGGAGGCAGATTATATACCCCTCACAACTATGGGTAGGACATGTATTCTTAACCAAACGAGAGAGAAATAATTATACAAGATAAAACAGATAAATGATTACAAGAAACTGTAAAGCTTCTGCACAGACAAAATTAATTCACATAGGATTAGAAGGAAAGCAGTCAAATGAGAAAATGACTTTATATCAAATATCTCTGATAATGTTTTGGTGTCCAAGATATTTAAACAATTAATAAATATGTATAAGACTAATTGCCATTCCCCAATAAGTTGTCAAAGGATATGAACAAATGGTTCTCAAAAGAAGAACTGCAAAGTATTCACAACCACATGAAAGAATGGTCCAAGGGGTTATGAAAAACTGAGACACTAATGCACTGTTGGTGGAATTGTGAACTGAGCCAACCACTCTGAAGAGCAATTTGAAACTATGCCCAAAAGGCTACAAAACTGCGCATACCCCTCGACCCAGCAATACCACTACTAGGTCTATAATTACAAAGAGAACAAAGAAAAATGAAAAGGATCTATGTGTACAAAAATATTTATAGCAGTTCTCTGTAGTGGCAAAGAATTGGAGATTAAGGGGATGCCCCTCAATTGGCAAATGGCTGAACAAGCTGTAGGATATGATTGTGATGGAATATCATTGTGCTATAAGAAAGGATGACTAGGATGTTTTCAGAAAAACCTAGAAAGACTTACATAAACTGATGCAAAGTGAATGGAGCAGAACCAGGAGAATATTGTACATAGTAATAGCAATACTGTGTTATGATCAACTGTGAATGACTTAGCTACTCTCAGAAATACAAAGATCCAAGACAATTCTGAAGGATTTATGATGAAAAACGTTACCAACTTCAGAGAAAGAACTGATGGAGTTTGAATGCAGATTGAAGTATACTTTTTTTTACTTTCTTTATTTTTCTTGGTTTCTTTTTGGTCTGTTTTCTTTCACAACATGGCTAATATGGAAATATGTTTTGCATGACTACACATGTATAATATATACAAAAAATTGCTTGCCTTTTCAAGCAGGAAGGAGGAGAAGAAAGGAGAGAATTTGAAACTCAAATACTTTTTTTAATGTTAAAAATTGCTTTTACATGTAATTAGAAAAAATATATAAAAATTTTACCCAAAAATGCTCCAAAGCAGTAATTATATACATGTGTACATATATGTTTTCATACATGTGTATATATGTACATGTATAGATGCATTCATGTGCATATATTTAGATATATGAGAAAAGTTAGTTGTATGACCTTGGGCAGGTACCTTAACCTTTCTTAGCTTCAGTTTATTCATCTGTAAAATGGGGATCTTAACAGCATCTAATTCATAGGTTCTTGGGAGGATCCAGTGAGATAATATTGTATAGTATACTCAAACATTAAAGTGTTATATAAATGTTATCTATTATTTTTATATAAACTCATAAACACATGCATATATATGTATACATATCTCTGTGTGCATGTGTGTGTGTGTGTGCATGCTTTCGGGGAGTTAAGGAGAGAAACTTTTGATTTCATTGATATAGGGAACTTCCACTGAGGAAACTCTCCTTACCAACATATGATAGCTCATCACCTGCTCTGTAACTTATGACCTTAGAGAGTGGCCTAGACAATTAGAAGTTAAATGACTTATTCAAAGTTATACAGCCTTTGTGTGTCAGAGATGGGACTTGAAAATTGGTTTTCCTGACTCCAAGGCAAACTCTACCCATTACAACACATAGCCTCTCATAATATGCTAATAGCACATAAAAATGAACTAATTTTCTGTTCCTATATATTGAACTAATATCAGCCATACAACCCATCTTACCTGGAACACCACTCTGGATTTCTCTAAAAGATAAGTTCTCATGTTGGCACCAATAATTCGATATCTCTTATCAAAACCAATCTCAATGTATTTCCCAAAACGGCTGCTGTTATCATTCCTCGTAGTTTTAGCATTTCCAATTGACTAGGAGGTAAAAGAGAACAAGAATTTAATGGCTTAAATATATCAAGAATTTTTAGCATTTATAAGAGGATTCTGGAAGACAACAGGACCCAGCTTTTGATAAAGGCACTTTCACCTTTAGAGGGGTATCATTTTTGTACCTCCAGATAATCACTGCCTATGGTTTCCCAATTTCACTACCATATAAGACTATATCTAACAAGCTACTTCTCAGAGAAAAACTTGTGGCTAACAATTGAGTAATTGTCAAAGAGCATTTAACCATAATGTCTATAAAAACCAGAAAGCTTTTCTACATAAAAGCAGGTTAAGAGAGGGCAAAACAGAAGTCACCAGAGCATCTTGGCTATTGGGTTTCAATCGTCTTGGCCCAAAAAGCAGGTTTCTCTCTGCTGTCTACGTTGAAGAACCTAATATAGGTTATCCAAATATTTTATTTTAAATAAAAGCATATTTTATTGGAATACAAGTTTTCTTGTAAACTATCATTACTAATCCCCAAGAGCTCACAGCCTCATGTAATTATTTGCAAATAATCACTCACTGTTAAATAAAGTTTATATAAAACTTGGCTTAGAAGTCTGTCTATCCAGCCTCAGACACTTGACACTTACTGTGTGACCCCGGGCAAGTCAATTAACTCCAATTGCCTCACCAAAAGAAAAAGGGGAAAAAAAGTCTGTCTATAAGTATGATAATTTATATCTACAATGAAAAGCATCATCTTATTTCTACTAGAAAGTTACAAAGACTATCATATCTTACAAATTACAATATAATTTTGTAAATTAAAGTTATACATATTTTGCTCCTTGGTCAAGAAAACATATCTATATTTTTTTCTTTTAAAACAAAGGAAAAAATAGTGAAGAAACAGTACAAAGTAATCTGGCCACAATATAAAATGTTTTTACTCAGGAAATTTCATGGATTAAAATCTACAAATTCAACAAAGTTTAGTGATCTACTTTTGTCACAATCCTCTGCACTGGAATAAGGTCTGCAAGCCCTTGAAACTTGCGTCTAACCTTGTGGGGAACATATGTGAACACAGGCTTTAGCATATGCCTGGTCTTTTTTTCCCCCTGGATGAAGGCACTTTCAGAATTTCAGAAGATGTAGGGCCAAGGAAAATAAATGGAAGTAAGGAGCTATAAATTGTGATTCTAGCTCTGACTACCTCCAGCAAGTCTGCTTCTAGTAATTCACAGCTTTTTGTGCTTCTGTTTCCTCATTTTAAAAATAGAGAATCTGAAAACAATGATTTGTAAGATCTCTTCAAGCTATAGGATTCCATGATTTTAAACCCCAAACCTGAACATTTTGATTAAAAGGAAATTGCAAATGTAAACATCACCTTTCAATCACTCGTTTTTAAAATTTTGACACCAGTCTTGTGAAGTAGTTATTTATTCTAACCAACAAGAAACTGCTAAAAGAAAAGAAATTTTAGGAGTTCAAGACTTTGATTAAATCTGCAACTGATTTTAGGGAGACTCTGAATGAGTCAATGTTCTATATGAATTCATCAGGAAACATTAAGAGCTTATTAAGTGCCAGGTACTGTGCTCAGGCTTGGGGATACAAAGAAAATGTATAAATAGTCCTCAACTCCATATGCCTACATTCTAAAGTAAATGAAGATAAACATCTCTACAATTAATCTCTCAGATTAAACAAGGCTGCTGAAATGATGGGGAAATAAAGTTCAAACACTACCATGATTTTCTACCACATCCATTTCTGAATGTAAAAAAATCAGGGGTTAAAGTTAGGGAAAGGAAAAAATAATGTGAGAAAACAAGGTCATCAGATATGTCTTTGTTCATTATTGTCTAAGTAAACAGTGTACAGTAAGAACCAAGGTCATAGTAAATTAAGTGCTGGGTTTGTAGTCAGGAAGACCTGAGTTCAAATCCTTCCTCAGATACTTAATAGTTGTGTGACCTGGCAAGTCATTTTGAGCCTCTTTCCTCATCAAAAAAATGAAGAGGTTCAATTAGGTGATCTCTAAGGTCCCTGCCAGCTTTCAATTTATGATCCCTATAATTACAAGCAACAGGATAAAATCCTGCAGAACCTTATCTGTTGAATATTTATTATCCCAACTAAAGGACTGAAATTCTGTGCCTGACACTATTCATATCATAGTTAGACAGACCTGGTACACAGACGTGAAGTTTTGAAGCACTGTCTAACCTTTCTCCCTGTAACCCTTTCTTCTGCATTCTTTGGCTGCATATTCCTTTTTCAGATTTCAAACGGAAAGGTCCCAGATCTGTTATTTAACAATAAAAATTATTTCTCTTCACCCTTATTCCTAATCCACGTTCCTTTTGCAGGTGTCAGCATCCAGTTAAATCCAGTTACCTAATCCCTCCACCTTTCCTTATTTTCCTCCTTCCTCCCTCTCTGCAATCCCTATGGTCATCCTAAAGCTTTATATTGTCCCCAGCAACAGGAGAACAATTGAAATGAAAGGAAAATGAACATGGTTTCTGAAGGGAGCTTCCAGATATTTCAGAACAAATCATTCTGACCTGTTGTGTGGTCTAGCCCCTGTATCGTTCACGGAGTCCACTCAAATGTCAGGAGGCCCTGACAGGGGCTAGCTCCCACTCAGCATAGCACAAGAAATCTGATTGGTATACAACTAGACTGGACAATGTTTCTTGATGTAGTTAATAGATGAGATTTCTCATATTAGGACCAGCAGCCTGAATGATATACAAACCCAGTCATGGCAAGCCATTTTAGGTGCCAAGATGATATTTTTAAAATTAAGCTAGAAATAGGCATGACAATGAGAGGAAGCAAAACATAGCTTTGTTTTTTCTTAACCCAAACCAACAACTAGTCAGTTCTACAGTCACTATTTCACCAATGCTGGTAAAGGTGGAATCTACCATCACTTGTTCAGAATTTGAAATGGACCCTCTGAGAAAATGAATAAGAATATCTGCTTCAAAAACTTGAAGACATATAAGATTCTTGATCATGCTCTTTCAAAATGTGCATTTTTTTGCTTTCTTCCATTTGCATGCTATTTTCAACCACATTTCCACTTCTCACAGGAAGCTGCTCAACTCTCCCCACAGATCTATATCTTACATCACAACAAAAGTGGCAATTAGGTTGAACCAAGAGACAATCCTAAGGGTGACTAGGACATATCATCATTTTCAAACTTCACACAGCACTGCAAATCAGGCACAATTACCTTGGGAAAGACTACTGCAAAAACCCCTTGTGCCCCAGTTGTGTTATATCAGTTTTAACTTCATCTGTGCTTTAGGTGACAAGAAAGGCTTGATGAAGAAGAAAGAAGGGATAAAAAATATTCATATGAAATTCTAATTGGAAGCATTCACTTCTCTGAATCCAAATGAGTACTATTTTTTATTCATTTAACTGTGCTTCTTCCAAAATAGTCATTTTCCTTTTAAACACACTACTAAATTAATAATTCTGGAAACACTAATATTGAAATGTTTGAATTCTCTCACCTACAAAATAAGTACCATTTTCTCTACACATACATTTCTACTTCACTTAGGTATTTCTTATTTAAAAGATGCTCTTTTGTAAAAATTCTTCCTCCTATAAGTCTCATATTGTTACTAATCTTATAATTTAAAAGTTTTAAAAAGAACAGTATTGTCTTATCTCCTTCTCTAAGCTAAAATCATGATATTAGACAATAACATTAGCTAAGGTGTTAAAAAATGGAGAGGAAAAAATTTTAACTACTGTAATATAATAATCATGACAGTGAAACCCGAGTTCAGCATTTATTATAAGAAATAATATTTTCAGGGGAAAAAAGGCAGGAATCAGTCTAACTAGATACTGTAGAAGCAGTCAATAAAAAAAAGCAAGACCCTCCTGTAACTCATTAATTTATAAGCAATAGTTGTGAATCCAGTATATTGGCAAAAGTATAAATAAGAATAGATAACACCACAAAATATCACAAGGCATATTTCATTCATTAACCTGGGCTGGGGAAAACTTCAGTGAATCCAAAGACTTAGGCTCCCAGAATATCGTAAACTAGATGTGACAATGTATTTGTCTGGAAAAATAAAAACTTTAACAAGATGAGTCATCACTCCTTTCTACTTACAGGAAATGAGTGAATTTGGGGTGAAATTCATGGGGCATATAGTATAAGGCATAAATTTTTCTAATATAACCTCAGGTACAACTTACCTAAGATTTTTAGCAAAATAAAAATGTTTTAACACATTTAATTAGTAGATATAAACAAATGGGCCAGTAAGGTATAACTATGTGCCTGATTCTATTACCATGTAAGTGACTGCCATTAGTTGTCACACTGGGACACTTAGATCAAATATTAATTGTCATTACAGCTGAATGCAACTAATTTTATAATTAAATGCACGTGGTCCAAACACATATTAATTTCTAATGTCGTGGCTTACTAGTGAAAAATTTGGATGTCTCTAACCTAAACTAAGCATATATGTACATTTCTTCAGCTCACTGTGGCTGCATTAGCCTTACTGAAAATGTCTGACTATAAGAATTTTCACTAATTTCCTATGTCCCTCTCTATATTAATAATTTCATTTTCTAAATAATAAAAAACAGACCCCAGATTTTATTACTTATTTTATCCTGAAGTTATTTATACTTTATATTATTTATATACTTTATTATTTATTTATTTATATTATTATATTATATTTAAATATATTATATTATATTTATATATATTTATTTATATTATTTATATACTTCATATTTATCTTAGGCATAGTTAACAAAGAGCAGCATCATATTCAGCAGTAAAGGCTGAGGATGCTGCTACCTTACCTCCATAATGGGATTAGAGGCCAGGACCTTCTCTTCAACATTGGCCTCACTAGCAGAACCACTCACAGTTGCAAAGTATCTCATGGCATACTTAGCAGAGACTGTCTTTCCTGCACCAGACTCTCCACTTACAATGATGGACTGATTCCGTTCATCCCTGAAATACAAAGACTGTTAATCGCCAGCTGCTTCTCAAGCCTGATTGTAGACAGCATTATTTTCCAGCCAAGTGAAACCACCACACTTCTACAAGTTTATTCATGTTGAGATACATAAGAATGAATGATGCCAGTCTATTCCTTAATAACAACCACCAGCACTGTGCTGAAATGAGTAAACATCTGCCATGGCCTTCCATGAGTGAATGGGTCTAGACAGAGGCTCTTTGAATGGTTGTACACATGCCTCAAAGTACGTGCGTACTGTTCTGCGCCAAACAAATAATATGGCCACCAATCTAAAAAAGGTAGGAGTTGTTCCTCTGGTACCTTAGCAGAGAAATTTATAGGAAAAGTATGAATTACTAAAAATCTTTTGAGTCATTTGCTTGTATACTGGTAGCTGCCAAAGAATGAGTCTACATTTCAAACTCTCTTGACTCTCTTAATACAAACAGGGAAGAAAATGGTTCAGATACTGGCTACATTGGTTAAAAAAACAATAGAACATTATACGCCATTAACACAGAGTTAATCACAGTGCAGTTACTCTCTTTCCTTCCATTCATTCACACAATGACTTAATTCAGAACTTTTTTCAATGAACACTCCTGGTTCATAGAAGATTGCCCTTTCTGACTGTGGTGGATCCCCAGAAAAGAGAGGCAAATTTCCACTGAGACTATAGGGTACCAAGAAATGGCATCATTTATACCTATATTTGCAAAAATGCAATTTGCCTTTGAAAAAGTCTTTAATGGTAGTACTCTAAAAGGCCAAAAGCTGGAGATGTTTTCCATGGAAATGGATGACCCTTTAAAAAAAAAATGAAATGCAGTACTCCTTGGTTTCCAGATTAGTAAATTCGGGGTTTTCTGTGCCAGGAAAGAGAAATGAGAGGATTTCAAGATCTTTGCCTAAAAAAATTTAGGTTGTAATTGAAGCACATTTTGTAAAAAATTCTAGTCTTGCTGACTTATTTTTCTTAAAATGTGTAACAGAGGTTTAACTCCACCCTCCCACCTCCAATAAGGAAATATTAGTAAATTAGTTAGATCTTTAGAATCTTAGTAGATTAGTTATATCAGGGGCAGCTAGGTGGCTCAATATACAGTAAGGATGACTTGAATTCAAATCTGGCCTCAGACACATACAAGCTGTATGTCACTGTTAGCCTCTGTTTGTTGGTTTCCTCATCTATAAAATGGGGATAATAATAGTACCTACCTCCCAGTGTTGTTGTGAGGCTCAAATGAGATAATAATTGCAAAGCATTTAGCATAATGCCTGCTAGCTATCATCAACATCATCATTGGCTATTAGATATTGGGCAAGCATCACAGATATATTTTCATAATTAAAGGCGTGATGATTTAGTTGCATGTGCCCATGAACATGAAGTATAATTATTTAAAAGTTAAATGATACTTATTTGAGTTAAATTCTGTGTAATTTTTTTTTTGATATCTCAAAATTAAATTGCAGGAAAGGGTCCGAGGGAGTTGCTTTTTCTTGCCTTGCTACATATTACTGGAACATTCCGGATTGTAAGAGAGAGTATATTCATGATGTTTAATTACTTTGAATATTCTTGAATATACAAAGAATATTCTATTTCAAAGAAATCTATTTCAAAAATAAACTTTAAAGTTTGAAAATAAAAGCTTCTTCCCAGGGCAGACAGAATTATTTTAAAGCTAAATATAGCTTTCAATATTTTCCTGAGTAATGAAAGTTTTCTTTCCCCCCCTTTTGTCTCAGAGTTCTAGCTGCAAAGATCAATCAACAACCATCTATTGAACAGCCAGTTCCCTTTTGACACTGCAGTGCTAGGTACTGAGGAGTATACAAAGACATATAAGACATAGTCCCTGCCTTCAAAGTAGCTTACCACACGGCTATAGAGAGAAGATAAACACTTAAAAACAAATCAGTAGCTCTACAAAGTGTCAATGATTCATGCATGAATTCATTCATTCAACAAGCATTTATTAAGCCCCTGCTCTGTGGTGGGCACTTTGGCTAGGTACAGATAGATAGAGGCAAAAACAAAAAGTCCTTGCCCTAAAGACCTGACATTTTATTGAGGGGAAATAACACGCACATAATAAATAAACAAAATGTATACAAAAGAAATGCAAAGTAAGTTAGAGAGAAAATACTTGCAACTAGGGGTGATCAGGCACTTAAGTAGAGCTTTGAAGGAATCTAGGGATTCTACCACGGGGATGTGAGCAAGGAAGGGATTACAGGCCTGGGGAACAGTCTGTGCAAAGACATGGAAAAAGGATAAGGAATTTGGTGCATGAAGAACAGCTAGAAGGTCTGTTTGGCTAAAATGCAGAGGGGAGTGAAGGGAGCAACGTATAATAAATAAGGTGGGAAAACAAAGTTGGGCCAGAGATAACAGGCTTTAAATACTAAAGCAATTTGTTATTTTGTCCTAGAAACAATTAGAAGCAACAGCACTTTGAGCAAGGAAATTACATGGCCATGCCTCCTGAGCTTTAGGAATATCAACTGATAACCAAAGGATATATGCCAAACGATTTTTTTTTGGGGGGGGGGGGGCGGAGAGGAGGGGAGAAAGGGACCAGACTTGTGATTTTCATAGGTATAATTCCCAGATGAGGAAGCTCCTTCTTTCTAAACAGATCAGCATCTATTCTGAAATGTATCGTCTTAGCTATTTGGGGAATTGAGAGATTAATGTGACCTGATGGGGTCATACAGACAGTATATATCAGATATAATACTCGAACCCATGTCCAGTCTTCTTTGCCTGCTTGCTTGACCTCATCCCCAGCATTCTACTGTCCATCTCCATGCTTTTTGCACGGACTGTCCTATCCATGCCTGGTATATCCCTCCTAACTTCCAACTCTTAGAATTCCTGGCTTTCTTTAACACTCGATTCTAAGGCTTCCTCCTATAGATGGCCTTCCCCTCTAAAACTATCTTTCCATTTTCTCTTCTCTATACTTTATACTCTATACTATACTATACTCTCTACTCTCTACTCTGTACTCTCTATGTTGTCTTGCCCATTAGAGTATACACTCCTTGAAGGCAGGGACTATTTTTGCTTTTTCTTTGGCTTAACCCAGTGACTGGCAAACAACAATCACTTAATAAATGCTTGCTGCAAAGCAATGGAGCAGGACCCATTGGAGGCAAAATCTCCATACACCTTGTACTTTGAAACTGTGAAGCTCATCAGGTTAATGTCCTTACTATGATCATTTTCATTATCTCATTTCAGTCATAATTAGAACCTGCTATGTTTTAAAAAATATAATTTCAACATATTAATGATTTATCCAAAGCCTCATTTCTGAAGTCATCATAATTAGTTCTTGCCATTTTATTAATGTCATGGAAAATTTATAATTGATAGGTATTGCTTTTATAAATTAGCCCCTTTTGAGGTTATAATGCGAGTGTTATAATTTTCAATATTAATAAAATTAAAATGGAAATGTAGTGGGTAGAAATAAAATATAGTCATTTTACCATTTGGCAACCAAAAAAAAAATGCTTGTTGACCAATTACACAAGGCAATATGTTACTTCTAGTTTAATGACAAAGCTGATGCTAGAATCCAGGCAATCTGATGTTCTACCCATGGCTCTTTCCACCACATCATACTGCCTCAACAGTTTCAGATTGTAACTTTCAGGTTGAGTAGAAAAGAGATAACTCTGAATTCAAAAAGAACAAAGATCCAGCAATCTATTTGTGTTCGTGTTTGTTTCACAGGGAAATTCAAACATAGGCAATAGATAGGTCAACATCCTTGAGGTCTGAAAATAAATTTCTAAAACCAAAGTATTGATTCTGACATGCACAAAACCTTTAGGATTCCATGGGAAAAGAAATCTATTTCAAAAATAAACATTAAAGTTTGAAAATAAAAGCTTCTTCCCAGGGCAGACAAAATTATTTTAAATTGCTATGAACATTTCAAAGACTAGTGAAAATAGGTAATAATTTAGTCTGATCCACAGGTCAGGTTACATACCAGAAGGATGCACATCATGCCCCTCTTCTTCCTCACATTTTCATCTCCCCATCTCTCTCTATCATGATCCCTCTGAATTTTTTTTTCTGAGAATAACTTGCCTTTCTATTTCACCCTATGAAGTTATAAAAACTCTTTATCCTAGAGAGCAATGAACCTGGGTTCTCCAAGACTAAGCCAAGTGCAAGTTCTGGCAGTTCCAACCAATCTACAAATGTTTCAAGTACAGAGCTTGTCAGATGGCATATTCTACTCCAACAATGCTAGAACCAACTAAGCTGTAAAAGCTCATCAACAGTCTGGCCACAGGGTGTTGAATTTTTAAGCCAAAGCAAGTCCTGAAGACTGCCATCCATGTGGACAGAGGGAGTACTCATAACTGACAAAATCATGGATCCTCTCTATGTATTTCTAAACATTGGAAATATCTCAATATATACAAACATTGAAAATTTTATAGCTATGAAGTTCTTTATATACATTACTTCATTGAGCCCTATTAAGTGTGAAGTGAAAGTATTCATATTCTTGCCATGCTACATGGTGCTTGCAAGAGTGCTGGACTTGAATATGCCATCCTAATAATGTGACCATGAAGAGAACATTTAGCCTCTCAGCTTCAATTGCCTCACCTATAAGATGGGAATAATAGTACCTGTAGAATCTATCCCACAGAGTTCTAGGAATTAAATGAGATCATGTATACAAAGGTACTTTTAAACCTTAAAGAACACTATATAAATGTCCATTACTATTACTCTTATTCTCATTTTACAGGTAAGAAAACATGAGTTTACTATTTCTGGAGAAATATTTAGACCACATTCCATTCTTAAAGGGAAGAATTGTGAATGCTTAAAAAATAAAGTAGTAATCACTAAAAACCAACATGGTTGCATGAAGTATAGGTCATATGTTAACAGCAGAAATATGAAAGAATGCTCCAAACTAATAATAAAAGGAATGAACATCAAAAC